ATTCTTGAGAATTGTTCTCAATAAAACAAGATATGAAAGGATCACCGATCTTCATACAGAAGCGACGTCGGAAAGTTGCAAGCGAACTTCAACAGTCGTCTTGCATCTCAAAACACCGAATAAATCAAATGAAATACAAAAGAAAGTAAAATCCGTAAATGAAATCAAAATTAAGAAACAAAAGGCAAATTGAATGCCTGAAACCTTAAAACAAAAAGCAACAAAATGTAAAAAAAAAAAAAAAGCTTTGTATTATAAATGATATAGAATGCTAATGTAGATATAAAATCGATATTTTTTCGAAAAAAGCCAACTATGATCGAAACCAAAAATGCTTTAAATTGCATTTTAAACATATCTAGGTATTATAAATGATAAAGAATGCAAATGTAGATATAAAATCGATATTTTTTTGAAAATAGCCAACTTTGATCGAAAACAAAAATGCTTTAAATTGCATTTTAAAACATATCTAGGTAGTATAAATGATTAAGAATGCTAATGTAGATATTAAATCGACATTTATTTTGAAAATAGCTTTAAATTGCATTTGAAAACATATCTAGGTATTATAAATGATAAAGAATGCGAATGTAGATATAAAATCGATATTTTTCGAAAATAGTCTACTTTGATCGAAACCAGAAATGCTTTGTATTATAAATGATATAGAATGCTAATATAGATATAAAATCGATATTTTTTCAAAAATAGCCTACTATGATCAAAACCAAAAATGCTTTAAATTGCATTTTAAACATATCTAGGTATTATAAATGATAAAGAATGCTAATATAGATATAAAATCGATATTTTTTAGAAAATAGCCTACTATGATCGAAACCAAAAATGCTTTAAATTGCATTTTAAACATATCTAGGTATTATAAATGATAAAGAATGCTAATATAGATATAAAATCGATATTTTTTCAAAAATAGCCTACTATGATCGAAACCAAAAATGCTTTAAATTGCATTTTAAACATATCTAGGTATTATAAATGATAAAGAATGCTAATATAGATATAAAATCGATATTTTTTGAAAATAGCCTGCTATGATCGAAACCAAAATTGCTTTGTATTATAAATGATATAGAATGCTAATGTAGATATAAAATCGATATTTTTTCGAAAATAGCCTACTATGATCGAAACCAAAAATGCTTTAAATTGCATTTTAAACATAAATAGGTATTATAAATGATAAAGAATGTTAATGTAGATATAAAATCGATATTTTTTGAAAATAGCCTACTTTGATCGAAACCAAAAATGCTTTGTATTATAAATGATATAGAATGCTAATGTAAATATAAAATCGATATTTTTTAGAAAATAGCCTACTTTGATCGAAACCAAAAATGCTTTGTATTATAAATGATATAGAATGCTAATGTAGATATAAAATCGATATTTTTTCGAAAAAAGCCTACTATGATCGAAACCAAAAATGCTTTAAATTGCATTTTAAACATAAATAGGTATTATAAATGATAAAGAATGTTAATGTAGATATAAAATCGATATTTTTTGAAAATAGCCTACTATGATTGAAACCAAAAATGCTTTGTATTATAAATGATATAGAATGCTAATGTAGATATAAAATCGATATTTTTTCGAAAAAAGCCTACTATGATCGAAACCAAAAATGCTTTAAATTGCATTTTAAACATATCTAGGTATTATAAATGATAAACAATGCAAATGTAGATATAAAATCGATATTTTTTTGAAAATAGCCAACTTTGATCGAAACCAAAAATGCTTTAAATTGCATTTTAAAACATATCTAGGTAGTATAAATGATTAAGAATGCTAATGTAGATATTAAATCGACATTTATTTTGAAAATAGCTTTAAATTGCATTTGAAAACATATCTAGGTATTATAAATGATAAAGAATGCGAATGTAGATATAAAATCGATATTTTTCGAAAATAGCCTACTTTGATCGAAACCAGAAATGCTTTGTATTATAAATGATATAGAATGCTAATGTAGATATAAAATCGATATTTTTTCGAAAATAGCCTACTATGATTAAAACCAAAAAAGCTTTAAATTGCATAATAAAACATATCTAGCTATTTTAAATGCTAAAGAATGCTAATATAGATATAAAATCGAATTTTTTTTAAAAAATTACAAAAGTCCTCGTGTTATTGATCGAGGGACTTCAGCGCATTTTTGACCAAGCGATCAGTATATGATTATCAAATTATTTTGCGTTCATTTACAGATCATTAGCGGCCTGTTTCACTAAAGTGGATTATCCTCGATTTCTGATTATCCACTTCAGTTTTTTGTAAATATCTTAAACTTAATAGGAGGTGTGGTATTTCTTATATTGGATTATAATAGAGTGAACTATGTTCGAAATTTCTGTGTACTATAAACTTTTACTTTTTGTTAAGAAGTATTAATTATTCAATTTTCTAGCCAAATCTAGTAGATTAACTTCGATTTTTGCTTTAATTCTCAAACTAATGAAGATATAAAAATTCTAAGTAAATGTTAATTTAAGTAGCAAACTACTCTTACTAGATCACACATTAGATCTCTTAATAACTTTAAGCGTCTGGAGATATATCCAAAAAACTGAAGTGGATATGCCGAAATCGAGGATAATCCACTTTAGTGAAACAGGCCGTAAAAGATTAGAAGATCATTAATTTTAGTTTAATTAACAAAAAATTATAATGAATTTTCATACAGAAAGGGTTTATCATTTAACGGTTTTTTGGAATTCAAATTTTCTAACTGTCAATAAATAATTTGAAATTTTGCCGCTATAAGTTGCACTATGAAAACATTAATTTTAGTATAATTAATAATTTGTTGCAATGAATTTTCATACAGAAAGGGTTTATCATTTAAGGGTTTTTTGGAATTCAAATTTTCCAATGCTTATTAAATAATTGGAAATTTCCCGCTAAAAATTGCACCGCAAAAACAATAATTATAGTATAATTAATAATTTGCTGCAAAGAATTTCCATACAGAAAAAAATTATCATCTAACGGTTTTTTAAAATTTGAAATTTTACAACGGCTAGAAAAAATTTGAAATTATAGAGGTAATGTTGAAATTATAGAGGTAAAATAAAATTTGAGCAGGTAACACTGAAAACAAAACAAAAATTCATTAGTTATCGCATAAATACACTGTTTCAAGACTTTTAACTGTTCGATCGAACAATAGTAACGGAGCTAATAAAACAAACCTGAGCTCTCTACGTTGTCTGGTTAAAAAGTTTTTATGCTTACCCAGCCGAGCAAACGAACGAACAAAGTGCATTATTAAGCTTCCTTTTCGAAAACAAGTTTTCAAAAATGCGCTAAAAAACATACTTGCATACCTTGCTGAACCATTATATTTTTTTATTTTGTACAATTTTTCAACAAAATTGCATACCTGCATACCTTGTTGAACCCTTAGAATATTTTATTTGATACCGTTTTTTTATCAAAATTGCATACCTGCATACGTTGCTGAACCCTTAGAATATTTTTTCACACGATTTTTCATCAAAATTGAATGTCTGTGTTATATTGTCGAGTTGTGTTTCTAAACTGAACTTTTATTCATTTTTCTTTTTCAATGATTGTTCAGATCTATTTACAATATTACAACAGTCTGCATGCGTTGTCTTCATTGTTTGGGATACGCACCATGTTCTAGTTCGAGAATAATTAAGCACACTTCAAGTAATCATCAGTTCCAAATCCAAACTTGGAATAACAATACAATCTTCATTTTCTGAATTTCCCAGATGAGCAGAAATTGAGATAATATGAGATCAAGTTGCAGAAATGAATCGTTTAGGAACCGAAATTGATTTTGATTTTGTTTGCATCACGTTATTTATTGGATTTAGTTGATCGCAATGTCTTACAAATGCTTATAATTAACAAAAAAAAAAAAAACGTAAAGAAAATAAATTTTGATTTTCTCCTATCAACACCGTACCATTTAAAGTTTTGTGGAAAGACCAAACTTTGCTCATTAGTTTGAGAGTTCAAAGTTTAACGGATTAGCTGATCTTCGCTCATAATATGGTTTTGAAGATTTATAGCTAGATGGATAGACCAAATATTCTATATTTAACTCCTTAAAAACTTATTTTATTTTATACATGCATGCACATGCAAAAACATGCGCATGTATGCGTATGCATGCGCACGTAAAATGCGCATGTATATCCGAAAAAAAATATTGAAACTTCTAATTTTTGCTGGATTCTTTTTAATATGTCTCAATTATGATTATTTGAACACTTTTGATCAATTTGATAAAAGGAATAAAATTACATAAAAAAATTAATTTTGTAAAATTTACTTTATAAAATTTACATGCAGTACATGTGCATGCATGCACATGGGAAATTTGCTTGTATGCGCATGAATGCGCATGTGGGCGAACCCTATCGAGAACTATACCTACATTCTTGACTGTGAATCATGGATGTGAATCATCCTTAAAAACTCCATGTGTCCTAAAATCATTTAATAGGACCAAAATTAAGCGTATAAGTAGGGTTACCATCTAATTTTCATGAAAATACAGGACTTTTGGTAAATTTTTTCGAAAAATACAGGACATAGAGTAAAATTCGAAAATTAACGGAAATTTTCGTGAAAAAAATACAGGACCTGGAACAAAGTTTTCAAATTTATACAGGACAGGGTTTTGAAATACAGGACTGTCCGTTGTAAAACTACGCAGATGGTCACCCTACGTATAAGTAAAAATTGTTAAACTCCTTTTCTAAAAATTTTATAGATTTAAATCAGAGTTGCGATCTGTCACAGGCAATCACTTGTCACTGAAAGGAAATATTTTTTCACAGGCACTGCCTGTTAACAGACAAAATCTGAATCTTCTTTTTTATTTCATAATTTTAAATATAAAAACGAAACTAATTCACTTTCAACTCTTTCACAAACTGTTTCAAATTCAGTGTCATTTCATTTAATCGATGATCGATGACGTATTCGCTCTAAGCTTCTGAAATTATAATAACATTTCGTAGAGTGAAAAAATATTTAGTATGAATCAGATGCTCGAATTAAGCACATCGCAAAACGCTAAAAATATATTTCCTCGTAAGTGTGTACAAAAGGGGAAAAAAATAACATCAATGAGGAGTAGCGAGTTTGATCACAAAAAAGTGTGTAAAAACACGATTTGTTGAAAAAAAAATATCCTGACAATCTAAATTATTAGAGACAGAAAAAAAAATAAATCAGTAATGTGGTATTTAGTGAATTTACCGGGAAATAAACTTAACATTGCTGTTAAGACTGAGAAAAATTCAATTGCCGCCGACTGTCTTAATAAAGTAAGTGTACAATGTGATATAATCAAGATAGTGATATTTTCGCTACCATTTAAAAAAATAGTGTTATTTTTATTTTCATGAATGAAAAAAAAAGTCACTGAAATGTGTCGCTTAAAAAAAATCAGAATATTTATACGTTTAAAATTTGTTTTAATTTTAATTTCAATATTCTTATTAACTGTTTGATTGAAAATATAAATACAGGAATTGTGTAAAAAATTAAATGCTGAGAAATTAAGTAAAAAGCAAAGGATTGTTCGATAAGAACAACAAGAAAAATAAATAAAAATAAGCTTGAATCGCTCTCCTTCGCACGTAGGTTTTGTTCTAAGGTTTCATTGTAATTGCAGGAAAAATACAAAACGATCATGGTTAGCTTGAAACAAACATGAGTGAGAAGATGTAATGTGTTTAATTTTTAAAACAGCTGTTTTACGTCTATAAAATATATTTGAAGTTTTTGGAACATGACGAACTTCAATGTCGTAACAAATTAGAAACATTTTCATAATGCATTTTCAATTTTGGTTTTTTTACAATATTGCAATGCATCTAGAGCACTTTAAATGAAAATAAATACAGGCAAAAAAATGACTGACTCAATAAAAATGAAATAAATTCACATGTGTAAATGTTAACGAATTCGATCAAAGGTGGATTTCTGAAAGGTTCAATTTTTTTTTTAAAGTGACTGGCATTGATCTTGAATCACTGAGCAAAACAGGTGTTTATGCATTGATGATTTTTATTTGGAATTTTCGTCAGAACAAATATGGCAAATTTGCAATAACTATAACTGTTTGTAAATAATATTATTGCTGCTCAGAGTCGATAATGAATTCGTACACGTAAATAACAATTTTTATCGCTATATAGTCAGGAAAAACAAACTTCAAAATATGTGATAACAGCAAAATTAAAGTAATGTGAATATGGCAAAAAAATGTGGCATTTTTAAACACTAAGAAATTATTGAATAATCTATTGATCTACACACATTTTTAATCACTTAACATTTTTATGTCATTTTGTTTTTGTTTTTTTTTTTTTATTTTCTTTTACATCCACAATGCTTCTTCATTCGGATATAAGTACGATTCGATGAGAGAGCGAACAAAGTACAAAATATAAATGATTTCAACTGTTCAAAGTCCAAATTCACACATCTAGAGAAATTATTAGCGAAAACAGATATATAGATATATGAATGAATGCGCTCTTTATATGTGTAGTTAATTTCTGGCATTCTCTTTTACTTCATTTGAATGAATAAAAAAACATTTCGCGCTCATATTGAACAAATTGAAAACAAAAATGCTAACCAATTTTACTCACTTACTTCCTCAGTGACAGTCGGTAAAGTTTGCTTTTGTATAGATATCTTGTTTTGTTATTTAGAAAAAATAAACAACCCATTTAATAACTCATCTCTGTCTGCCGACTAAGAAGTATTGAGGTTCTTTTTTATTGTATTCATTTTAATACTTACATGGCACATGCTGATGATCTTTTGAAATAATGATCAATATTAATGCAGCAATACTATTAATCATAAATACAAGTTCAATCAAGGATTAAATCTTTGAACTCTTGCAAGGTTACTTATAGTTTATTATCGAAGTAAATATCACTTTACATTTATTGTACTTTGCTTGATGAATAAATCTTGAAGACATTTAAATGTTCAATAATTGCGTTGCCAAGTTTTATTTCATTATCCAACTGACTGATCTAATATTCGTCGCTAAATACTCCTACGTAAAAAGTTCAGTGAACTAATTGTTTATCTTTTCATGAATATAAACTTTTTCACTCAGCATACATAAATTGTTTACACTGATTTTGCTATCGTAAAAGCTGTAATTGTGTCACTATAGTGCAGTGTCTGATAATCTTCAATATTCTCGAAAGACAAATTTCTTGATGGAAACTTTGACAAATTTATTTTGCTAATTTATTATAAAATTTTGTGATCGCAAATTAAAAGTTTAATAGTGTAATATATGAGGGCATTTTTGATATCAATTTATATACTAATGCTTATTGACTTTTTATATTCATTCAGATTGAAAAATCAGTTTTTCGCATTTTGTGAGAAATTGAAGCAAAATTGGTCATAAAAGGTCCAAGAAGAAAAGTTTGTGCCTAAAATTTTACATCTTATGCAAAAAACAGATTTCAAATTGGTTTCGGCATTGCTGAGAAAATTGCAAAATACTCTTTCTGTAAGCAAGCAAACAAGCAAGCAAGTTAATCAGCAAGAAATCTCAATAACGAGACATCGTAGAGACTTCTAGTTTTTTACATTTGATCCGTGCTGCTCTATAGATGAACTATATTGTTTTTGGGTAAGGTAGGAACAGCCGTTGCTTCAGAAAAAGCAAAAAACTTTCCTTTTTTACGAATTTTTTAAAACAAAAGTTTGACTGTGATTTTTATTTTATTTTAAATTAAACTTTGGATGAAAAAAATTTTTTTAAAAAACTTTTAAAGAATGTTTGGCATATTCGTCAAGCTTTAAATCTCAGCTGACTCACTTACTTTATACCTTCAAAATTAAATATACTTTTTTTTAAATATATAAAAACAGTTTTTAAATATCTATTATAATAATATTGAAATTTATGCTGATTTGCACTTAATATTAGCAAAATCATAAATAAGTGATGTGAAGTCTAAAATGATTGAAAATCTTGAAATAGTTTTTATTAAATACTATAAGATTCAATTTTTTGCTTATGTTTCTAGGTGTGTCATGATTTAGATATTATTTGTGAGACAGATTACTTTGGACTACTTTATGCACCAACACCACAAGATTTACATCATAATACCGTTCCGTCTAATATTAAGCAATGGATAAATTTAAGAAATCCTTTAGAGAAAAGGCATAGGGATGAAGGTCATACAATGCTAGAATTACGGGTTAAGTTCTGGGTCCCAGCTCATCTTATCTTGCAAGAAAATGTCCGGTAATGATTTTTTTTTCTTCAAAAAATAATAAAATAAAAAATAATAAAATTTTATTTTAAAATTCAACAGAGAAATTTTCTACATGCAAGCACGACAAATGCTAATGGATAAAGAAATTTTTCCTTCTGATTGGAAACAAGCAGCCCAGTTTGTCGCACTTATATCTCAGTCTGAAGGTGTAAAGTTTATACCTGAACTGTTATCAGAAAATGGCCAGAAAATTATCTCATATTTTGATGAATGCTTAAAACAAAAAACCAAAAGTATTCAATTTAGCAAGTTTAAAGAAAGTTTTCATTCTAAACGAAATTCATTTGATGAAATGTTAATAGATCATACTGATGATAATGAAATGCCAAATGATAATGGATTTCTGGAGAAATTTATTATTGAAAATTATCTAGAACATATGATTTTTCCTGATAATGATGAGCGAAGTAATAATAATGGATGTGATTCTAATATTATAGATAATATACCTAGTGATTTACTGTTAAATATAGCTAAAGAACACCAAAAAATTCAAACGATGACTCAATCATCAGCAAAATATTGGTTTTTAGAGGAGTTTTCTACATTGCAACACTTTGGTGAGGAAACGTTTGAAGGCACGTTAATTTCTGAAAGTGAAACAAAAATTACACAACATAGAAACGAAAAAATTCATGTAGCAGTAAATTCTCAGGGTCTCAACATAAAAAGAGTTGAGAGTAATAACAGATTCTCAATTCCATTTTCGGCAGTTGAGTCAGCAAAATCATTAAGGCGATGCTTTCACCTTTGTTATATGAATGAAAATTTCGTAGATTCTAATTTAGTTATAAAGTTTCCATCACATCGAATCGCCGGTACTTTATATCGGGCATTGACAGAAAAGCATTCATTCTACAGTTGCGAGACTGTGCATAAAAACGTTGAAACTCAATTTATACGCGACCTAAAGGTAAGAAAAATAATATTTTTAAATATTTTAAAAGTATTTATTTTATATATGTTTCTCATTCAATAGGGCACAATTATTTCGATTTTTAATGATCATACAGAATTAGGAAAGAAATACGTTTTTGATATTAGGCTGACTTTTAGAGAGTTATACGACAATTCGAGGAGAATACTGCATTCCAAAGGTTTTGCTATAACAACATTGCCACAATGTAGGCAAAACGAAGAAAAAGAAGGAAACTCGTCAAATGACACAGACAAGCGAGTCGACCTAACATGTTCCATTTGTATGGATCAAAAAATTGATACTCTATTTTTACCATGTGCTCATTTATCGTGTTGCAAGTTTTGTGCTGAAAAGTAAGTTTACCCGGTTATGATAAAATCTTATTATCAAAATAAATGATTACTTTTTTATCACCCAATTTTCTCTTATGATAATTTATTTTAAATCAAACAAATTACAATTTTATTTTTTTTGATTTCAATATAGATGTGACATATGTCCATTATGCCGTAAGAATATTTCTTCAAAGTCTTTAGTTTATTTCACTTAAAAGTCAACGGTGATTTCTGATCAACCTAAGCAAAAATTAATAATAAGTTGATAACAAAACAATGCAAAAAAAAACAAAAAAATAACAACGAAATGTGATTTTATCAGTAATTCATCGATTATATATATACATATTTTAATTATTTTTTAACAATAAAAAGAAGGCTATGAAATTTTAAAAAGCAATAATTTTTTAAAGATCTATTTGTCTTTTTTCAGCAACGGCTTTTTGAAATATTCAAAAAACTTAAAATTCTCTACTAGGGTGCATTTATGATATATTTTGATATTTTTTTAAAAAACTTAAAATTGTTTCTTATCAGACACATAATCATTATTTAACCTTATCAACAAAATTCAGAAAATTTAAATCATTTAAACTTTACTTATATGTATTGTTAAAGTTTCAAAAAAAAAATAAAAACAAACAAAAAGTACTAAATCAATCCAATGTAAGTAATTTGTGTACTAAAAGTTTAAAAATGACAGAAAAACTACCTTATAAAAAATTAAGTCAATTGAAATGTAGAAAATAACTTAATAATTTCATTTAGAGTGGTGTAAAACACGAAATTCAGATTAAAAATCATGAGCATTAATTCAAAATTTTGTGCACATACCTTAATTTAGTGTAATAAAATGTGTGATACATTATTATACTCCAAAAAAAACTAAAATTTGAAAATGCTTATAGTTTAAAATACAAAAAAAAGAAAAACTAAATTAGAAGCTAAAGGACTCGACTAAAATATTTTTTTATGGTTTGGTTACAAAATATAAGTGATACTTTCAATTACAGTTACTTCTTTTACCGACAAAAAGTTTAATTTTACCAAAAACTGTCGAAAATAAGAACGTTCAAAATAAACGCAAAGAAAAAAAAATGATAGAGTTGATTTTTTATAGCTATTAATAATAAAAATTGGAAATCTTAAGTTTCATGGATACGCAAAATACATGTTGTTGGGATTAAACTTGTGAATGAAAGTAAGTATAAGTAAGAAAACCAAAAAGACTTGCTGAAATTTTCCCCGGTATAAGTTTATGGACTCATAATATGAGACAGTAAGCCATTACGACTGAATGAAAAGTGAAAGAAAAATAAAATAAAAAATTATATATGTATATATATATATATATATATATATATATATATTTATATATATATATATAAATATATGTAAGTCATGGATAGGAAGTAAAAAAATAAATGAAAATTTGGAAAGATATACTCTCATTAATTCCATTTACTTCAGTCTAATCCTGTGTATTAAACGACATTTTCACTAGTTTAGCATTTTATTTCGAAAGAAATCGTGGAAAATTCATTTATGTCTTGAAGCAACAAGAAGAAGAGAAAAAGAATAACAAAAAGAATAATGCAAAAAGACTATGCGAATTATATTGTAAAGTGTGCATATTCTGGAAGCAAGCAACAAATAAGATTTTTCTCTTGACAAATCTTCATTCTTGCATTAGATTATCAACCTTTTACGCAATTAATTTATTTATTTGCTTAGCATGCTTGAGCTATTGAGAAATATAAAATATATGAAAAAAGATTTGTTTTCCAGAATTCGAAATGAAATGAATAAGTAATAGCTCAAAGCGTTTTTGAATAGTTTTTAAGGAGTTAATAGTTTACTCTCTTTTAATTCTTAATTTTAGTCTTGTTAACTTACATATCTCCATTTATTTTTAATGATTGTCTATAATACAACTAAACTAAATTGTATTTAAAATTTGTTTAATATTTTTTGGAATTTTCAAAAACAAATAATAATAAGTTTTAAATAAACTTTTATTTTTAGCTACAGTCTTCACCAAAAAATAGACTTTATATTGAGATGGAAAAGGCGAAAGCTTATATTAAAAAGGAACTTCAGACATCGAATACAAAAACAAATGTAAAAGGAGGAAACATAGATGAGAAATGTTTTGTATGCGGTTCAAATGGAGCATCTGATTCGTATCAATTGAGAACGAAACCAAATTGTGAAAAACCATCAGAACCTTATTTTCAATTTTTAGACACTCACGAACCACCAAATGGTGTAAAAGCACTTCAACCTAATCAGATTTCTGTAAAATCTTGCGTTCTGTGCTATAAAAATTTAAACTTACAATGGGATTCATTTGAAAGAGAAGGAAAACCACATTTACAGCGCATTTATTGGATGAAAAGAAGCGATGGAAAACCGTTTACTGGTGCTGACATGTCCTCGCAAGGAGAATATGCAGCTCAAATGTTAGGCTTATCAACTGATCAGCAGCCTCAACCAATACAGCCTTCCAGTGCAAGACCACAATCTTCAAATGATTTTATTTCAAATTATTCAAACTTAGAAAGTTCTAGTAAGAAAAATGAATCCAATAATGGCCTAGCCAAAAACAGTGATACATCAACTAGCAAATTTTCAAGAAACGATGCCAATAGTGGCACTTTGTCACGTCCAAATAGTAGGAATGAAAAGAGACCACAATCAAGAGATAGTCAGCCTCCTCTTTCTATTACAACGATTAAAGCAAATGATAATTTTTCAAGTGCAGGAATAAAACAACCATCATCTTTTGCTCAACATAAGTTTAAACTTGGAAACTTTTCAAATTCTTATTCTTCACCATCTCCTTCATTGACGACATCGGCAACACAATTATGTAGTAATGTTACACCATCAGCAGCCGCAAACTATGGAAACCAATCTAGATTTTCAATGATTGATGACGATTGTTCGGCATTAGATTTAAGAAATTCATCAATTGGTAGTAATAGTGTAAATTTGAGCTCAATTCAAGGAATCGGAAGCAATAGTAATTCGTCAACTGGAAGTGGTGGTTGTGGAAGCATTGGTGGTGGCACTGATATTTTAGACTTATCAATGCCTGATAAAAATTCTGTAACTGAAGTTTGTTATGTTTGTGGAGACGAACAACGAAGAGGAAGTTTAATGGAACTAAGCACCTGTGTTCCGAAAGATACTAAAGATTTAGAAAAGCCTTTCTTTCCGATATTTGATGAAAGTCATGCACGTCCTGCACGTTCACGTCCTAAAGATCCTAAAGGAAATGTTCAAGCATGTAAATCTTGCTATAATCATTTGATGACTCAATGGCAAAACTTTAATGTAAGTATTATTTATTATTTAATCATTAAAGAAAATATCCTGGTTGAAATAAAATATCTGTTTTAAATTTATTTTAGGCACGAGGCACGCCTGATATTGAGAGAAGATATTCGCTTAGAAAACGTCAAATTACACAAGATCGTACAACATTTGTTTGTTATGTTTGTGCTGCTGATTGTCCATCGAGTCAATTACGTCTTGTTTATTGTTGTCCAAATGCTGAACGAGAACCATATTATCCTTTCATTAAGACAATACAAGCACCTCCAAATGCAAGTCCAATCAGTCCACAAGGAATGGTTCAAATATGTGTTTCATGCTATCAGAAGAATATGAATTTAGCAGAGGGAGGACCGATTCCAACAGAAGAAAGATCTTCTCAACTTACAAATTCGTCGTCTATGTCTATTCCGATTCATCAAGAACAAGTGCCTGTTATGCAGTCATCGAAAATGTCCAATACTTCAATGTCGCTATCACACTTGCAACAGCATTCATTGCAATCATCTTTAAATCCCAATGAAAACCTATCTTCGAAATCTATGATTCACGATCAAAGTGCGAGTTCTATGAATGTTAGATTTAAAGTAAGAGAAAAAAAAATCAATCATTAAGTTTGATACTAAGTATTTTATATTTTAGCCATATGATTCCTCAAATGCTTCCAAAGAACAGTTTACAGCACAACAGCAACAACAGTCAATGAAAGGCTCATTACAAAGACGTGATCCAAGCAGTTCTCCACACAGTGTAACTGAAAATGGTCATGGATTTCCGTAAGTTTTAAATATATTATAAATTATTAAATTTATGAATTTTTAAGCTTATGATTGGCATTTATTTTTTAGCTGCTATATTTGTAAACAAATCTTTAGTTCCCATCATTTACAATGGTTGTCTACAAGTGCAGAACACATGAATTCACATGCAATGCACTTCCCATGTTTAAAAACCAGTGAAAACGGTCCATCAAGAGTTTTAGCATGTACTAGATGTTATCATTCACTGGCTTCGCAATGGGAGTCGATGGATGCTGAGAGAATACCACTAGAGCACAGAAGGTAACTTAAATGCGCTGTTTTAATTGCTTGTTTTAGTATATCAAAAAAAAAAAATAAAATTATATTTCTTACTCATTAGGTACAATATTCCATCACCTATGTCTAACTCTATTTCACCTAGCCCACGTAGTATGCAAATGGGTATTTCAACTCCACCAGCAACTCCTTCAACTCAATCAATTTATTGCTTGGTTTGTGGTCTTCATTCTGATTTAACTTTAGCTAGACTACTTTATGCAAACAAAGAGGTACATTAATTTTTGATTCCTCATATTTCTTTATTCTAATTATGGTAAAATTTTATTTTTTCAGGGTTCACGTCCATATTTTCCATTTTTATTGAAGCACAAACCACATCCAAATGCTGAACAATTGAGAACAGATGGATCGGCATTAGTTTGTACATTTTGCTATCATTCTTTATTAAGTCAATGGCGCAAATACGAAGCACAAAGTTCGATATCTCCATCTGAACGAGAATATAATTGGCATGATTATTGCTGTCATTTGTGTGGAATAAAGACTTACAGAAAAAGAGTTCGTGCACTGCCAATAAGAGAATTTCCATTTGTAGCTAACCGGAAATCCGATGGATTACTTTTAGAAAATGGTGATTATGCAGTCGTATGTTTAGATTGCTATGAATATTTAAAGTAAGTGTTCTGTCATGACATTATGAAATTTTAAAACCTTCTATTCATTAAAAATACTCTTTTTTTAACCATAGACAACAAGCTTCTCAGTATGATCGATTAGGTGTCCCACTTGAAAAACGTGAATACAATTGGGTACCTCAACCTCCACCACCAGAGGATGGTCCAGATGTTTCTGTTGCTCGACTACCAAGCGGACAAAAGTGCATAGATAAGCTACGAGATGTAGGATACATTTATTAGTTTTATTTAAATACTTTTAAATTATTATTTTTTTTTAATTAATATTGTTTTCAGCCAAGTATCATAAATCGGTCATTGCAAAACAAAAAAAGTAGCAACAACTCACCAAAACAAATGCAAAGTGATAAACGAGGAATTGGTCAAACTTCCACTCATCCAAATGAAATGAGTAAGCAATTTAGTTTTTAAAAACTTTAATTAACGTATTATGTATGATTAACAAACGTCCTTATATTTTAGTTCAAAAAAATTATGCCCAAAAACGTCCGGAAAATAGCTCACTTCCTCAAACTTCACATCATCATAGTCAATCACCAGTTTTAGGCTCCCAATCTCAACAGACAACAGTAATGCCTGCTCATATGAATTCACAATCTTTAATACAACAAGCTCAACCAAAACATTCTAATTTACCATCAAATTCATCAAATCGTAACAATAGCGAACCATCATTTTCTGCCGTTTTACGCAATCTTGCAAAACAGCAAATCGATATTAAGGATGATGATATGGGGCAACCGCAATCTTCAAGCGAAAATAAATCAAACAATACAAGAATACATGAAAAGGAAATTGACTTAAGTCGTCAAGTAAATTCATCACGTAGCCTTCCATATGACGGTCGCTCACATACCACGATCAGACACCCTTCTCCTGAGCCACCTGAGAAAAAGGTATTTAGTGCTAATTTAGAAGAAAAATTCGTTTTAATAGTAAATATTTAATTATTTATTAGATTCCTCGATTAAGCAGCAATACACCGAATCCTCCACAAAGTCAATCAAGTCTTCAATCTGAACTTTTAACACGTAGTGGCTTCCAACCATACAGACCCGATGATAGACATCTTCATCCGGCAGCAGGACAGTTTCAAATGGAAAGTTTCTCCCCTTTTGGTCAAATACCAGGATTACCACCAAGTAATTAAAAATATCCTTATATTAAATGATGAAAAAAAAATTATGATGATCTTTTTTTAACCAGGTGGTTTATTTAATCCAGCGGCCTTATCATATCATGATTTATATTCATTAGATCCAAGAGTACAGACCATGTTAAGATCAAGTCAACATGCTGCACTGTATTCACAATTATCACCATATGCAGCACCGCATTTATATGGCTTGATGCCAGGAGCATCTAATTTACCGGCAATCCACGAACGAATGAAATTAGAAGAGGAACATAGAGCACGTATTATTCGTGAGGAAGAAAAGGCACGGGAAAGAGAACGAGAAGAGAAAGAGAGAGAAATGCGTGAACGAGAGCAACGAGAAAAAGAAATAAGAGAGAGACAGCAACGTGAAAAAGAGCAGAGAGAACGTGAAAAACATGAAAAGGAGATGCGTGAAAGAGAACTTCGTGAAAAAGAAATGCGTGAAAAAGAGCTGAGAGACCGAGAAATGCGGGAAAAAGAAATGCGTGAAAGGGAAAAAGAAAGAGCTATATTACAACAGCATCATTTCATGCAATCACAACGAAATCCTTATAATCTTCTTGGATTATTTCCTCAAATGGTTGGCTTACGGCCACCATCTTCAATGCATCCTGGATATGGTTCGATGCATCCCTCTCTTTTAGGATTACCTATGCCCTCACAGATACCAACGACAATGTCAAGTAGTTTATCTTTACCACCGCATCATTCACCATCGCCTCAAAATGTTCCATCATCAGTGTCACAAATTACAAGCTCCTCAAATTTATCTTCCGTTAGTAGCTCATTAATGCCGCCTCTCGGTTTAAATCCATCATCATTGCCACCGGGTTTGTCTCTCTTTCCTGGCAATTTGCCTCCTCCTGCTCATCTTTATTCTTCATTAGTTCCACCATCAGCATCTCCCTCATCAAGTTTAGGAAATAATTCATCCTTTCCTCATCCGCTTTTACCTCCTGTAACATCTCCTCAACCAATAGCGCGATCACCATCAAATCCATCCTCATCAGCACATCAAATTCAGACATTAAATTTAACGAAAAATCCCATCTCAATGGCAAGAACTTCTTCACCATCCCATTACAATTCAAACAACCTAATTAATAGCAGCAATAGTACGCGACGAAATGAGAATTCATCAATTGAAAACAAAAATAGTCCAATTAATAATAATAATAATAATTCATCGTCAAATATATCAGTAGCATCAGCGAATGATATAATTGCAAAAAAATCTGAATCCTCCAACATAAGTAATGGAAATAATGTAAATACATTAATTAATTTAAATAGTAATAACAATAGTGGTAATTTAATGAATAATAATTCCGGTATGATTAAGAATGAGCAACAAATTGATGTAGCACCAATTAAGGCAGAAAAATTGATAAAAGATGAAAAAGGAGAAGGTTTTAAGCCCATTGTATCGGAAAAACCAATAATTGATCCTACAAAAACCAACACAGCTACAAATATTCCAAAATTAGAATCAGATATTATAATGAAAGATGAAGGCTTAACTATTGAAAATACTTCACCTAATAACACTTTAGATAATCCTGACATAAAGAAGGAAAATGATGACTGTAAAAATATGATAGATATGGATAGTAACATAATTGATGTGAAAAATAATGATGAGAAGATGATAGTCGACGATAAATCTAATGATGATGCAACAGTTGATAAAAATATTGAACATGGCGCAAATAATAATGAGAATAATAAGACGTCCATTAAAAAATCGTAATAAATCAAGGACTATAAATTAATTTTTGACTTTCGACTTATGTCGAGTGCATAAAAGTCGTTATGTTTTAAATGTGTTGTTTCGATAAATAAGATTACAAACAATTTCACATTTTTTGAGAATAAGCAAAAAAAAATCGAAAAGAAATCAGGATTAATAGGTAGAAAATATGTAAACATTTTTACGTAAACCATATATTACTTTCAATTGAGAAAATTAATTGTCGAATTTTTCTTCTTAAGTTGAACTTACTTTCTTAATTAAAAGAAGAAGAAAAAATACGAAAACAAAAGTGACACGGTAAAATTGATATAAAAATTTGAAATTCTTCGATTTATATTTTTTGAAAAAAAAAAACAAACAAATATTAAAACAAAACTACTTAAATTGTAATAAATTATACATAAGGCATCGTAAAAATTTCTCAATAAATGCAAAAAATGAAGAAAAAAAAAACACAAAATAAAAGTAAAAAAATTTTATTGTCGTCGAAAAACATAAATAAAAATAAGATTTTTGCATAAATCGCATGTCTTTAACTGTTTACAGAAATAAGTATAATGAATGGAAAACTCACCCAGAACTTTTTGTTACAATTAAATTAACATAATTTTTTTGAGATAATTATGTAAATAAATAAAATTAATTTTTATAAATAATTTCTCACAGCGATTGTAAGTTTTAAAATTTTTCGTTTTAGTTCTACATATTTCAGCTTTTGTGTATTACGTTATAGAATGTAAATAAAATTCTAAATGGGCTTCAACGTTTTTTTGAGCATTTTTGCTAAACGGAAGAATTAAATTTGAGTTTTACACTAATACTATCTTACTAATTCAATCAAAACGCTAAAAATCAATTTCAATAATTCAATTGCTTAAAACGAAATGTATGATTCAAATAAGACAAACGTTTTATTCTGAAGCTCTACAAAATATTTCAGGAGCCAGAACATCAGTGTTGAGTGATATTTTCATGACTTTTCTGAACCAAAAAAATACCATATATAACAAATAATAATAAAGATATAGCGATATTCCCAAAATTTGTACGTCAGTGACGCTTAATTAAATTGATATTCTGAAGCAACTCCTTTACTTTGAAGAATGAATTTGAATCAAAAGCTGTGAAATTTCAATCTCTATCCCGAAAAAGAGAAAATCAAGAAATGAGGTTTATCTTTGTGACGAGACCCAAATCATATTGCAGGTTCAAATCGTATGTTCAAATGTTTTCTGAAGAAAATGTTTGAAATTCAGAAAAAAAACATCCGCTTTTAATGATTGTGGTTAACAAAAACTGTTTCGTCCATAAGCGAGCACAATTCGAGCACAAAGCAGTTTTTCATTAATTCGAAATCTAATAGCAACTTCATTAACTGATATATACTTCAAGCACAAAAGTTTAATACGGTAATAAGTATTCAGGTGATTTTCGAATATATTTTTGACTCAATATTAGCTTACACTAAGCCGTGAATTGTTTCCTAGAAATGTTGAATTCGTAATAAATTTAAATTCATGAATGAATCAAAAATCATAAAAAATTAATCGTCTATAACCTGTAAGGAAAAAAAATTAACATGAAGTAGTAAAAACACAATAGACATGTACCTTCAAAAAAAGAGGTAAATATAAATGAATCTTTATTGTTGAATCAAATAAAATTTTATATCAAAATTGTATGTTTTGTTTTTGAAAAATTGCTTTCTCGCAATATAAATGGTATGATTAATTACTTAATGTATTCATTATTCAAAAATGACGATACTTATAATTTCTACAAAAACCATTTTAACTTAAATTCGAGCTTCAATGTTAAAATATTATTAATTAATAAAATTCGATATAAAATATCTTCGGTGGATATAAAAATATTAGAGATTATTATTGTTGTTCCTTTGCTATTAGCAGCCTATATGTTACACATTTTCTTTTGTTAATTCTGTTTTTAATTCAAAAATATCAAAGATCTAAGGAATAAAAATATTTTTGGCATGTGTTTTACTGATTCTCTTAAATGAAGACGACATAAACCACCGGATTGTAGAAAGAATTTTGTTTTGAAACTTTTAATATTTTATAAATTTTTTGTTATGATGAGAATGACTGGTAATGAGATTGGATAAAAAAAAATTCACATTTGTTTTTGATATTTCATTAATTCTTAAAATTGTGTATAAATTGGAAGTGTATAAAAGGATAAAAAGATACATTTATAGATATTATTTAAATTAGATTTGGAAGTTCTATATACGGTAGTGAATTTACTGCAGTTTTTATATATTCCAAGTTTTTTAGGGAATTCATACTGTGATCATCATAAGATTTACAAACTAATCCAATTATTATCGAAAGTATGTTTTTCTCAAGTAATGCAAGTAATACTCAGTAATACTTTTAATCGTGATCATATTTTTCTCTTGTACTATAATCGGACTAATCGTGTTTCTTCTGTTTATTTATTGAGCTTTTAATCATTATTGAGGAATTTAGATAATCGTTCATTCGTACTACCGCAAGAGTTTCCAATTCATGTATATTTATATCAATTTATTAATATTTTTTTTTGTAAAATTTTACAAGCTATATAAATCTTATTCTCGTTTTTTTTTTCCTTTTTTATATATATTACGAAGAAGCTTTATTTATGCAAATCATAAGAAAGTATAAAAAATCATAAAATGTAATATGCTTTAAACGTTAATGAAAGAGAACCTATTTGAAAAATGATCATGCTATATTGAATGAAAAACTTTTTGACCGTTATTGCAAACCATCAAAAGCACGACTAGTTTTTGCAAATTAAAAATTCTTCACATTTTATATTTGCTTCTTTTAAATGATTCTCTTGAATTACAGCTTTGATTTAAATTTTTATTTCGTCTATTTTTCTTTCACAACAAAAGAAAAATAATATTTTGAATTCTATAATAATAGTAATAATAATAATAGGTTTTAATGAAATCATAAGAAATGTCGATAATTTATTCAATTCTTTAATCAGCAATAACTACCCAAAATGATGATTATTTTGTTGTTTATATTGTTTATATCTTAATTGGTCTAGGTATGAGAAAGGAGCGTAGGTATTTAATGTTTTTGTTGATAATATGGCTTACTCTCTTAAATGATTCTAGATAGAAAAATTGTTCGTGATTTAATTAGACTTTTTTTTTTGCTTTTTTATAGACACCTGAAGAACATTGTGAACGAGTTTAATTTGAAAACTATTTAGACGAAATATGTAATATCTTCGATTTAGTTTTATTATTTTTTGCAAGTTTTATCATTTTTGAAATGTTTTCACCTGAATGTTTTTTTATGCTGTTATTTTCTACCATATGAATACAATAAAAAGAATATCAATGTATTTTTTTTTCTTGCTTAATATCTAGCTATCAATAAATTTTTTTTTCTTCAATAGAATTTTCACATTTTCTTTTGATAAATGAACGGAATGATGCAATTTTGTAAAAAAAAGTATCATGAATATGATGAGATTTTTTGGAATTATTTTTTTTTCTCATTGTTTGTTCAATTAAAGCCTTAAAGACTTAAATGATAATACAATGAATAATTTTTTTGATGCGCTCAACTAAGCTACTCATATATCAGTTTCCTTCCTCTTTTTTTTTATTCATATTCGAAATTTCTAATTAGGCCAAATTTTAATATAATCTTTGCTCAATTTTCACTTCATTTTAATGATAAATTTATCAATATTCTATCGACTTTTTCTTACAATTTTATTCAATAATATATCTAAAAGTAATAAAAAATATCAAGCAGATATCTCGTTATATGTAATTAAATTTGCACACCAGTTTTAAATCAATAAAGAACTTAAATTGACATCATTCTGTCCGATGAGATTTTCCTTTCATTATATATTCATAGTTTATAAGTTCTCAACTATCAAGAAGCATTTTAATATTTTACATTTGTTATCTACGTTTATGTTTAGCAAATTTTTTTATAGATAAACTCATGTTTTCACCATACAAATTTTAATAGTTAAGTTTGATATTTTTTTCAATTATTTTCTTATGAATGATTTACGTTACGTTTACTTTATTTTGTTGGTCAGCACGAGTTAATAAATTATTTCAATACCCCTGTTTAATTTCCACAAGTTTATTAAATATCTCAATAGTCGACTCTTCGAAATCATTCTAAGAATTAAATTTCTGTTTTATCTCTTGTTAAAAAATAAAATTGTTTAAAATTCCATTCTTCTCTTTTCAAATCCATACGATGCAAACTTATGATGGTAATTATGATACTGCTTATTCTGAGATGATTTCTGGTGCCATTGTAGCTTCTGGCGAAATTTTATCGATTACTTTATCCTATAAATAGAAAATTTATTGAAAATTAGAACTTATATTGCTTTAATGTAGAACAGATTTGTATAAAAAGTTACCAATCGGTATGAATCAAATATTAATATTATGCGACAAACATTTATAAAGATAGCATTAGTATGACTCAATATGATGTGTGAATAAATATGTGAATCAGTAAAATGAGCTTTAAAATCAACACAAGATTAAATATCTGCTCATAAGTAAGTGCAAAATAGTTGATTACACTAAAGATCAAAATAACAAGTACAATTTTTTATGCATAATATGTGCTAATGTAAAACGCAAGAAATGGTTAAAAGCTTTACCTCTTTCAAAACTGGTTTTTCGTCCTCAACTTCATCGTTATGAACTCCATTCTCCGTCTATAAATAAATAAATATATGAAATATAAAATAAATATAATAATACAATGATTTATCATTTGGTACAAATCTTAAAATGACAAATTTTAATACCTTTCCATTCTCAATGGGCTCCTCCATAACACCATTTTGCTTTACTTCAACAACTTCAGTAGTTGGTGTAGAAACATCATCAATATCGTCTGTTGGTGGAGGAGGCAGTTCAATATCCTTATCATTCGATACTTCATTATCAATACGGTCAACAGCTTCTTCTAAAACCTTTTCAATCATTTCAGCAACTGGTTCAACATCAATCTCTTTGATTTGTTCAACTTCTATTTCCATTGCAACATTATTTTCATTAGTATTTTCTTCCGTTGCATTTTGAATAACGTTCATTGACTCCGCAAACACTGAGAATTGGCTTGGTGGCGGTGTTGTTGGGATTGCTGGTGGTTCTTCAATTGTATCAATTTTTTCTACGATATGTGTTTCTTTTTTTGGTTCTTCTTGCAATAGTTTTACTTCTACAATTGGTTCAGGCATCTTTTCCTCAACGACAGATTCTAGAACTTTTTGTTCAGCGACAGACTCGGTGATTTTTTCTTCAATGTCAGGTTCTGGAATCTTTTCTTCAATGACAGACTCTGTGATCTTTTCTTCAAGAACAGGTTCTAGGATCTTTTCTTCAATAACAGATTCCGGTATCATTTCTTCAATAACAGGTTCTGGGATCTTTACTTCAATGACAGGCTCAGGAATTTTCTCTTCAACAACTGGTTCTGGAACTTTTTCGTCAATGGCAGGCTCAGAAATCTTTACTTCAATGACAGGCTCAGGAAGTTTTTCTTCAATAACGGGTTCTAGAATTTTTTCTTCTAATAAAGGTTCTGGTTTTTTTTCTTCTGCTACTGTTTGTTCTTTTTCAACTATAGGTTCTTTTGTTGCCTCTTTTTCTTTTGCTTCCTCAACTTGAACGGGTTCCACCTTGATTTCAGTCGTCTTTTCTGTAATTTCAGCAGGTTCATTTTCTCCTTTGGTCTCTTCTAATTTAGAAGCTTCAGTTTCTTCCTGTGGTTTCTCTTCTGTTACAGTTTTCTCGGTTTCCTTTTCTTTCTTTTCCTTCTTGGCTGGTTTAGTTTTGTCTTTTCTACCAAACGAAATCGATCTGAACGACCACTTCTTTTTAACTTTTTCTTTTTTCGGCTTCTCTTCCTCGGTTGTTGTTGTTGCCTCTTCTGGGGAAGGTATAGTTGGCTCTTCAGCAGGTTTTTCCTCAATTGCTTCTTCTGCCTTATTTTCTTCAACCGTTTCGGGGGCGTTTTCACCATTTACAACAAGTTCATCAGTTTTATCGCCTTCATTCTTTTCATTTTCAGCAGCATCATTCTCGACCTTGTTTTCTTTGTCCTATGTATGTTGAAGAATAATATTGAAAATAGAAAGAAAGAAAAAATATTGAGTTTAAATGGGTAAAAAGGAAAAGAATAAAAAAAAGAAAAGAATAAAGATTGTAGCGGTTTATTTAAAAAAGACTTAACGCCTTACCGATGATTCATTTTCTTTGAAATATTTATCATCAATTTTCTCTAGCTTTCCAGTTCCTTCCTGGACTGCGTCTTCTTTCGTCGTTTCAGTTGTGATGTCTACAGAACGTTTACTTTGAGCCTTACCCATTGTATCTGTAATGCATGAATAAATTTATTATGAAATAATTTAAATAGAATTTATTTATTAGTTATTGTTATCGTGCCGCTATAAAGTTTCAGTCTACTGTATATCGTTGAAGTCTTTGGAAATTATTCAATTAATCAATTTCAATTATGGTGGCAATTGAAAAAAAAAATTCCCACATTTTTCAAGTTTAGGAATGTATGATTTCTGAAAATGACTCCTCTTTTTGACATCCTAAATCTTTTATTATAATATTAGGAGGCTACTTTAACATATATAGGGAAATTAAATTATTTTAAATCGGAAAAGAATAGAATTTTGCAATTTACTAGAAGCTTCTTCAGTTATCAACACTTATATGTATTCAGACAGATCACTACAACTGGTATGTCAAAAATTTCAAGTTTTTTTTTTAAAGAGTCACATTGATTTATAAATATATAAATATTTGTATCAATGAGATGAAAATAAAAACAAAAAATATAAAAAAAAACTGTTATCAGAAATAACTGCTTCAACTGCCTGCCTGAGGTTCGTCTGTGTCACATGCTTTCGATAATATTTGAACTAATTTAGGCGCTTCTTCGTAACAAAAAATGTATATAAACAGAACAACATTTTTCACTTTATCAAGCTGAGTTTCATCATTCAAATATTTACATATAACTGGGAGTTGTTATTTGCCTATTGCAAATTTAGTTCTTTGTTTAAAATAAGCTTAATTTACTTTCTACATATTTTTGTATTACTCTACACTCAATACTTTAATGATGAATCATTAAATAGCAGGAAAAAGATGTGTGAATCACAATCGTCGTGTAATGCTTTTGTAAAATTTTACATTAGTAAGTAAAGTTCCGATCATGCACTTTGATTTAATTTTTGTTTAAATAAAAAAATAGCACTTACAAATAAGTGAAGCATCGATTGCTGATTTTTAAAACGAAATTTTATACATTCCTATGAGTTGTTTTATGAATTTTTGTTCTTTAATTTTATGTGTTTGTTCATTTTTGTCAAAAATGATGTACATGTGTTTAAAGTAAAATAGAATATGAAGAAGAAAAAGAGGCTTCTATACACACCATAAATATATCTATATAAATATATGAAACATGACTGGATTTTATGTCGTATGCAATTAAACGACGAATAAGACATGGCTTGAATTCTTTATTAACTATATTGCTTTATAACTTCCGTTTATTCATTCTTATTCAAAATTAATAAATATTTCTATAGTTTAATAGCATACATACGCTTGATTCAAAAAGTTATATATCAAAATTATTCAGTTGATAAAAAATTGCTAAAATCACTATTTAAATATTTTACGTCCATAAAAATGACAATGACTCACAATAAAATCCAAAAACCGGCTTGGTCTTATTTTTTGCTTTTTTTTCTCTAGCATATGAACAGCAAATGCTCATTTTTTCATGAAGAAAAAAAAATCAAACAAAAAAGAAATTCATACATTTATCATTATGTTGTTCTTGGAGCATTAAAATACTCATTTTTAGTCATAACTACTCTAACCGTATTTCTTAAACTACATATATACATGATATTTAAAGATAATTGCGGCGTAACAAAATGATGAATTTTTTTTCGGAGGAGAGTATGATTTATATAATTAAGCAATAAACGATCTATTTAAATGAGCGAGAATTTTTCATTGATATTAACATAAAACTCTTATCATTTACATGTTAGCATTTATAATTTTACTTAAGAGAAACCAGTTTTGGTTTTTTGGGAGGTTTCTAGTTTTTTATTTCACTTACCAACTTCTTGTTTCAATTATTCTTATAACAAAGCGCGTCGACAAGAAAAAATGTGTCACTTTTAAAACTCAGTTTTTTAGAATTAAGTGATTTTTTAAGTGCTTAATTTAGTTCGTTTCAACTATTTAGCTACTTATCTACAAATTCTAATTTATTACACTTGTCGAAAACTCGAAAATCACAGTAAATGAATTATATTTTCTCTCCCCGATCTTTTTTAAGATACATTAGACAGAACAGTTGCTAGCTTAGAGCAACTATAAGCAACTCTGAGCAAAAGTCGGTTACCAAATTTCGATTCTGTTTTTTCGTTAAACTGACAACAAGATTTAATGTTTTTTTTTTTGTAATAAACGTTTGAATAAATAGTCAAATAATTTAATGTTTTATATTTATTTTTAAAAAATGATCAATTTGAACAATTAATATTTGTTGATATTAAAAACTTTGAAATCACATCTTAAACCTCATTAAAGATTGTGTTATTTTTCCAATAATTCAAACTATTTTAAATTAAAATTTTAATCAATTAGGTATTTAATATCATAAGCAAGTTTTTAAATTTAATTTTACAATGAGACAACAATATACATTATAATTTCGTTTCTCGATTATAATTTTTTAAAAAATATATTTATATTTGTGTTGATGCTTTTTCTAAGTTCGCATGTATGCGAAAGATTCCAGCTGATTTTCCGCAAACTTTTGGAACAATTGAAAATTGTGTAGAGTAAAACAAAAATTTGAAATAATTTATATTTTTTATAAATAAAATACAGCTTTAGATATACAATTTTGATAATTTTTCTAACTTTTGTTAAAGGATTTTAAAAAAGTCAATAATTTTTTTTTCTACTTCCTTAATCACATCATTTTTAAATCGATCCGTTTTCTATACGATTTTCGCATAAACATAAGTTTTCCCGTTTGTTGTTTTATAATGTAAGACTTTCTCCACCACAGTGATATTGCTTTAATAGTTATTTATGCAGTGAGTAACTTATCGTCCTTCTCCAAGATGAAATCAGATTTGGCTGTTGCAGTTTTCCTTCTTAAACGTAATTTCAGTGTGATTTAAAAAATAATAAAAACTTCTCACGAAATAATGTAGTATATTAAAGTTCCTGTGATATGTTGCATAACAAAAAAAATTAAATTTGAGTTGATTTTCAAACTTTACACTTTTAGATTGGATGTGTAAATCTAAATTATAAATAATTTATATTATTAATCAATATTTATTTGGAAAACAGTTCTAAATATGGACATTAATAATGTCACAAAATTTGATAGGTGTGATTTAGTTTTCTTCTATCATGCAAAAGCAGTCGTTTACTTTCTTCTTTTATTTGAGTCGCATAAATCAGAATTTTCGGACAAACATTTTTATTTCTTTCAAGTAATAGAATAAATAGCTACAATATAAAAATTGTTTTGACATTGTGAAGATTTTTCAATAAGAAAATAACGTTCATTTATGTGTATGCCTGTGTATGCAAAACAAAATATTTATTTATTAAGTATGAGTAAACTTCACATAAACGTTTTCTGTAAAAAGTGATTTTTTCAAGTTATTTGAAAGTTAAAATAATAATATCGTGAATATCGTTTAGTTGCTTATCGTGAAGATTATTTTAAATTAACTGTAAAAAAATTCATGGAAAGACCAGGAATTATTTATAAAAATTATTGATTTCGTACTTTACTTCCTATAAAGTTTATTTATCAATGCTGTTTCTTTTTTCAGTGCTTTTAAATCTTAATTTTGCGAACTCCCTCATTCGTCGTGATTATAGTGTTCATGCCGGCAAAAATATAACAATTCCATGTATTAAAAGTGTTACTGATACCATCTTATGGACTCGTGATGGAAATAATATAAGTAGCTCTGTGAATGTAAATTGGTACATTTTTTAAAATGAATAAATTTTTAAAAATATTTTTTCTGACATTTTTAAATAAAGGAAGAAAATTCTTTGGTATTTATTGACGTTACCACCAACGAAGCAGGCCTTTATATATGTTCAGTCTTAACAAACTCATCATCAGATATAGAGCCATTATATCAACCTCACATGCAGGTGCAAATTAAAGTCAAAACAAAACCAGGTATTTATAAATAAAATCAAAAATAATATTTTATTAATTTTTTTTTTGAAACACTCTCCTTGCTTAAAAGGAGCTGTTGGATCTTTTCGTGTTAGGGCTACGACTATAATTGCAGTATTAATATGGGAAGGTGAAATAAATAGTTTTGTACAAATTCTTGCATGCATGAAGCTTATAGTTCAATTATTTGTTCAAAGTCTGGCGTAATAGAACAGGGAACGCACCAATCATCGATTTTACTGCTGAGATGCGAAAACAGCCAGAGCTTTTTTCAAATAACACTGAAGAGAATATTGAATGGCAGAGATTAGATCCTCAACACATTGCTCCAAATGCGCGCCAATTGGAAGTTTATCACTTAGTTCCAAATACTAGCTATCAGTTTCGAATTTGGGCAAGTAATGAAGTTGGAAGCGGTGAAATATACACAATTGGTGCAAGAACCGTACCACCAACAGAAGAAAAAGGTTCGTACGTTTATTACTTTATTTAAATATCAATCTCTGATAACATTTATCCAACACAAATTAGATTTAATCATGCGTATATTAGAAGATGCAAAAGAATTTAAAAAGGAATATTGGATAGTTGCCGTTGGTATTGGTAAGTCTGTGTAAAAATCTATTTAGCAAAAAACAATAGCTTGTAATTAGATTTCTGTTTTTATTTTGTTAAAAGTATTTAAAATTAGTATAGTAATGTTTATAGAAAAAGTCTGATAGAATAGAAAGATCTTTAATAGAAAATTTTCGGGATTTTTCTTCTTTTATTTTTATATAGTAATGGGAACACTGTTAATTTTAACAATTGGAACAACGTTAATCCTTTGGAAAGAATGCAGAGAATCTTCCGGTAAAAAATATTTGTGTTTAGCATTAAATTCACTGGCGTTGCTTGTTATTTTTTGCATTTTAATAATTTTTGAATTGTTTTATTTAATGCTTTCTTAACTCATAGCTGAAATTGATGAAGATATTTTTAAATTTACAAATTAACTTTAAGCATTATATTGAATGTACGATTGTGTTAAGGGCTCGTTCACTTATTACGTTCGCTTTTAAGTGTGGAGTGGGGCTAAGATTTCGTAACATTTCAAACAATAGAAATTTTTTTCAGAGCTCGGAGTCTATAGGGTTCTCGAGTAGACTAGAGTCGACTCAAAAAAAAATGAAGTCGACTCGTGTTGACTCGATTCGACTTCGAGCTCTGACTTTTTCTCATACAGATCTTTTAACAAAGGGGTCTAAAAATTCGTATTTTGCGTAAAGTAATAACTGAACAAATATAAAGCAATATGCCAAATAATGACCAATTGATATTTCTCAATTTAAGTAGAAGTGAAACGCATAAAATTTTAAATGAATTTTATTAAGTAGAAGAGATTTTAAAATATTTGCAAATTCAAAATTAAATAGTAAAATATTAACAGCAATTAATTAGCCAAACTTTTATATAGTCAGTAGATTTAATAATAGAAAATTTTAAAATATCTTTCATTTTATTATAAAATCGTACATTCATTTATAGCTGCAGAAAAAAGTTTATAATCTTGTAGGTTAAACATTCAAAACACTTTAAAAAATTTTAATCTTTCATTTGAACGTTTAGATGTACATACACAATAAGTAAATTTTAAAAGTAGAAATTTAAAATATTTGAAATTAGCAATTATAACAGTTAAGCTATCCAATTGTGCACTTTTTGACAAGTCCCGTTTAGCAAAATATTCATGATTTTTTCAGGATTTACGAGAAATTGTCAGAAAATCAACATTTTTTCGAAATTAATGAATTATTTTAAATTTTGGCCTTTTCCACTTTTTGACAAATAAAATTGGGAAATGTCTCGCTTCTCGATCAAAAATTGATGAAAGCTTTATAAAATTGGATTTTTGATGAAATATTAAACAGGATGAAAATACTGATTTTTCACTAAGTGTGCTTCTGTTTTTAATTGAACCTATGCTCAATAAATCCTATCCACTTTTTCATAATATTTCTTAGCTTTGTTGAAAAATATTTGGAAGTAAAAATAAGGGACCAATAATTAAACAAATTTTTGATATAAATTTTTCTTACTTTTAACATTTTTACTTACTTTTTTCTATTTTCTATAATGCTGAATGACTGGCTTTAAATTCTCATCTGGTATCCTAACATCCAATTAATTTTTTTTTCAATTTTTTAACATAAATTTTTAATATCTATATTCTTGCACTGTTGTAAATTTTACATAAAATTACTTTTTTCTCATCATATATTTTCTCGGTAAAATAAATTAACACACAAACAAACAAAAATCATGATAACAAATTAAACTTCTTCTCAAACAGAAGATGAGTCTGATAAAGACTTAGTTCAAAATATGCATGTTATATTAAATCCAGGTTTCTGCCACGATGACGACCAAAATCGGCCTTTATCTCCAATTAAAACACATTTTTATGGATATGGAAATCATTATAATGATGATTATGAGAAGGACATGACGTTTTCACGAAAAATGTCAATCTTTTTTACGGGAAATACAATAAAAAGAATTTGAGTAAAGGTTTTTCCAGAACACGAAAGTCTGATGAAGAAATAAAACAAATATTAACAAAAGTGATGATGAAATAACTATGCACTCTCTGTCAATTCTTTTGCTTATTTTTAATGCTTAACAAGTAACTTTCCAAAAATGGACTATCCTTTGAAAAGCAAACCGAAAATTTAATCAAAAAGAAGACTAACATATAACATATGCTATGTGAATTTGAAAAAGCCTTCATAACGCTAAATAGCTTAAATATGTTATTCAATCACTCAAATCAATTAAATACTTGTAATTTAGTTTAAACACCTTTTTCTATTACCTCTTACATTGTAATAATTTTATATAGTTTGCAAAGTATACATTTAAAACATATTTATTTCACTTTACAATCAATCCTAATGTGTTCAAAATATTATTAATAATTTTTTTCTTCTTTATTGAACCTTTGAACTTTTTGCATGATCCTAAATGTATTTTAATAAATAAATTAATTGATTCGTATTATTTTCAATTTAGTTTTTAAACCTAATCAGTTAATAAGTAAAAAACGTTAATATAAATCAAACGTTGTATGAAAAAATACTATGGAACTTAAATATCCTATGGATTCCGAGTTAGTATTACAATTATTTCACATTTCTTAATTCTTAATATTTTCAAACTTAAAAAAAACCTAGATATCATGTTTGTTTTATATGCTTCTAAAGTTACTATTTTTTAAAAAAAATCTTACTTCAATTTCGATTTGAAGGGAAAAAAATGTTGCTTATAAATGTGTGAGATAATATTAAACTAATGATTTTTTTTATTGCAATAGTACTATATATCAGATGTGCCTCAAAAATAAAATGAGAAGAAGTAAAAAAAAGTAGGAAGAAAGGGATTTAATGCATGCAATAAATATTTAAAATTGAATTGCTGGTTTTGTGAATTATAAGGTTCATATTATAAAAAGATATTTGCTTATTAAAAAGATACTTCTTAGTAAGTTCAAAAATTGAAGCTAAAAGCTCATATGGAATTCAAACGCAAGTCTTAAATGTTCAAAGATATTTTAAAGATTATTTGAATTGAAGTTCTTTGGATTTGCAAGAGAAAAAATTTCCACATCAAAAAACAAATAGAACTTTGTCGAGAAAATGAAAAAAGTTTTCAGCTTTATCAAGTCCGAAAAAAGACTTAAATCTATTGTAATCTAATTACAAAATTTTATCAATTCAATTGACCTCAAAAAATTTAAATTAACTTTGCCTAATCAAAAACAAATGTTAAAAAAGGAGTAATATGTAAAAAAATTGTTGAATTTTAAAATTAAAATTTTACTGCTTTAAAATCAAGATTCACATAAGAAAAGTTTTAAAGGCCTAGGAAAATTTTAGAAACGAATATAAATAAATAAGTTTTATGCTTCCAATTAGAATGGGAAATAAATAATCAATGAATTATTTATGCTTCATAAAGTGCTAAAATGTTGAGTGCTTTGAAAAATAATAGTTAATAAATAATTATGCACAAAAGTTCTAAAATTTGACACAATTTAAAAATTGAAATTATCAAAATTGTTCGATCATTTTTTGTTCCACAGATTTAGTAATAAAAATCTAAATTAATAAAGTGAATGATTTGAAACTTGAACATACACGTGATACAATGCGCATACCTTTAATTTTTAATGATAATAATTAGTATGTAAAAGTTCAAAACAAAACAATTGTGACTAATTAGATTCTCAATCATGCTGGAAAGCTTAATAAAAATATTCAAAATCATTAAAAACATAGTAAAAATAATAAAAATGTAAAAGTTTTTACAACAGAAATGTGAAGTTTTAGTATTTATTATTATCTCCCTCAAAAGCATTATTTTCACAGCCCTTATTGGCACGAGTTTTGGAACATACCGTTTTATTTTTTGGAATTTTAATATCTTTAAGTTTCTTGTTATTGTCAGAGAAATGAAGCTCAATATCTTCAAGTGTCCGTTTTTCAGTTTCAGGTAAGTAAAAATAGATGAATATAAGTCCAAAAACATCTACAACAGCATATCTTTTAAGGATGAATGTATTAAAAATTAAAACAAATTAATTTATACAAATTTTACTTACAAAGCAATTACGCCAAAAAGTGATAATGTCGATTCCATATTAAAATAAGTTTTGGTTGTGAAAAATGCCATTGTGTAATTTATTGCAGCTGTTATTCCACTGGCAAGTCCACGAGATTTAAATGGAAAAACTTCAGACAGTATCATCCATGGAACAGGAAGGACACCCAAACTCGTAAAAAATGCCAAAAGATAAATGAATGTCAATGGAATGTATCCTAAGTAATTGTTGATTTCAGCTTGATCTATATGCTTTTCAAAAGATGTAAGTCCACTTGGCAGCACAATATATGAATAAATTGCAAGAGAAATTATACTTATACAAGCGCCAGTCATAGAAATTAGTGCAATTTTTCTCTTTCCTAAGGGTTTAACCAAACAGACACACACAATGTTTGCGAAAAATCCCATGATACCTATAACCACTGTAGCCCATGACGCATCATATGGAATTGAATATGCTTGAAATATTTGAATAAAGTATGGTCGCATTGATGCTAATCCGCTAAATTGTGCAAATGCAAACATCATGATAACAAGAAAAAGGGGCTTTAAAGTTCTTTTTCGTTTAAGCTCTTTCAATAATTCGCTCGCTGTTGCCGGCGGATGAGTACATTTTGAATCATTTTTATGGCATGAAACACATCTATTGCTTTCTTGACTATATCTTACAATTTCATTAAACTCAGACTCTACATGTTTTGAATTTTTTACCCAACCTCTCAGCCACATTAAACTTTTTAGTGCTTCCTCTTTTCTATTTTTTGCGAGAAGCCAAAATGGCGTTTCAGGGACAAAACAAATTGCAACTGCAGTACAAATAGGTACAGTCGAGCAAATTAAGGCTGTCAGACGCCACGTTGTTATGCTTCCAAGTAAATAAACTAGAGAAATTCCTATCATAACGGCAACACCTGTAATTAAGCATGTAAAATATACTTTCTTCAATAATAATTATTTAAAATATACAAATTTTACCTGCACATGACGTTAACACTCCACGAATACTTGGTTGACAAATTTCGCCTGCATCAAATATAACTTTTTTTTTCTAGAATTTTTCAATAAATTTATTTACATACCGACATAAGTAATTATTGGTGCTTCCATAAAACCAACTCCAAGTCCCAACAAAATTGCTAGAAATTTCAAATGTTTAATGTGAATATAATAATAATGATATATAAAGAATTACCGGCAATATAAAGTTCAGTCAAAGAACTCGCGTAGTGTAACATTGCCCATCCGATAATATGAGGAATATTTACGAGTATCATTGATTTTTTTCTACCAAGAGGTTCTAAAACAATTCCACTTGCAATACTCCCAATAGGTTGAAATATGAAAGCAATACTTGCAAACCATGATGCTTGCTAAAGGTAAAAAATAATAAATTGTTTTAATTTTAATAAAATAATAAATTGTTTTAATTTTAATAAAATAATAAATTGTTTTAATTTTAATAAAATAATAACGTTCATTATTTTACCTCTGCAGTAAAAGAAAGAATATCGTTGTTGTCGTGCATTTTAAGTCCACGTAAAGCTGGAATTACAATTGTCGGAAATGAAACAGCCATCCCAAGATCAAGGAGAAGAAGATTTTTTGCTGAACTAGCAAGAATTTGAGGAAGAATACGTTGAAAAGTGCTAATTTCTTTGAGGTTTTCATTTTTTTCGGTATCGTTTTTCATTTTTGGTGATTTGAAACTTTTTTTATTTTTCTGAAATAATAAATTTTTAAAATTTGGATTGACATTTTGAAGGTAATATCGGTAATATTAAAAAGCTGTTTTAAAAATACTTGTTAAACTGTTTAATAAAAGCTCAAAAAAGCTTTTATTGTTCGCTAGAGTTCAATGCTTGAATGAGCACATTGCGTCACGCGATCATACGTAAATATCTACTTTAATGACTAAGTAACAAGTTCAGAGTGAACAGCAATTTTCTCTCGATGTGATTTCTGCTCATTCGCCGTATGCGTTTTATTTGTAGCTATTTGTTTAATTAATTGTTTGAGAATTTATTATATAATTATCAGTAAGTCAATAAAAATTTTATGCTATTTTTTTATTTACTCTAAAATACTCTAATAATTAATCAATCATTGACCTCTAATAATGATATGCATTACCCTTGTTAAACTTAACTTTATCTGGTCACATCTTGTTACAGTTATAAAAGCATACAGAAAACTCTTCACTTAATTATATAGATGCATTTATCAGGCATTAGAACTGTCGCTCTATTTTTGAACGATCAAGAAGATCAGCATGACATTTTATATTGATGCATTTATCAGGCATTAAAACTGTCGCTCTATTTTTGAACGATCAAGAAGATCAGCATGTCATTCGAAAGAATATACAAAGTATTTATAACTTATGTTTAACTAGCTGAACCAAGCAACATTTTCCGTTTTATTAAAAAATGAAAAAAAAAATATTTGAAAGTGATTCTTTAATTAAAATAAATACTTTTTTATTTTTAGCCTATGAACAAAAACAACGGATATTCACAATTATTTAATACATCATCAGATTTAATTCTTTCAAGATCAATGTAAAAATCAGTAAAATGAATGAAAAAAAAATTCACGGTCACTTTCAATGTTAAACTATGTCACACTATTGTTAATTTATTTTCTAATTGCCTTTCACCAGCACACGATGTGATTTCATAAGTTCAAAAATCAAAAGTTTTTTTGATCATATCTCAATTATTTTACACAAAAAAAAAACAGACAACTATCTTTCACATTTATTTTGTTTTGTCAAAGCACATTTGTGAATTATCTATTATAAAAGAACTAAGATCGATTTGTAATAAGAGTTTGAAGATGGCTAAACATTTAAATTAATCATCGAGATTCAACAAACTTAATGGTAGTGTTTAGCAAACAATAATATTATTACGTTCTCGAATTACAATTGCGATGAACCACACAACCGTTAACTTAAAAGATTCTGTACCACAGTTCTGTTCAATTAAAGACAGTTAAAGAACTAATGTTGTACTTTATAACACAAAAAAAAACAATTCACATTTTCTTTTGGGAAAAAAAATGATTGGATTTAAGTTTTATGCATTTGAGTGGACAATATTTTTTGATCCTCAGAGTTATTTATTGAAATATATGTAACTGACAGTGTTAATATACGATATTAACATATTTGTTTATCTATGATATACTTTTATACTTTCTATAAATTTCACTAGATGTCTTTTATTTATTTAGATTTATTGTAATGTATAACTTTATAATGACGTTATGCTAAAGTTGAATATACTTTCATTCAAGGGCATAATAATTGCAGTGCCGTGTGCAATTTGGTGTGCACATTCCTTTGTAAGGCCTTGAAGCAATTAGTATAAAAGAAGATAGCATAGCATGAATAAAGGAGTCTATTTTTTATTATCAATAGATCCAGACCTTCTTGTTTTAAATATTTATCAACTTCACCATTTGCAGTTGTGCAACAGACAGGTTAAACTTGATATTAACTATTGCACACTTGTAAATGTAATTGTAAACTTAAAAGCAGTAGAACCATGAAGCATCTATTTTTACAGTCCATTCTTTCGTGCATAAGAGAATAGAGATTACTTTAAAATTGAGCAAAGCATAAAAATAACCTTGAATTTTGCTTGTACAGAGAGGTAATGTCAGTCTTCTAACTGATTTATAGTCATACTTAATATTTATTTGAAAGTTTGAGTTATATGTTATTTTGGTTTTTGTGATCTTCGTTTTACAATTATATAAACAAATATTCAATTGCAAAAGAGATAAATTATTACATACTTATTCTGAATATTAATTTATTTTCTTTCTTATATTAATATTTAAATTTTATTATGCTTTAAAGCAAGTCTATATAGTTGAGCGATCACTTTAAAACTGAAAACACTATGTGGATTTATTTAGTTTTAAGATGTAACGAACATGAAAAAATAAAAACTTACGAGAAACATCGATGAAAATAACAAACAGTACAATGGACGTTTGAGATGACACTTGAGAGATGCAAAGTATGAATGAATTTCTTTTGATATCCTGATTGTCCTTAAATATTTTAAAAACTTTTGATTCGTTTAAAGTTTTCTTGCTAATGAATAATGATTTTTAAAAAATTTCATTGTCTTTTTATACTTTCAGAGATAATCAGAACATCATCATACAGTATATTGAGCTGATTAATAAATTATGTATATGCCTGAAAAAGATTATGAAGTGCTTAAATTGTAAAAAGATAATTCATTTTTAGAACTTCATCAAAAAAGAAATGCAGAACTTTATTGTTATATATTGTAATAGTAAATACATAATTTAAACTTTTTATTTAACTTTTAAATTTGTAAGACACATGATTTTTATTGTTAGGTGATTCACAAAAGGAAGCTAGTAAATTTTTTCCTCTTCAACATTTGAATTTTTTGATCAACAAACACTTAATAAAAATTACAGTTCAATTTGTAAATTTAAATTATCAACGAAACTTTTTTTGATTATTGTTTCAATTCTTTTTTTTTATTGTTTTTGTTTTAACAACTTATGAAGGTAATACTAATTTCCCAACATTATTTTCTATCTACTTTAAAGTTTTGATTATGTACCCTAGCGAGACTAACTAGCAAATTGCTAGTCTTTCTATTTTACTACTTGCAATTTACTAGTAATTATTAAAACAACTTACTGTTAGAAAATTACACTCGCTATTTACTAGCAAATTACTAGCAAATTACCATGTAAAATGTTTGATCAAATCTTCTTAAGTTCGAATCCTAAGAAAAATCATCAAAAAAAGAATTTTTTGCGTCATAAAAAATTTTGTTCTAAATTTGGCATTTGCCATATACTTCACAAGAGCGCGCAGAAATCACCTTTATAAGCTCGATCCAAATTTGTATGTGACTTTCAAATAATTATTTATCTTCCTCAGGTTTGCGTGCGAGTCATGGGTGTTCATCGGTATTCGACTTAATTAAATTAAGTTTTTTATTTTTTTCATAGTGTTAGTGTACTTTAATTAACTTTAATTAAGTACACACTAATTCTTTTACAAAAATTTACACAAACAAAAAAAATCAAAAGAACACGTGGAAATCAACGGTTATATTCATTTAATTTTTTTAAAAATTTGCTAGTAAATTACTAGTTAAATTGTAAGCGAATTGACTAGTCAATTAGCAAGTGAAAATGCGGGTCTTTGGCGATGATTTGAACTTGGATTTTGACTAGTAAATAGCAAGTAGCAAATGGAAAGTTATCCAGTAAATTACTAGGAAATTACTAGTAAATTTCTGCTAGGGGTAAAATATGTTTTTTAGTGTAAATTTATTAGTTTACAGATTATCTCACTGATAGGGATGAATAGTTGGATGTTAATGAAAGTAAGTAGCTTATGTGCAGCAGAAATGCAAAAAATGTCATTGTTGAATGACAAAAGAATAAAAATGAAGCAATTTAAAGTCTACTTTTTGGAAGACTTTTAATTTTAAATATACATGTAGATACTTTATTGGTCCATTATTCGTTAATGACAAACGTCATATTGAATTCATTATTTTGCTGCAAAGCAACTCCTTACACTTGGTCGCCCTGTACTATTATTTTTTGTGTTTCCATTGGAATCTAAATCATCATATTCTTCGGACTCTGTGAACAAATAGAAAAGATTGTATTTTAGATTTTAATTCGAATCAAAAATGTTATTCACATCAATTAAACATCAATCGTTATTAATTAATAAGGTATTAGATATTTATATTTACTTATGAATTATAAATGACTTTAGTGACTTTTTTTTCTTAATATTATTCAAACATGAAAGATGTAGTTTTGTAAATTGAGTAAAATGAAATTAATGAGCATCCGCATCCATCACCATGAGCATATTTAAATCTTTAGCATAAATACTGTAAATATGTTAAAAGAGTAAATATTGTAATGAGAAAAAGAGAGAGAAATATTTGATATTAAAAAGTGGAGTTAACAAATACACAAGGCTAGCTTACGGTTAAGTTAGAGTTAGTCATTAGAGCATTACCCTTCTGAATATTTTCTGAAGAGATACCTGTCATTGGGCACACATAGTTGCTGAATTCTGATTCTTCGTTCCTAATACTTTTCTTACGCTTCAGAGAAAATTGTGACTTTTTAGGTGTCTAAAAATATGAACAAATTTTTTTTATTTTTTTTATAAATAAATCAGTTTTTTTAAATCTTATACTATCAATGATTGAAAAAAAAATTAAATCTAATTATACCTTTATCTTTCCTGTGATTGTAAGCGGAATATATCCTAAAGTATTTTCAGCCTCACGCTTTAGTTGAATGCAATCACGACCTAAAAGGTCTTTGAAGTGTGTCTGTAAATGCCTTCTCAATAATGTTTTACTTGAAGGAATTGAGAGTAAATCAGCAAAAAGTTCTGCATTAAATTTAACATCATTGACCATAAGGCTTCCATGAACACCTGATCCACGTAAATTCGGAGCATATTCTGCTAGATCAACCATACGTAACCATTCCATTATGCAGTGGGATGTCCAGAAAACAATTTTATCTTTATCAATTTCACCAAGTCTACGAATCAGACAGTCTGGATTAAAGTTCTGCTCACGTAATAATTGAATTCCGCGACGTAAACTTGCAGCATGAAGACAAGAGCTGATATGCATTGTTGCCAAATCATCAAATGTTAAACGATGAAGAACACGTCCATCAACTCTTGCTGCGATAAATTCATCTTTGTGTTGTGGTAGCCCAATATCATCAAGCCATCTTAAAACCCATGCTGTATCAAGTTTTCCTGCATTTCTAAGCATTTCATCATTATCTTGTTCACCTACATCAGCCATAGCTAGCAAGATTTTTTTTCTATGAAGGAGTGATTTAAGGTTTAGTTCCTTTTCAATATCTTGTGGAGCACACGTTAATATGTCTTCTCCAGTTTTTAACCATCGTCTTGCATTTTCAATTACATAATCCAAGCCTAATTCTTCAAACCACACACACAACATTTCAGAATCCCATTCTTTGAAAGGTTTCTTATTAGTTTCTTGTGTACTCCAACCTAATCGTGGCCCAGCAGTTGCTCTCATACCACCTCGTACAAATTCATTTTCAATATTTGAAGAATCCTCAACTAGACTAACATTTCCATTATTATTAGAACTATGTTTCATCTTTTCAAATATTCCGCGAAGTCCCTTGTGCTTATGACTCATCGATGGAGATGTTAATGCTTGAACTTGATAACTCCTTTGAGGGATATTTATGCTGTCATCTATAACTTTATCTTTATCTGCAAAAACAACATTTCTTCGAGGTGTGTTATTCATTTCTGAATTGTCTTGAGCATTTCCATTTAAACCCCCCGATGAGGATAGCGACAACATTGTTGATGTAGCGAATGATTGTCTTGGAAGACTACTATAATGAATGTCTGAGCGTTGTCGAGAAAATTCAGGCGATGACTACAATATAATTAAATTTTATAAGAATTGTTTCTTAGGAAATTTGCTTAAACTTACAGAATTAGCAAGAGCCAAATTTTGTGATAAATTGCCATGACTTCCACTAAGAGTATTATTATTCTTCTGATTATTGGCTGCAATCTGTTGCGTTGCATAACGTTTACTACTATATGGCGATTGTGAATTATTAAGATTTGTTAAGCTGCTCTTCAACACTCCTGTACGCAATTCATAATTTTCCCGCTCCAATGTGGCTTGTTGCAATTTAAATTCACTAATGGCTTGCATTAATTCAAGCTTTTGTGTTTCCAGTGATGATCTTGACAACATTTCCTTAAAAAATATTAATTTATTTATTAGAGTATTTAAATAACTCTGTTGTACTTACTCTGTTCAATAAATCTTCAGTATTTTGTAACTGGTGATTTTTTTCATTAATAGTCATCTCCATATCTTTTAATTTATCATTTTGTGCATTAATTTGTTCAGTTAAAATTTGGATTTGTAGCTGAAGAGCATCTTTATCTGACTGCAAACGACGAACACGTTCAGATGAGTTATCTTGGCGCTAAATAAGTAAATGAACGTAGAAAAAAAAAGATATTATTTTTAGATCCATATGTTGCGTACATGTAAGATATAAATATCAAACTTTTTAATTTTCTAATAAGATCATCTCTATCAATCCATTCACCTGATATGGTGGAGAATAATAATGATTACTACAACATGGTGGAGCATAGTGATAATAAGGTGCATCATAATTTCCTCCAGATAATGAATGATTTGAGGGATGTTGAAAGAGCTCTTGGCAACTGCCAAGACGATAAGGATCATATGGTCGTCTATAATATTCCATTGATCGTAAATCTTCTCTACTAGACATGTGGTGTTTGAAATAATGATGTTCCCAAGGATGGAATGGAGGTGGTGGGGGTATTTCCCATGCGATTGGAGACATTCTCCGATTACTACACGAACTTGATGAATTGTTATCTTTAGTTAAACTGTTCCCAATAAGGATTTTCTCGTTGAGATCTTTCTCTTTTAACGAATGAGTGCTCCGACTCTTTGAGTCACGCTCTCTACGATGCGATTGACTTCGGCTACGATGTCTTCGATCAAGGCTAACTGAATTTGCATTTGCAAATCGTGGAGGTTTGTTTGAGTTTAAGTTCGAATTAGGTGGTTTAATTTCACTAAGAGCAGGTGTTTTGCTTTCTTCTTCTTCCTCCTCCTCTTCTTTTACTTCTTTGATATAATTTTGATCGAAATTTTCATGTGTCCTTTTTTGAGATCGTTGTAAACATGTCCATGTGATTTCATCTTCATCTGAACTTGAAATTTCAGCTAGAAATTGAAAGTTTTTCATTCAAACTGTGTTTGCACGTGATAGTCATAAATGAGAAAACAATTAAGCAAATATTTTCTTTTCTTTCCAAACGAAATATTTTTTGTGTTGTTTCATTCTTTTCTTTTATAGTAAAAACGAGTAAAAACAAACAGAAATTTTATAAGACACTATATGTGGCATGAGAGAGACTGATATAAAAAAAAACCTTGAGAAAAATATAGAAGAAAAATATCAAAAATGAAACAAAAATGTGATCTTTTTCATTTTTCTTTTGTGCAGCCTTTTCATCATCGAATTGAATTTTTTTTTGAAAATAAAAAAATTCTATAATAGAAAATGTGGAGAGAAGAAAATCTAAACAGAAGAATATTTATGTACCACATATTAGTATTGTATTAAAAATATAGAGAGTGAGGAGTTTAAGAATGTTAATAATAAAAAGGGGGATAAAAATAGAAATATATGGAAAAATTATTTTCTTCTTATAGTCAAAGCTTAAACGCATCTATTTTGTTTGAGAGCAGAAATATGAAATGATGAAGTCCCGGTTTTTTACATTTTCGACGAAACGCAACTAGATAGAATGAAAATTTTCGTACATATTAATACACATGTATTAAGACATTCAAAATATTTTGAATCAAATGAAAGATTTATGACAACAAAATCCAAATATTTTAATTCTCAATTATGCTATTTGTATTAACCTTTTACTATTTCTTTTGTTACTACATCACAATGAGGACTATCATTCGAGTCATACGATTCTGAGTTTTCTGTTAAGGTCTCAGGCTGTTCATCTTCATCTTCATCATATTCTTCTGATGTTGTCGGTTCACTTTTTGATTGTACAATGATATCTTTTGTATCACTTTTTGATCTTGGGGGCTTTTGTGGCTTCTCAAAGATTTTATCGTTATCCACATTAACTTTTTGCTCTGCTAGCATTTCTCTCCTTTTCTTTAGTAATCTTTGAATTTTTTTGGCATTCTCTGAATGCTTTGTTTGTAAGGATTCACTACTTTGCACTCCCTTTTGTATTTCACTGCTATTTGTGGAAAATACAACAGGCTTCATACTTTTATAAATTTTAAATGTATTTCCCAATTTAATATTTTAGTTTCTATAAACAAAATTCTTGAACGGTCTTACTGCTTCAATATTCCGTGAGAAACTGACGTCAACTTTTCTCATTTTTAAGTGTGTATTTTTTAATTACTTACAGCGGTAAAATGGCTCAATTTTGTAGTTTCTTCTAAGCTAATTTTATAACCACGCTCTTTGTATATCAGAGATTTTTAAATCACACTGTTTCTCCCCCGCATTATTAAGATTCTCCCAAATGAAACATAAACATTTTCTTTGAAAAAAAAAATTTTTTTATTTTAATTCTGTCTGTTTTCTGTTTTTATCTCTCAAACTTAAAAAAGAGAAAAATTACTGAAAAATCCGAAGCAGTCTTTCCCCATTGCCGCTTAAATCGTAACACATGTACTCGAAAATTTATATCCGCTCAATTCGTCTGCTATTTTGTAAAATATAATTTAAAATGACTTTGAGACAGTACAAAAATGAACTCTTAGCTGATAGCTTGATATTTTCTCAGTTAACCTTTTTTTAATATTAAACGACAGACAAGTCTCTCAATAAAGTTAAAAATATTTTCTTTTCAAATCGTAGTAAAGAAATCACGAGCCCCCAACAAATTCAAGCTGTTAATAGCACAAACTGATTTATTTCGTCATAATCATGCATTCAAAATAGTGGCGTGGACAGAATTAGTGATTGGGTGGAAAATCAGTCAAAAAATAATTTTTTTTAACATTTGGTTTTTGATAGATAAACGCCGCTGTTTCGTAGTGATCTTTATTATTATTACGAAGTGTCAACACATTGCTGATAAAAAAAAAAAAATTTTATCAAAACGTATGACTCACTCCATTGATAATTTTAATGTGTAAGAATTAAAAATGTATTTTACAAAATTTTGTCTCTAATAAAGTTTATATTTCAATTAACGTTCTCATTAAAATTTTTCTGTACATTTTTTTGTATTTTGTCTAAAAAATTACTTTTGGAGTAAATCAATCGAGGAAACTAATAAAATTTGGTTACTTATTGATGGTGAATGGATATAGATCAAATTACAAAATTATTTATGGCTAAAACAAAACAAAATTATAACTTACTGGCATATATACTTCCAACCACGCATTTATAACTTCTGCGGTTTCTTTGTCCGGCGGAGAAGGGGTATTTTTGCACTGTTGCAAAGCTAATGAAAGTGTTGTTGCTGCAGACAATACATTTAATGTTGATGGTTGCGAATTTCGATCATCTAAAAAGCAATAAAATGGTACAGAAATTTTTACCCATGAAATATATTTTCTGTGAGCTCGTCATCAATTATTATCTCATTATGATTGAAATAAATTTGTAAAGTTGTGGAAGTAATGTGAAAAAAATCAATACAATATCCGGTTATCTAACATTCATGTCAAAAAAATTACCTAAAATTATTCCATCAAATGAGGATAGAGCCTTTTCAAGTAACTTTGAAGCCTCATCATTCAAATCCATGCCGAAACTTTGTTTTGTTTTTGACATATTTTATTAGCCTGTTGCTTTTTTTTATTGTTTCGATTTTCTTTTTTTCGTCACTAAACTAATTCTTATATCTTATTCATAAATTATTTCATAGGCCGTTTCCAACAAACACATAATCACAACATCACTTTAATTAAGCATAAAGTGAAAACATATACGAAAAGCTATCAATAAAAAGTATAAATAAAAATAATAAAGAAAAAAATTTGTAATCACTTCTTTAAAGTATAACAAAAATTATAATAGTAAAGCAACAATATGCTGAAGGGAGCGAAACACAAAAAAAAAATTAACTCGTAAAATTGAAACTGTTATAAAAATTATGAAGCATGCAGCATGATGTTCAAATAAAACAATCGTTAATTACAAAATTGACCTATATACTCGATGAAACAATTTCAAATTGAATTGCATCGAATTATCATTTATGCTAATTCAATTTCACCACTACATGACATGACTATGACAAATTTATTTCGAGTTTAATTTTACCATTTATTTTACTTAATTTAAGGTAATAATTTCACAAAAAACATAATTAAAAATATTAAATATATTATCTGATCATTTCAGTGCATTTAAACATAAGACCACTGCATTTATGACTAAAAACCAAATACAAACAATTCAGGATGAAAATAGTGGCTTAAACAAGAACTCATCAGATAATCAGATCATTTTTTTTTCTTTAAAATTTCGTATAGAAACGCTGAGTAGAGTCGTCTCTCCTTCGATCTCTAGTTAAGTAATACGCAACGCTTGTGCTCACATACTACTATGAGTAGAACATACTCTTAAGAGTACATAATGAGTCTAATCATAAAATGTTCTCACTTGAGAACATTCATTGACTATACTCTTGAATTTGCTTTAAGGACCTCAGATTGAAACACAAATTTTTCTTTATGTGCACTTTTAAGAATGCTTATTAAGTTTGCTTTTAAGCACATTTTAAGTATGCTTAGATAGTGTGACATTTTTAAGAGAATATGCTCATTTGTGTTACGTGATAAGTGAATTTTTGAGCACATTCAGAGTCCATCTTTATTATAAGTCAAAATTATATACTCAGGCTTACTTAGGATTTTTGAAAACTTTCGAAATGAAAAGTATTCTTTGCACTATGGGGCAAAATGAAAAAAAAAGGGACTTTCACTTTGAAAAATGGACTTTTCCGATTTACACTTTTTGGGTGATTTTTTCTTGTAGAGGACATAAAAGTAGATAGAAATGCCAAATTTCAGGTCATTTGGTGCTGATTTCGCGATTCTAGAGCTGTTTGAAGTTGAAAACTAGTGAAAATTCTGGTTTTTTCATACCATGTTTGAACCGGGAAATATCTTAACTGGTTTAAGATATTGCAAAACGGTTTTCAGTTCCTATTAGTAGTATATAAGAGCTTTATTTTGACATATAACAAAGTTTAGGTTCTGAATGTTTTCGTGCCATTATGGTAGAACATATGTGAAAATTTCAGGAAAATTATCTTCAAACAAGCCGCAACTATCATAAATGAAGAGTTTCTAGGCAAGTAAAAACGCAGTTTTGTAGCCCCATATATCTAGTTTTCAAAACTGTATAAACTTTGAAAAAGTAAGCTAACGTAATTGAGTTATGTTGATTTTAGTAGGTCGTTGAGTATTTGGCCAAAAACTAATAATTCTTTTAAAAATACGAAAACATAGTTTTAAAAATAGTTTTTTGGTGTTTTCTTATGAAAAATAACAATTTAAATGATTTTGTGAAGAAAATTTTTCAAAAACTTCAAAATCTTTCGAGATATAGGGGGTATGTGCTCTCCATCGATTTGGCCATTTGTCACCCTACTTAAACCACTATAACTTTTTTTTGAAAAAATATTTTTTAATTCTGTTTTCGGATTATTGTAGCCTAATGTAATACCTATCCAACGATATATAATACTTGTTAGTTAATTTAGTCCTGGTTATTTATAGGGCGGTTGATTGTGACATACGCAGTTTTTGAAATATTCCCAAAAATTGCATTTTCAAAAATACCACTTTTAAGCAATCTCGAGTATTTTTTGGACTTTTTTAAGAAATGTTAAGTCTGAAAAAGGCTATTATCATTAGAGTAATAAAAAAAATACTCTGATACGCAACTATAATAGGTAAAATTAATAAAGTTTAATTTTTAGTTTAATGAAATTTTGTTTATTTGTCAAGAAATTTAATTTACATTTTTTTATCATATTTAATGAAATTTATTTATTCATTCGTTGTTTGCTTCTTCAGAATATTCATGGTCTTGTCCTTCGGAATAATCATAGTTTTCTGCTTGGGAAAAGTCATAACCTTCTCCTTCTGGCTCAATCAATTCAATTTCTTCCTCATCTTCTTCCTCATTTTCTGTTTGTTGCTCAGGTGTTTCACCTTGATGCCCTTGCTGGATGAAGGCTCTATGTCATGGACGATGTATTCAATCTCATCCATATCTTCATCTGTGTCAGTAACATTTTCTGCTTCATATATAGATTCTTCCTCAAAAAGAATCCCTCCACTAGATTCGCTGAAGTATCGTGAGTCAACTTCAAATTCCTCTTCATAGAAATCTGCATGATCTCTTAATGCATTATTCCAATTTGACTGATTACAAAACATTTTTGACTTTGACTTCAGCTTGTTTAATTTATTAATTAAACTTGGTTTCTGTGATTCCGCTAATTCTCTCCCATGAATTTCTTCTATTACTGCCAAACAGTACGTGTGCTGTGTTGCAAGATTTAACGTTTTGTCGCGAAGAATTTCACAGAGTGTTTTCTTCGTAAGTGTTGAATTTTGGTTCATTTTTGAAAGTGACTTGTTCAATGAAGTTCAAAACTGATATGATGTGTAGAGAGAATTTCACGAGTATATATATAAAATAGTTTCAAAACTGAGATTTTCACACCTGATAGTGACTACCAAGGGTACTTTACAAAGTTGTTAACTAGGGAAGTAAAAAGTTTCTAAATTTAATTTTTTGGCTTTATAATCTCATAAATGTCATAAATAAACATAAAAAAGTTCTAAAAAAATACTCGAGATTGCTTAAAAGTGGTATTTTTGAAAATGCAATTTTTGGGAATTTTTCAAAAACTGCGTATGTCACAATCAACAGCCCTATAAATAACCAGGACTAAGTTAACTAGCAAGTATTATATATCGTTGGATAGGTATTACATTAGGCTACAATAATCCGAAAACAGAATTAAAAAATATTTTTTCAAAAAAAAGTTATAGTGGTTTAAGTAGGGTGACAAATGGCCAAATCGATGGAGAGCACATACCCCCTATATCTCGAAAGATTTTGAAGTTTTTGAAAAATTTTCTTCACAAAATCATTTAAATTGTTATTTTTCATAAGAAAACACCAAAAAACTATTTTTAAAACTATGTTTTCGTATTTTTAAAAGAATTATTAGTTTTTGGCCAAATACTCAACGACCTACTAAAATCAACATAACTCAATTACGTTAGCTTACTTTTTCAAAGTTTATACAGTTTTGAAAACTAGATATATGGGGCTACAAAACTGCGTTTTTACTTGCCTGGAAACTCTTCATTTATGATAGTTGCGGCTTGTTTGAAGATAATTTTCCTGAAATTTTCACATATGTTCTACCATAATGGCACGAAAACATTCAGAACCTAAACTTTGTTATATGTCAAAATAAAGCTCTTATATACTACTAATAGGAACTGAAAACCGTTTTGCAATATCTTAAACCAGTTAAGATATTTCCCGGTTCAAACATGGTATGAAAAAACCAGAATTTTCACTAGTTTTCAACTTCAAACAGCTCTAGAATCGCGAAATCAGCACCAAATGACCTGAAATTTGGCATTTCTATCTACTTTTATGTCCTCTACAAGAAAAAATCACCCAAAAAGTGTAAATCGGAAAAGTCCATTTTTCAAAGTGAAAGTCCCTTTTTTTTTCATTTTGCCCCATAGTGCTTTGTTTATACAAAAGTTCAATCAGAGCAAAATGAGAGTATAAATATAACTCCAAACAAAAATGATTTAAATCAAAATCTCAGAAAAAATGATTTAAATCAAAATCGAGAAAAAAATCACTTGGGTAAAATGACTTAAATCAAAATCCCTTTTTAAAATCATTTTTCATTGAGATTTAAATCAAAATCAAAAAAAACTCTGAGATCTTGATTTAAATTGCAAAAAATCTACCTACCCTGATTATACAGGTAAAAGTAAAACTTTCGATATGTGCAGGAATTATAGGTTTGAATCTGTTTGAATAAAATGGAACTGCCATAGGTCGAAAACTACAGGTTGGACTAAGATAATTCCGTCAGATTAGAAACACTGACAAAAAATAGATATTTTTTGGACATTTGGTGATGTTCAGGTACGAGATGGAACTGCCATAGGTCCAAAATGAATTGGACTTAAATAATTCCATCAGATTTAAACCGTGTTTTGATATATAACATGATAGGTTTTTGGGTAAAAAAATATTGGTCCACAAGTGATACTGTCCAAAACTTTGACAGTCCATAGCTCTTGCTGGTTATATCCGATTCCAAAAATTTTTACGGGACGAAATTGGACGTAATATAGACGTAATTCTCACAAAGGTTCAACTTGATCTGAGAACCTCTTTCCGCCAGCTTCACACACACACATAAAAAACCACAAATTAAAATTTGATGAATTGACATTGATCCGATCCTCTACAACAACTTTGTCAGTTATTTCTTATATTTAAAAATAATAACCAACTGTGAGATTCTATGAAGTACCAATAATATTTGTCCTTAAAAAAGACTGAGAGAGGAAGAGAGCTATTCTGAGAGCATATTATTTGGTGCTATTGGAAATAAACACAGAGAAGAAAAATAAAAAGATACCAACCTACCTGACGAAAGATTGCCATGTGAAAGCACATAAATAAACGAATTGTGATAAAAATATCAGAGTTAAATTGACCCTTACAAACCCTCACTCTTGAATTATTTTTTTCATATTTTCTCTCAATCACTTTCTCTGCTGTGGAAATTTTGAGAGGAGCTTTACTGTATAAAAGGAAAAATACGAGAGCTTTTCATCGCAGTTTTCCTTGAGTCGTTACCGTGTTAAGAAAGGAAAAGAAATATTAAATTTTTACATTTATCATAATTAACATTAAAAATTACTTGAATTCATTAATTTTTAAATCATTAGTTCGAGTAATTATCCTATTTTTATTAAATTGAATGACAGTTATTGAAAAATGTATATTTTTGAAGGAAAAAACGAAAAAACAAAGCATCAACCTGTAGCATTATTCAAACCTTGAAAATTTAATGAGAGCATCAGTGAAAAAAAAAGATGCCAGCCAATTTTGCAAAATATTCCATTTTGAAATTTTAACTTAAAAGTTAACGAAAGTCTATCGAAAATATAAGAAAATGAAGTGTAGATAACAAATTAGTGTTTTATGTGATGAACAATCAAATGAAAATTAGGATTAATCTGTTGAATTAATGAAGAGCTTAAATCCCAGGACTTGTTTGTGACTTTGAAGGATTTATTCTGTTAAAATAATTAAAAAAGAAAACTTTTAATACCTCGTTAGGTTCAATGCGATCTTAAAAATAATGAATTAAAGTGAATTTTATTTTTTTAATGTAAATAAGATAAGACCAGAAAAAAGGAGAAAAATTGAAACTTTATTCATTTATGGCAAATGAAATCCTTAAATAAAAATTAAATAAAGTGATATCAATTGTTATGACATTGTAAAAGAAAGGAGAATTATAACTTTTTTTTGTTACCAATGAAAAAAAGAAGAAGGTTCACATAACGTAAGAGAGAAAATCGATAAAGCTTTACTTTGTACGCTCCCTTAAAATCTATACAACTCCACGTAGCAGTAACGAATAAAAAAGTGAGCAAGAGAAAGGGAAAACGAAGAAGAAGAAAAAAACATAACACAAAGCACATGAATATCATGAATTTCCACAATATTATAGAGAAAAGGAGAGTGAAAATAATCAACAAGTTTAAATGTGTAATGAATATACTGCACTTACTTTTGATTATCCCTACTAAATAATTATTTCAATGCAACAAGTTCTTTTTCTATGATTTAAATATCGTCGTCGAATGTCGTTGAACTCCTCGCAATAAAGGAGGATTTAAAATTGTTACTGTCAAAAATGTGATTATTTACTTTATGTTTTCTTGTAATTAAAAACTATAATAAGTACTTACATAAGTTCACTTGCTCTCGGAATTTTGTTATTAATGTATAAAGTAATAAATCATCAAAATGGAGGAGATGTGCTTGAAAAAAAGCAAACTTTATGAATTCAATTAAGTTAATCAAATATATAATGGAATGATAACTTACATTAAAAAAATATAACAATAATGGAAGTTTAACGTCGCAATTTAAGGAAAATTTATTGTAAAAAAATACATTTTACTTCCTCTTTTGTGAACGTAATAAAGGAAGGATCTAAAAATTATTCAAAATGCTTAGTCCAAAAATGCAAAGATCTGTGAGAGTCAACGAAAATCAACTCATTATGCTCTCCGACAAAGCTCAACATGATAACAGTATGGTAAGCACAAAAATACGTCAATCTATTTATAGAATATCCTACGCTTTTTGATATTTACATCATTGAGAGAAAATCAGTTTTTTTGCTCTACTCGTAAAGAAAATGGAAAGAGGAAAATAAATGTGCTGTATGTTTCGGAATGCTTTTAAGAGAGCATTTTAAGACTCTCCAGGTATTTTGTTTATAGATTTCCATACCATAGATGAGCGTAAACAATTGCTATTATGTTATATTTTTTCAAACTTTTAATACTAAATGGAGTACTGAGCGTATTTAACAACATCGTTGAAAATAATTACTAGAATTTTCGTTGTTTTTTGATTTTCTTATTTTTATTCCATTATTCTTTAAAAAAATATTATAACTGTGAATATAATAATGTGTTTTCGAAGACGAATCTCTCTTTTAAACTGTAAATCCAGGTTTAAGCGGTATAGTAAGCCCACACTCGTTAAACTAGATTAAAATCATGAACAGATATGGTTATTTAAAATTAATATAATAAAGTAAAATTAGATAAATCACATTCTTGAAAATGTTTTAACTAGATTATTGATTAAAAGTTTTTCTCTTTTATTGTCAAATTTTAATGCTTTGGGTAATTTTTAACTTTTTGGTCCACATGCGTCTTGTTAATTATCTTGCCAAAGTTGCCCTGCGTCAGTAAAAGTTTGTAAAAATAAAAATTTATTTTTAAAAATAAGGTATAATGAAACATTATAAGCTGCTCAAAAATGTTCATTATACAAATGAAAATGTTTGGCGAAATTTGGTAAATGTCAATTTGTAAAGTATTAAAAACTATGAAAAAAGTAAATAATCAACACTATGTCCAAAGCATTTCACACGTTTTTGTTTTGTTTTAAATTATAAATCTTTATAGCAAGGATACTTATATAAAAGAACTTCAAGTGATAGATGGCAACTTAGATTTTTTCTCCTTTACCAAGTAAGTTGTATAAAAAAGTATTTCATGGAATTTTGAATAATAATACTTGTTTTTCTCTCTTTTATCTTATTAAGAATCTGCTTTTTTATTATGAATCCGAAACATCGACTCGACCATCTGGTATTATATTTCTGGAAGGATGTTACTGCGAACGCCTTGTATCAGCTCCAGCTTGTATTGCTCCTGGATCACCACTACAAACGAATAATAATTCAAATGCAAACTCATCTAAAACAAATAAAGAAGAAAAATTGCAGGTATGGTACATCTCTTCTTATATGTTTATTTAATTATTAACGTTTATTGTAATACATTTTTACCATACGACTATGGTACATGTAGCATTGCTTTACCATATCATACCGTCGTGAAAATCAGAGACATTACGAAATGAAATGCAATACTGAATCTGAATGCTCTGCATGGATAATAGCAATAAGAGAAGCAAGGTATGTATCATACAATGCATATTAAATATTAATAACATTTGGATATAAAAATGAAAATTTACTTTTCATTTATATTCTCTGTTCGTTTTTTATTTCGCTTTTCTGGACTGGATTTTCTCAAATATAAATAAAAAGCTTCAACAAACTGCTTCTTCAAAAAGAAGAGCTTGAACAAAAGCATGTGCACTTACTCCAAGTGGTTGAAAGTGAGAAAACTGCAAAATGGCAATATACTCAACAATGTGAAGAGCTTGCTTCAGAAATAAGGAAACTTCGAGCAGAGGTTGATTAAATAAATGAAAACTAAGCATAATGTTTAAATATAAGTTTCAATTTAATTATTTTGTCAATAGATTTGTGTGTTGCGAAAAGAAACAAAACGATCATCATTCTCAGCAACACCTGTCGGCAGGGGGAGTTTTAGCGCGGGCGCTTCAAGTGAACAACACCCTGAAACGACAGCGTTTTCTGAAACATCAAACGTTGCCAATTTATGTGACTCAGTTCAAGATTCTGTTGAATTGAGAAAAATTAAAAAAGTTCAAAGTTTTTTCCGAGGCTGGTTGTGTCGCAGAAGATGGAAGCAGATTGTTGAAGAATATATAAAATCACCACATGCTGAAAGCATGAGAAAAAGGAATAGTTTAGTTTTTTCAATGGTTGAAGCAGAAGAAGAATATTTGGAACAGCTAGAAGTATTCTATCCGACATAGCATTCAAACCATTTCTTTTAATAAAAATATTATTTAAATTTTTGTTTAGGTTCTCGTATCATGCTTTTTGCGACCATTTAAAATGGCTGCATCATCAAAACGTCCACCGTGTAGTCATGAAGATGTCAATTCGATTTTTCTCAATTCTGAAACAGTACTGTTTTTACATCAAATCTTTCTGAAAGGCTTGACTTCACGACTCGAATCCTGGCCAACACTAGTTCTTGGTAAGACTATAAGTATGTATACAAAAACTAATTAAGTATAAGTTTCGTTGTGTGTGAACAGTTCTATTTTCCACCAAAATATAAAAATTCACTATGTTGATTAGAATTGAACTTATTCTCTAGTAGTTTAGATCTACAGCCTAGCTATCTCTGCTGTTTAAATATTTATTGAACTGAACCACAATCTTTGCAGCTGTTGAAACTTTTATTGAATATTAGATAGACAATGTTTTGTAGAATATAACAATAGAGGTAAAGTCGTTTTTATGTTAATTCTTATACTTATGTATATATTTGTGACAAAAGGATTTAAGCAATAGTGCACTTATTTAGTCCTTTTTTCATAAATTTGTCATGCCTTGAAATTTATTTATCATTATCATTTTTTTTGCCAATGTAAGCAAAAATAAGGGAAATCATGTCGTTCATATTAGATGTGCATCAATCTAAAAAAGAATCACCATCAATCAAAAGAAAATTAACCACACTTATTCATAAAGTATTCAAGTAACAGCATAGTCATCACTTGGGATCTGGGCGACTTCATCCTATTAATTCCACATAAATCAGTAAACTTAATTAAAACTTAAAATCATATCAGATCCTCAACAGACCATTCTATAACAGCACCGTGGATCACGTCCTAATCCGTACTAGATTTGTAATAGTTCGTACCAGATCCGTAACAGACTGTCTTAATATAAAGATTTAGTCGTCTTAAAGTCACGCCTGATACTAATAACAGCCAAAAACAAAGATCTAGTAGCATTTAAGTAAATACCAAAAACTCTTTGTGTTTTCGTTGCTGAGAAATCAGTGTATTAGTCAACCTGCCAGCCAAAGTAAACATAAAAGTAGGGTGACCATCAAATTTTTATGAAAATACAGGACATTTGATAAATTTCTTAAAAAATACAGAACACAAAGGAAAATTTGAAAATTAACGGAAATTTTCGTGAAAAAAATACAGGAACTGGAACAAAATTTTCAAATTTAAAAAGGACAGGGTTTTAAAATACAGGACTGTCCCCTGTACATGTCACATGTCACATGTTGAAATATACAATGTGACTCTAAAATACACAAAACGAAAAAGAGTAAAATATGAGCAAGTGTGAAGTTGTTAAATAATGTTTAAAAAGGAATTTAGAATTTATGATGTGTGTACCCTACTCTTACGTTACTAGCCAGTGGCTTATAGTATGAAAATAGTTTTTAAAATCCTGAAAAAGGGATTAGTAACTTGATAATTTTCATTGAAATCGCAAATGTTTCAAGTCTAAAATCCTTTATAAATATTAATATTAATATTAATAGTGTCAAAGAAAATTTTGAGTCGATTTTTTTTAAATAAGCGACTGGCTTAATAACGAGTAGTGTCTTCTAACGTAAAAAAGGGTTAATAAAACTAGCTTGAATATGTTTTAAGGCACGCTTAAGTGAAAGCTTGTTTTATATATATTGTGTTGATGTATGTTGTGTTATTAATAACTTTGCATTCTTATTCAAAGGAAATGTAAACAATAATGTCTTTTACTATTTTGTGATTTAAAGTTAATCAAAAATTGTATACAAATTCAAACAAGTTAAAAATATGTCCAAATTGTTAAAAAAAAAATCCTTAGTCAAGGATTTTTTAAAAATATATATAAATGAATGGACACACAATTAGAAATTTTTATATTTTCCAAATTTCTCCCTTATTTTTTTCATGAAACCTATTAAAGTTCTATATTTTTGGAAAGCTTATCAAATTTTCAATATGATTAGAATATTTTTGGAAAATTTGCAAGTAATTTAATAGTCACTTTGGGTAAAAAATGCATTTCATATATGCAAGTTTTCAATGTTTTTCATTTTTCTTAGCCACTCTTAAATAAATTCAAGATGGCGGAGAATTTTGGAAATTTTCATACATTTTTCACACTTTTTTAATGATTTCTCTCTTATCTCATGCTTTTTCCTATATTGTTATACGTCAATGGAAAGCTATTAAAAAATGAAAGAAATTAATATAAACAACAACTAATAGCAATGCGCAGTTATCGAGAAAAATTAATTTAAATAGTGAAAAATTCAGGTTAGGAAAACTCGCGAAAAATTCAATGGAAAATTCTGAAACTTATACGAATTATTAACATTTATATAAGCAATGAGTGTGCAAAATTTGAAAGCTTTTTAGAAAAGTCGTTGCTGAGAAAAATGAAAAACATTGAAAACTCGCATATATGAAATGCGTTTTCTACCCAAAGTGACTATATTACTTGCAAATTTTCCAAAAATATTCTAGTCATCATATTGAAAATTTGATAAGCTTTCCAAAAATATGTAACTTTAATAGGTTTCATGAAAAAAATAAGGGAGAAATTTGGAAAATATAAAAATTTCTAATTGTGTGTCCACTCACTTTAGAGATGGGGTTGTTCTTATATTTCATAACACTTGGTGGAGAAGTAAAGCCAAGTTTTTCTTAAGCTCAATATTAAATTATTATGGTTTCCTTACAAATTTTGTTACTATCATGGCTTTTAAAATGGTCATTTTTAGAGTTACAAAATATGCGAACCCATATATATATACTTGCATTTCTCATGTAAATGTTAACCATGAATATTCATGCAAAGTTATTCTTTAAAAAATTACAAAAAGACAAACGATTCTTCAAAATTTATTTTCATCTTACTTAACCCTTCCAAATGTTTTTCTTTTTCTGTTTCACATTTCAAAACTTACAGGTGATTTATTTGACATGCTATTGCCTATGTTAAGTATATATCAAGAGTATGTAAGAAACCATCACTACAGTCTTCAAGTCTTAACAGAATGTAAAAGCAATCCGGCTTTTGCAACTGTTTTAAAAAGACTAGAGGGTAAATATGCTAAAAATTTAATTTGCTTTAATTTTATAAAACAACTTTATCATACATTTCAATGTGAAAGCAGCAAAACCGCAGTGCAAAGGTCGGAGTTTGGAACAATTTTTAACATATCCAATGCATCAAATTCCTCGTTATATCATAACACTTCACGAACTCCTTGCACACACGCCATTTGATCACGTAGAGAGACCAAGCTTGCAAAATGCTCGACAGCAATTGGAGGACCTTAGTCGGTAAGTAATTTATTTCCATTAAAAAAAAAAAATTAAAACTCTTTCTTTTCTTGGATAATGAACATTTAATTAGAATGACTCTAATAGAATAAAAAAAAAAAAAATTTAAAAATTTAGTTTCATTCAAAAATCTTTTATATAATTGAAGGCAAATGCACGATGAAGTTTCTGAAACGGAAAACTTGCGTAAGAATTTGGCTGTGGAGCGTATGATTGTAGAGGGTTGTGACATTTTATTAGATGTTAATCAAGTTTTCGTTCGTCAAGGTATGTAAAGAATGAAAACGACAAATAGTCATCATTAAGAGAATTTTAAATTCATTGTTCAGCATAATTAAATTTTATCTTCTCCTTTACAGGAAGTTTAGTACAAGTGCCTCCTGGTAGAGGTAGAATTCGTAGTAGATTAGCTTCGTTTAAAAGTGAACGTGAATCTGTTCGCCAATGCTTCCTTTTCTCTAATCATATGATCATAGCAACAAGGTAAGTTAAAAATAATATAACAGTCTTTGTGCTTTATCGAGTGACTTCAGCGCATTTTTAATACAGCGATCAGCATTTACATAACAATATAATGTGAGACAATCCCGAACATACAAAGAGCATGCTCAGAAGAGTGAGCATATAAGTGAGTCTACTCAAAAATTATACTCATGCAAGCTTATTCAACTGAGCATGCTCAGGAGTTCATTACGAATGTACTCACTTTATTTTTTTACAAAAACTTTATAAGCTCACGTGAGTGCATTCAATAAGTATACTCTTGAGAATATTAAGAACATACTAATGTGAATTCACTCATATGAGTTCACTTACTGAATGTACTCATGAGCATATAATGAGCAAACTCACTTCTGTGTCACACAATTTTTTTATATTCTCATAAGAGTGCACTTACTGAATGTACTCATGAGCATATAATGAGCAAACTCACTTCTGTGTCACACAATTTTTTTATATTCTCATATGAGTGCACTTACTGAGTTTATTCAAGAGCAAATTGTGTACCTTTTTTAAAAAAAATGTCAGCTAAATCGAATATGCATGCTCAAGAAGGTACCGTAAGCGCATCACTGAAATGTATGAAAATGAGCACATTCTCACAAAGGCTAATTGGCTCACAAATAATGTGCTCTGAGCATGCTCATTATATATTATAATAAGCAAATGTTTCCAAAAATTTGCCTTTAGCAAAGACTCCTTGCTATATTTTACAAATTCTTACAGTACGTATTACGTTTTCTTAGCTAATTCAATTAACATGACTTAATCTAAGCTTTTACAACATTTTTTAAATAAAAGTTTGAAAACATTTGAAAATTTCCTGTCATGCTTATATTATTTACCTTGGTTAATTTGATTAAGAGTTTCTTTTTTTTAACAAATGAATCGATTTCCATACTAAGAAACTTGAAATTTATTTATTTTTTTTCATTTACCGGTTCTTTGAAATTCAAATCTAATAATTGAATATCTAGAAATTAATTCAAATTTCTGACGCACTCAACACGTGTTTCTCATCCCTCTATGATGAATGCGTGAGTAGGGTTTGTGGAAAACAGCTGTTTTTGAAAACAGTCTGTTTTCGGTTTTTGATTTTTAAAAACAGCTGTTTTCCTGTTTTTCTGGAATTCAAAACAAACTGAGTTATCCTAAGTGTTTCAAAAAAATAATAACTTTTTGGTGGTTATAAGCAGTTAAGCATACATTATAAGAGCTAAGCATTATTATTTCTTAATTTTTCGGTAATTAACTTTAAAAAATATAATAAAATAAAAAAATTCAAAAAAATATTTATCCTTTTAAGTAACATTGCATAGTTGCATTCCATAAACTCTAATATTTTATTTGAAATAATCAAAAAAATCTTTTTAAATAAAAAAAAACTTGTAAAATTGTTGATTATATTTTTGAACTGTAGTAAATGCTACAAAAGGTTCAACAAATTTAAAATTTCGATTGCAAAATTAATAATGATTAATCATAAATTTGATAATGATTTTAAACCTGTTAAACATCCAAAAAATATTAAAAAAGTAAATACATTTCAATTTGAAATGCTAGAAAAATATATTAAGTTCTTCAAAAAATTAAGAAATTTTTTTTTCTATAAAATAAATGTAAAAATGAAAAACAGAAAACAGATCTTTTTTTGAGCCCTGTTTTCTGTTAACAGATTTTTGTCGAAAAACAGCTGTTTTTCTGTTAACAGGTTCCCCAAACCCTATGCGTGAGTACTCTATATCAAAAGTTTTATAAAAAAAAAAATGGGGCATGTTATGAACCTTCAACTACTAGTTATAGCAAAAAAAAATATCACGATAAAACTGAGCTATTAAAACAAACCCGAGCTGTCTGGTTTGTCCAACCGAACGATTAGCATTATTGACCTATCTTTTAGAAAACAAGTTTAAAAATGCGCTGAAAGAATGAGGAAAATTGTTTTAAATTTTTAATGGTTTCTGCATATTCTTTTATATCAACTATCTAAAAATATTTTAGCAAAGCAAAAACGTAACTTGTGATAATTTTCTTTATTTTATTTGTGCTTTTGACATTATAGAACATCAGCAGGTAGATTACATTTGTTACCTGATGTTGGAAAGATTCCGTTAGTTGACGCAACATTGATTGAGGATCCAAGTGAAGCAGGAAATGACGACGAGGAATCATTATGCTCTGCTTCAACACAGAGTAGTAATTTAAGTGTAACTGATACAGTTAATGCAAACAATCGAGATTTCAAAATTTTTGTTGATGGGAAATCAGGTCAAAGGCACTCTATACATCTTGTTGCACCGACTGCACAGGATAAGGAAGCTTGGATTAGTGATATCTCACAATGTCTCGATAATATTCATATGCATTCACTTTTATCACCGGGAATTGGTACAACTGCAGGTAAACAGTGCATGAACATTTCATTGGATGTTTGGTGTAATATGTTAATTCTAAAAATCCAAAGCTTCAATGTTTACAGGTCATCAAGCGCTTCGTGCTGACCCACATTTATTCAAGGACGATGTAGATATAAGATTTTCAAGAACTCTTAACTCATGTAAATTGCCTCAAATTCGTTACGCTACACCGGAAAAGCTTTTGCAGCGTCTCACCGATTTACGTTTTCTATCAATCGATTTTCTCAACACCTTTTTGCTTACATATCGTGTGTTTACTGGTAACTTACAATGAAAAAAATTGAATATTGAACTTTTTTTTTATTTAATATTCACACCGTATAAAGAATAGGAACAGCCGTTGCCTCTGCAGTGCAAAATTAAAAAATCAAATATTATGATTTTTATAAATGTTTTACTTTGGATGAAAATTTTTAATAGAATTTTTGACTTATGCAATAAGCTTTAAACCTTCAACCTTTTGCTAGGCAGGCATAGCTTAGCCAATGCAATGAACTAAAATCTTCAAACATTTTCAACGATTGAATCTTTTCGAATCGACAAGATTTTCTATGGTACTGTGTAGGGTTTGTGGAAAGCAGCTGTTTTTGAAAAACAGTTTGTTTTTGATTTTTAAAAACAGCTGTTTTCCTGTTTTTTTTTGAATTCAAAATAAACTGGGTAAACCTTTTTGTTACTGGTGTTTACTTTAGAAAATGAATTTTTTTTTTTGGTTATACCAGGCATAAATGTTAAATGGTTTTAACAAAAGGTTTTAAAAATATAAAATTCTAGTTGCAAAATTATCATAATTAATTGATTGAAGTTTTTTAAAACTTATTGAATAATCAAAAAATATTTAAAAAATATTTTTTTGTAAATAACATGCAAATATGAAAAATAGAAAACATATCTCTTTTTGAGATCTGTTTTCCGTAAACAGATTTTTGTCGAAAAACAGCTGTTTTACTCCTTAAACCCTAGTACTGTGTGAATATGTTCGTATTGAGTTTCTACCCAAAACACACTTTAAATTGTTTTCCTATAAATTGATTATATCTAAATTTCCTGATTTCCCATGTATACAAAAATATATATATTCATATAAAGATGGAGAAACGGTTTTAAATGCACTTAAAAAAGTATTTTATGATCCGCCTATTGAGCCATGCGACTGTGAACCTCAAACAGATTTATTAGAACTTCCCTATCAAAGTGATTGTCATCCTCGTCGAACAAGCGGTGCCAGTTCAGTCTCAGGTAACAATAAAACATTACTTATAAATGTAGATATTTATGTGCTCTGTTTCCTGCTTGCTTCGGCTTCCATGTATAATTTATTCATATTTTTCTAATATGCAATTCTATCGTATCATTCACATAAATAGTATTTATACTTTTTTTTTTGTTGAAAATCGATGTTTCTTACAAACCAAATATTTCACAAATGTTGAATGAAAACCGCTTAAAAATAAATTTTATGATTATTTTCATTGACAGCCTCGTATCTTTCAGGTTATTGTTCGGAAGGTGCTGATAGAGATCGTTCTATGAGCGGTGATTCAGTTGGTTTGCGTTTCCGACCGTCGCGTAGAAATTTATATCAACAACAATCAACAACAGGTGTGTGTAATGAAGAAAAAAATTAGTAGAGTTTAAAGCATAATTAAAATGAAATAAATTCTGAATCTTTTATATAGATCAGGAAACAACTTTGACATGGATTCCAGAGACAACTACTTCTGAGGTCGAGGCTAGTCCTGAAGTTACAATAATTCATGGAACAGAAGTTGAAGAAGGTACAATCATTCAAAAAAATGTACCACAAGAAGAAGGATTTTTGGGTGTGCCATCATCAATATCGGCTTCTGGTAGTGCTGATACTCTTGTTCCGAGTGGCCCTTCATCTCCTTCGAATATTAGTAATGTTACATTAGTTGGATCTACTGGCAGTGGTGACAAAAGTGATGAAAGTGAGCCATCATTTAAATATGGCAAAGCACCAACAAGTCCTTTGCCAGAACGAATGATTCCAAAACGTCCACCTCGCACGATTGAGCAACAATCATTGACATCAGAGTCGACTACAATAACAATAACAAGAAGTCAACAACTACCTCAAACAACAACTGTCAAATCAATTAATGATACAAAACCGAGTATTATAAAAATTGCTCCACCATTAAATGTGTCAACTAATACAGTAACAATAACGACATCGACATTAATAGCAACCTCAGCTGTTACAGCGTCATCTGCAACAAAAACAACTATTACTGCTCCATCAATTGGCGTGAAATTTGACAGGTATTTTAGTTTTCTTGTTAATTTATGCTGATTCAGTTCTATACATTGTTATTGCTTAATATTAATATTTACTTTATTTCCAAAAATCTCTTAATATCAATTTAGACGCCCAAGTGTAGGCTATAATGTTATTCCACATGCTGCATTATGCCAGCATCGTTACAGTTTACAACTGAATGGCGAAGGAGGGAATGGAGGGAACCCTAATACACAAAAGGTTAATAACTTTAAATAATTTTAAACTTTAATTACCTTAATCTATTAAGTTTTTTTTTGTTTCGTTACCAAAAGAGTTTTGAAAAAACAAGTCCCCGACTAACACATAGGAAGTTTTCAGCACCAAAAACTCCAGAAAGACAAAGAAAATCGTTTGGAACCCCACAACCACCTAGACGATTTTCCGAAAGCGATGATGAAATGGCTTCTCTTTATACGCCTAGAGGTATGAAAGATATTTTTAAAGTTATCTTTTTTGCTATCTGTTTGATTTGAAAACAATTGCAAAAATTTACAATATTACAAAACGAGCTGTTAAGATATTGTAATAATTTTAGAACAGACAATTTTGAACCCTATACTATTTGGAACTAATTTACTTTTTGTAAAAGCAAAAATTATACTTGAAATCAGCGAAATTTGCGAGAAATCGATCCAGCTGTAAGTGCAGCTAAGTACTTGCCTAAGATATAAACACCATCTGTTTTTACAGCTGTATGTTATTTAAGCCCAATAAACTACAGCTGTAATTTAATTTTTTTTACGTAAGGAAGTAAGCTCATCTGTAATCTACAGCTAAATAGTATAGGGTCAACTTTAACGCAAAAATTTTCTATCTTGATAAAATATGATTTCGTTCAGCGTATAACCATATAATTTTTTTAATGTCAATCTTTTTGAATAGGATCCCTCGGTGGAATTAGTTTGAGTACTATTTCGTCTCGGGCTTCAATGCAACATGATCCACATATCCCCCATTGCTCAAGCAAAGTTGGTGTTGTGATTACGTCATTCAGACAAGCCCAAAGGAGGTAAACAAACATGATTAGTAGATTTATTTGTCCTTATCTCTTTCTATATCATTCGTCGAATCCACAATGGTTTCGATTTGAAAAAATTGTTCAAAAATTCCTTGTGCACAATATTTTTTTCCAAAACATTAGAAAGATGAAAGTTTTTGTGAAATTCTTTTGATTTAATGCTAATATAATAAGCACGTAATATAACGGATGAAAAAGATTTTTTAAGAAAAAGTTTGTAAAAGCTTTAAAAACGGCATCAAACAGCATGCAACAATGATATTTGAGAAACCATGTTTTATCGATGTATATAAGCTTAATAGATGACTGCTTAGGGCTTTTTAGCATTTTATTGGTCAAATATGGGAAATTTCTTCAGACTTCAAATACATTGTTGAGACGACAGTTTTAATATGAATAACTAAGCTTAACTTAGCAATTAACAGAAAGCACAATACGCTTTCTGAGGTTGGACAGCAAGTAGAAATGAAAGATATTTAAATTTCATGGTTGATTTAAGATCTTCAATCTGGCTTTCAAAATGTTAAGTGTAATTGAAATGATATTTTTGAACATTTTTTTCGAATCTGAAATATTGTAGAATCCAATTTTTTCCTTTCATTCACTTCATCGTGTGATATAAACATTTAACTTTAGTGTGAGATTTAGATAGTACATCACATTCAATTCTGATACTTAGTTTTTTTCTCAGAAAATGAAAAGCTTTAAAAATTCAAACTTCACATTGAAATGTTAGAAAAAAGTTTTAATATAAATTTTATCATTATCTTAAAAATGATTTTTATCTACTTACATGAGTTGATTGATTAAGTCATGGATGCATACCGATCGCAAAAAATTGAATACTTTAGGTGTAACAATAAATATTATGGAATGACGAGAATTTATTAATTGTCATGATGTGTCTGTTATTCAAAAATCTTGATTGTCTCATTTTATTCTAATTAATTCTCTCTATCTCTGCGAATCAAATTTCTTCCTCTTCTCTTAACTTTCCATGTGAGTGACGTCTAAAATTTTTTTCTCTGTCTCTTCGTGTTTACCTTTTCTTAACATTATACTGTGTATCTTGTAAATATTGTGATGATGATGATAATGTTAAAAGTGAGCTTTTAATTTGTAATCATGCAATTATTATTGTGTATTTTGTTTTGCTCAACTCATTATTCACAAATGAAGAAAAAATCAAGTACTTTTGAAAATTCATCCCAAATTTTTCTTTTGTTTTCATTCACCAAATTATTACTTTATATTTCTCGTAAGCTGTATTCTTTTATCCTTTCCCCTTTCATTTAAGACTTTCAAAAACAAAGAATTTTCGGATAACTTAATAATGATATGAAACTCATGAAATATTATACTTTTATAAGCTTTGTTAACATACCGTGTTAAGACAAAAAATTAAAAAATGAGAAAAATTATATATTTATATACATATATATATATATATATATTCTACGCATGATATGAAATTATTTTCTGTATTATCCTTCTTTTATTTCTCTTACTTTTATAAAATATTGTGTAATTTTAATTCACTCGTGTTTTTTAATCTTCTCAGCGCAATAATATTATATTTATATAGAAAATTTGTCATTTCTCACATTTTCTGTATCTTATCCAATCAACTGAATATTCATTTTTCTTTATTCACTACGTACTAAATCAGATAAATCTTCAAAATATTATTGTTAAAGTATTGCATCTTTGAATTTGCAGTTGGGATTATAAATTGATTTTTTTTTCTTCATATATTTAAAAAATAAATTAATTTTTGGACACAAAACAATTTTTTGTCTTTGTTGAGTATTTTATAAAAATTTCACTTTGCTATACATTTTTTGTATTATAAAAACAAAAAAAAAATACAAATAGAATTTACTTTGTATTGATACAGTAGAAAGGAGAAGAAAAAATAGGAAATAAATTATTTTCTTTCAATAATTATTAATCATATATTTGTCATAACGCATTTTTGTGACGGTTACATAATAGCTTGGGAGACGATCCATTGTGGTAAGTTGCGTTTAACATAAAATGCATGTTTGTTATTTTATGTGTGTAATATAAAGCTTCCTGCATGAGCTTTAATTATATTCTTTCCACTCTAAAACTATTGCTTTAGCATCTTTTTTTGTTTATTTGTAGTGATGATGATAGAAACTTTTTTAAGGCATAGTTTAGAATAAAATTAAGTAACTATATAATATTTTGTTACATCCACCTGAAAGTTAAAGGTTTGATTTACCCTGCCAACTACACATTAAAGCAAAACCTAATAATTTTTAAAATAAAACTATGTGTTGAATAAAAATAAGAAAACATTAAGAAACTAAACAGTTCAAAATCACACTATTACAGCAATGAATAATTATTTTTGTCGATAAAAAATTTATTGCACACCAATACTTTATGCTCCTAATAATTCACAGGATAATTAATTTATATTTAATTATTTATTTGGCATAATATTAAAAAATAACAATCAATTACAAATCAATACACTTTCATTGAAATTTCATTGCAAAGCTTTTCTCCGTTTTGTCATTTTTTTCATAATGATATTTCATTTTAATAAATTAAGAAAAGTTCTTAAATCGAAAATTTTAAAATGTATATAATTTTTTAAAAAATTTATTCTGCAAAACAAAGGTCAAGCACATCAACAGCTGCAGCAGCATTTGCTATTGGTAAGTGTGATATTAAGTATTTATGAATTGCAATTTTGTGGAAAACTTAACACACGATAACTAAATTAATTAGCAACATCCGCATCGTCAAATCCACGTGATGAGCCAGAAATAGATGCTCGAAGTCGTAAAGATTCTGTTGTAAGCTCCCCAGCAACGATGCGCGTGCTGAATGTACTACGGTAAATCATTAAAAAACAAAATTAAAAAATACTCGTGTTAATTTTTAATTTACCAATAATTTTCATTTCAGACATTGGGTTTCTAAACACTACCAAGATTTCGAACAAGACGAAAAACTTCGATCCCAAACAATTGAGTTTTTGGATGAAATAACATGTAGCCCCAATCTTTTACCTGGTGAACATAGGGCTGCATCTCAATTGTTAAGATTACTTACTCGTGAAGATATTGATTCTAGTCGAAAAAATTTGGAGATGCTTTTGGCGCCACCCACGGTAAATAAAAAATATTATGTTTTGTCATTAATGAAAAAAAAAAAATTTCTTTCATACCATCATCAAAAGTCTCCGAGCAAAGAGAGTATAGAGACATTATCAGCATTAGAAATAGCAGAACAAATGACGTATTTGGACCATCAGATATTTCTTGCTATTCGTAGCGAGTAAGTATATTTTTTTATCTCTCTTGTTAAAGCATAAATGCATAAAGTTTTTCATCTTTTTCTCAATAAAAACCAAAAAAAACTTCTTCTTATTAATTGAAAACTTTTGCAGAGAATTCTTGGGTCAGGCATGGATGAAATCCGACAAAAAGTTTAGAGCAGAGCATATAATTCAAATGACAAAGAGGTTTAATGATGGCTCGAGGCTTGTTGGTTCTGAAATTGTTTCGAGGTAGTATTTAATTCCTCAAAATATAAAAAAAAAAAAACCTATAGTAAAAATCTTTAATTATTGAATTAATTTATTTTATTGAAGATGTAATATGGCTGCTCGAGTAGCAGCTATCGAAAAATGGACTGCAGTGGCAGACATATGTCGATGTTTGCACAATTTTAATGGTGTTTTGCAAATTTGTGCAGCATTTACAAGTGCTCCTATATATCGCATAAAGAAAACATGGGACAAAGTTCCAAAGAATGTACGAGTTGTAAACGACTTTAAAATTTTATTATAAATTCCTTAATCCTTTTCATTTCTCGTAATCGATTTTTAGATCAAGTCCACCATAGCAAAATTACAGGCAGTTGTTTGTTCAGATGGAAGGTTTCGTGTGATGCGTGAAGCATTACATCGGTGCGATCCGCCATGTATACCATACCTTGGAATGTATCTTACTGATTTATCTTTTATTGAAGAAGGAACACCCGATTTCACACCTGATGGACTGCTGAACTTTTCGAAAATGAGAATGGTATGTACAAAAATAAACTTTATTATGATACTTTTACATATTTGACTAAATTAGTCATAGAAAAAAAAAATCCAATATGAAATATGCTGTTAAATTTCTATGTCATTTATGGTTTTCATTTATATATTTTCATTTCATTTAGATTGCTCATGTAATCAGAGAAATACGCCATTTTCAGCAAACACCTTACAAAATTGATCATATTCCGAAAGTAACGTCTTATTTACTAGATACTTCACTCCTTTTAGATGATGATGAGATGTATCACAAATCTTTAATTATAGAACCTAGAAGTTCAAGATTGAGTGCGCCAAATATAACGCATGTATAATAATAAATTGAGCTAATATTTTTTGGTATAACGCTTATTGCTTTTAAATACATACAATTTTGACAGAAACAAAAATACACTCACAAAACTTATGAAATATTGAGCTAATTTGAATGACTTAGTGAATATCAGATAAGTGTACTTATCTGTATTATGTAAATGTCGAAAAATGAATCAATTCTTCAATGTACCTAAACAATACATTTCCTTAAACAGATACTATATCAACTGTGTGATTGCCGCCGCAGATACATATAGGCAAATTTAATGAAAAGTTACTTGAATCTATCATAATGTTGCACAGTAGAAATGCCATTTTACAGCAATATTTTGGACATTCTACATCGGATCCTATATGAGCATTGAGAATCAAGAATCCAATAATATACACCAGAATATTAAAATATTCTAGTTAAGATGCTCAAAACAGTTTTTAAAAGCTAGGAAAAATATTTCGTTCTTATTAAAATTTTAAAATTGAAATCCTTATTTTTTAAGAAAGTTTGTGAAAACCTTTAGAAACGGAAATTTTAGACTTAATTTATCAACTAAGATGTGCTTGTAAAGAAAACTAATGGAAAATAATCTTCTAATACATCTTTATTATTCGTACTGTTTCAAGAACTCAATTTCAAGAAAAGAAAAATATCAAAAGTTTAAAAATACGTACCTCGAGTAAGAATGATGAAAAGTGATTGAAACTCTAGGAAAGCTAGAATAATATTTTGCTGCTTCAAAAAGCTTGTCTTTAAAATTAATAAGAGTTCCAACTCCTTGAATAATGCACTATTATAAATAACAATTGTTGATAATTCTTCTTTATGAAAAAATCCTTGTGTAGCTGTATATAATATTTATCAATTTCCCTCGACAATCAACTTATGAGACTCAAAGAATTAAAGTAAAAAAATTAATAAAAAAATGTTGTTACTTAAAAAAAGATTTAAGAAATGTTCCCTAAAGATTTAATAATTTTAAAAAAAATATCATCACTGATACAAGCACTGCTACAAAGTTATAATTTGAATGTGATATTTTAAGTAAGATGCAAAACAAAGAAATAAAAATTATGAGATAGCTGATAAAATACAGGTTTAGAACAGAAGTGACAAAAAGTTTTAGAAAACACTGTTGAAAAACAGACAAGAAAATATTTACCAACATCAAAAAATTAACATATTTTTATATTATAAGTGAAAAAAAATATTGATATAAAAAAAGTAATGATCCTGATGTGAACTCAGTATAAAGATCATTAAAATCAAATTGCAGTTTTTTCAAGAATCAAGAAAATAAGTAGAAATTTTAATCCAGTATAAAGAAAATAAAAATAGATTTTTCAAAACAATTTAACTGATCAAAAAAAGTATCAATAACTTGGACTTTAATTTCACATTTATTTTACACCAAAGAAGATTTTAATTCATTTATAAAAATTTTAAAAATTTAAAGTTAATACTTTTGGTATTAAAAGCTATTGTGCTTCAAATTCAAAGAAGTTTTTGAAATACAACTTTTTATGGACAATCTCTGATGATGCAGGATATAAATATTTAAAAATAAATTTCGCCACCTCTAATATCTAATATCCCAAAATCAATTCATATCAATTTGACGTATCATGTCTTAGATTTAATATAGTATGTTGGGTTAGTTATAATTGAAAAAAAAATAGAAGACAAAATAATGATGAAAGAACCTATTTTTCCTTTCTAATTGATCTTTAATAAATGTTTAATTCAATTTCGTTGCTGTATTAATTTGTTTGAATCGTTTTTGATCAAACTTTAAAATAAATCATGTTATGCATTAGTATAAAATCAAGAGATTAAAGAAAACATAAATATATGTAACAAACAAAGTTCCGATGCTACAAAAAGCTTTCTTTGAAAAACTTCATATTTTTCCATCTATTTTGATAAAATTTTACTAAAAAGTAATAAAACTACGAAGTAGGTACTTACTTTAACTTAAAACATTCTTTACGCATCAGATAAAAGTAAAAACAAATAATTTTGTTATTTCGAATGGAATCTTGCAAAAGTTTAAATTGTTAAAAAAAATAATTCAATAATTACACTTTAAAAATCTTTTTGATGATTTTCGTCATCTTTTTGTTAAAATTATAAACTTAAAAGAAGTAGATAATAAAAATTAAATGAATAAGCTCATTAAAATATGTTTATTTATTGCTGCAACAATAGAAAACTTTATTTTCTCTGATTATTACATCGAAACACTTAGCTATTGCTCATTGAAAATTTTGCTTGGAAATAAAATTGCTCCAGAACTGAAGTAGATAGATTCTTTTAATAAAGATGAGTCTCTGTTATGAATGTGATAGAATAACTTTCCTCTTCAGTATACTCATACGACAATGTCCACAAACCAGAAAAAAATATTAAAGATTCACCGGCAAAGAGGTTTAAACTTAAATCTTGACAAAATGTTTGGCAGCTTTTATTAACTCTCAATGTAATCTTTATGCTGCCTTTCATCTGTGTAACAATAATGAGACCATAAACTTCTAAATCGTTTTTATAGTTTTTGTACTGCTGTAATATTAAAACCCATGTTGTATATGGAGCTTGTAAATTTATCGGATAGAAATATGGTTTTGACATCATTAGACGTGACGATTTTAACTAAAAAGAGAGAAGAAAATAACATTTTTTAAAAAAAGGTACAACAATGATATAAATATCAATTTGATAATACTCAACTGCTTTAGTTTTACAATTGCGAAATGATATAAACCAAGGCATTATTTTTTGCTCTTCTTCTAAAGATTTTTTAAGAATCGCAAATGTTTCACCAAGATTGGCATATTTTGACATCATTAAATTAGTCTCAAAATTGCAGGCTTCGCCATTTATCATGTCACTCATATTTGTTGAAATGTTATTGATAAAGGATAAAAGTGATTCTGATTTATTTACATTTTTGATCGTATCCGATACAATGACAGGGAGTCCTCTTATCAAATATTTATCATGTATATGATTGTATGATGTCTCTTTCATGATATCAATTTGATCTAAAGACGATAGCAAAATACGTGCATAATAAAAGTGATAGAATAAAGCACTTGTATCAGAATAAAATTATGCATATTCTTACCGAAATATTCGCATGACCTACAATCTCTTGTATCAAATTCATTGCTAGCATATGATGGTTTTTGTTGTGCAGTTTTAGAAATGAAGCATTTTGATTTTCCCAAATATGTCCAGTTCCATAAAGGTAGAATTTTTATCAATATAATACGACCAATAGCGCAAAAGTACCAATTCAGTGTATCAATCGAATAGAAAGCATAGCATATGGAAACAGCAATTAGTGCCATTTTTACATATTTTGCCAATTTTTGCTTCCAAAAATGATACTTAAGTGGTTTTAGAATGTTTTTAATATCCTTTTCACTAGAACTCGTTATATTATCCAGATATTGAAAAAATTCCTCACATTCCTGATCCAATTCCATTTCTGCGAAAATAAATTTGAAACTTCACTCTTTCACTGCAAAAAACGATTTGAAAATCATTGAGTGTACAATTTCATTATCACAATATTTCAGCATTGCGTAATACGCATGCTGTTTTCAAAATGTGAGTAAGAATTTCAAATATTCCTTCCAATAACTCTTTATTATTTTTTGTATTTTTGAAGCAACATATTTCTTTTTTTAAAAACGTAATTTTACTGAAATTAAAAAAATAAACTATCATTAATTTAAAGCTAGTGATTGAATATAATGTTTTCGGTATAAATCTTTTTTTTTGGCATTAGAAGACCTTTGACATCCATTTCATGTATTAGAACTGAACTTTACATGCTTCAATGTAACACAGCTATGACGCTGCTCTGGCTTCTTAAATAAATTGATTGAAACAATAGTAAAAATAATAATAATAATAATAATAATTAACTAGGTATGATTCTATGTCATATTTTGTTCGTTAGTAGCTCAGAATTTTACATTTTTAAATGTGAATTTTGAGCTTATTTAGCTCCCATAGCTTATCATGCTAACAAAATATGGCACAGAATCCTAGTTACGCAAGCAAAAGTTCAGTTCTTATGCTTGAAATGGATGTTAAATGTCTTTTTAATTCCAAAAAAAAAGTAAAAAAAATTGTTTCAACAGATTCACCATCTTAAGTCCAGCTTAAGGCGTACAACTAAGAATTAGACAAAGATGATGAATCGGACCTGGACATATTGTAAACCAGTGAATATTAGAACAAGAGCTGACATGAACACTGCTTCTATAGAACTAAAGAGTTATTAATTGGATGCTGGACATTATTCGCTGTATATTAAGCTAGACAAGATAGATTTAAAAATAAAATTGAAGCACGCTAAAGGTTCTAGAAACAATGTTGCACAATTTAAAAGGAATAAAATTGAAACTGAACAGATACTTATCATACTTAAATTGTTGAATAATTAAGTTATATATATATATATTGATCGTAGGAATCTGATTATTATTGTAAATATTGTTATCGTGAAAAGAAGTTTATTTAAAGTTAAAAATTCCATTTTGCTATTCTGCAAGGATTAAAATAAAGAATACATTATTTTAATTATCCAAGAGGTTATGGGCCTTATCGCAATCAAGTTTGAAGAAGAAGAATCTGCCATGTGCGAGCGATTGAACTGCAAGAATTATCGTGTCTGGGCACATCGAATGAAGATGATTTTGATCAAAGAAGATCTATGGGATATCATTGTTCCGGGAAGTTCAAAGCCAGAGGATGCATTTAGAAGCTTGAAAGCATTGACACATATTGTTTTGATGGTTGATAATGATCAACTGGTACATGTTTCGCATGCGAAAGGACGAAAGGAAGCATGGGATTCATTGAAGAATTTTCATCACAACGATTCAGCTGGACATAAGATGAGACTTTATAAGCAACTGTTTAATACTGAATTATCATTGGGTGGTGACATGCAGAAACATTTGCAAAAATTGTTTGAAATTTTTCAAAACATCAAGAAATGTGGTGATCATCTTGAAGAAACCATGATTGTTAGTGCTATTTTATCAAGTCTGCATGCTGAATATGATAATTTGGTGACTGGATTAGAATCATGGAAGGAGAAGGATCTAACTGTTCAAAATGTCAAGCTGAAACTCATCGATGAATGGGAAAGGCGGTATGAAAATGGAAGAAAAAGATCTGATGTGTTTTGTGTCAAAAAAAAAAAAAAAAAAAAAAAAACCTTTACCTATTCAGATCAATTGTGATCCAGAGGTGCGCTAGGGCGATTCGCAGCTAATGTGAGTTTAACGAGTGAGGATGCGCCAAATCACTGCACTCAAACCTATTCCTACAATTTAAAGTGGGATCCGAACCACTCCTTTGATGACATTTCTGTCTGTAGCCTACAAAGGAAGGCTGTGAGCCTCATTTCCAGTACATATGATTCGAAAAAGGACAAGTGAAAAATTTCCCATACCCAGTCTCGAAGCCATGATCGCTGTGTCTGTATTGCAATAATTAGGTACCGAAGTACTAAACCATTCCGCCACCGAGCCACTTGAGCTCACATGACATGTTTTGTGTCAATAGAACTGAAATTGATCCAAAGAAGCACATCAAGTGTCATCAGTGCAAACGAGAAGGACATATCAAGCGGAATTGTCCAATGTTGAAGAAAGAAACCGAAGGGCGCAGAAATTGTTACGATCCTAAAGACTCTCAGTGGTGTATTGACTCTGGTGCTTCGTCTCACATGACCTACAGTAAGTCGTTTTTCGTTAGTTTTGATGAAAGTTTTAGGGGTACGGTTACCGTTGCTAATGGCGAGAAGGTTGAGTACATAGGAAGAGGGGATGTTCGTATGAATGTATTTGTAGAAAACAAAAGCTTTAGTGTAGATCTGAATGACGTACTTCTGGTGCCATGCATTGACAGTAATTTGATCTCTGTCTAAAAGCTCTGTAATAAGGGCTATAATGCTATTTTTGATTCAACTGGCTGTTACCTTAAAGTAGAAGGTGTGGAACAATTGCAGATTGCTGAGAAATCAGGCGATATGTATGTTGTGAGAGCTGAAGTTGAAAGATCATGCTTGGTTAATGACAGAGTGGATAGATGCTGTGTAAATGAATGGCATCAAAAATTAGCTCACAGAAATTTGCATAATATACTCGCGATGAAGGATAAAGGTTTGAACATTGCCGATTGTGATTGCACAAATGTATGTGAATCATGCATTCTAGAGAAATTTTCTAGAAATCCATTTCCAAAGAAGGCAACACCTGTTAAAAATACACTTGACTGTATAATCAGTGATATTTGTGGTCCTTTGCCAACTACCTCAGTTGGAAGATTTCGATATTTTGCAACATTAACGGATGTTTATTCGAAATGTACGGCAGTATATCTTTTGAAGGCAAAGAGCCAAGTACAGTCTAAAGTCATAGAATACTTTGAACTGTTGAAAAATACGTTCGGTCGAAAAGTTAAAATGTTCCGTACGGATCGACTGACAGAATATTTAAGCGAGGAAGTTCAGAAGTATTTACGTTTAAAAGGAATTCGATTTCAATGTACTGTGGCTTACTCACCAGAGCAAAACGGTATTTCCGAGAGAAAGAATAGGACTTTAGTTGAGGCATGTAGGACGATGCTTACTGAGTCAGGGATGTCACGAGAGTACTGGAATGAAGCCATAATGAATGCGAATTACTTATTGAATCGTGTTTTGAGCAAAGATGATTCAAAGTCTCCGTATGAGAAGTTCTTTGACAAGAAGCCAGATTTCTCAAATTTTAAAGAATTTGGAGTTAGTGCTTATGTGATGATTCCTCATCAGAAAAGAAAGAAGTTATATCACAAGGCAGAAAAGTTAGCGTTCGTAGAATATGACGGATGGTCGAAAGGGTATCGACTTGCAAATGTGAAACAACGGAAGATAATGATGTCACTTGATGTTGTGTTTCCAAAAGAAAAATTCAAGATAAATCAGAATTCATCTCATGAAATGAAGAGAAGTAGCGGTGATTTGGTGCCGTTCCCGTTTTCGTCTGGTTCTACAATTGATGTTTAAACATTCAATGATTCTGAATTGTTTTATGATGCTGAAGACTCTCAAGATGAAAGTGAGGTAGAAGAGCATGATGAAGAGACAGATCAAGCACATATTGAACATGGAGAATTTGAGAATGACCAAAGTCAGGAAATCATTGTTGATAGGGTTTGGGAAACCTGTTAACAGAAAACAGAAAAACAGCTGTTTTTCGACAAAAATCTGTTAACAGAAAACAGGTCTCAAAAACAGATCTGTTTTCTGTTTTTCATTTTTACATATAATTTACAGAAAAAAAAATTTCTTAATTTTTGAAGAACTTAATATATTTTTCTAGCATTTCAAATTGAAATGTATTTACTATTTTAATATTTTTTGGATGTTTAGTAGGTTTGAAATCATTATCAAATTTATGATTAATCATTATTAATTTTGCAATCGAAATTTTAAATTTGTTGAACCTTTTGTAGCATTTGTTAAAGTTCAAAAATATAATCAACAATTTTACAAGATATTTTTTTATTTAGAAAGATTTTTTGAATATTTCAAATAAAATATTAGATTAGAGTTAATTAACAAAAAAAAAAAAATAAGAAATAATAATGCTTAGCTGTAAAAAGTATGCTTAACTGCTTATAACCACCAAAAAGTTTCATTATCTTAGAGAAACACTTAGGATAACTCAGTTTATTTTGAATTCTAGAAAAACAGAAAAACAGCTGTTTTTAAAAATCAAAAACCGAAAACAGACTGTTTTTCAAAAACAACTGTTTTCCAGAAACCCTAATTGTTGATCATAATTTAATGAATAATCAGAACGTTTCGGTTCAGGAGAAGAATGGAAGAAGTGATGAAATCAGAGTATCAAGTAGAAGAAATAAAGGTCAAAAATTAGAACGTTTTGGTGATTTTGTTACTTATTCATCAAGAGTTGATTTTGAGCCTAAGACACTCAAACAGGCTATGAGTTGTGTTGATGCTGATAAGTGGAAAAAAGCTATGGAAGACGAGATTAAGTCCATTAATCAAAATAAAACCTGGGATCTTGTGAAATTGCCAGAGAATAAACGTGTTATAGGTTGTAAATGGGTTTACAAGCTTAAGCGAGATGATAATGGCCAGGTGTGTTCATAAAAAAGCAAGATTGGTTGCTCAAGGATTTTCTCAGAAGTATGGTGAAGATTATGATGAAGTGTTTGCACCAGTAGCTCGATCAGCAACATTTAGGATTCTTATGTCGATAGCTGGTGTTAATAATTATCATGTGAAGCAGTTTGATATTAAGACTGCATTTTTGAATGGTGATATCGAGAAGGAGATATATATGAAGCAACCACCTGGATTTGAGAAGGGAAATGATGCTTGCAAGTTAAGAAAAAGCCTTTATGGTTTGAAACAAGCAGCAAGAGCATGGAATAAAATTTATCATGAAGCAGTGATTAGTTTTGGATTTAAGCAAAGCGAAGTTGATAAATGTCTGTATAGCATGAAGAAAGGAAATGATACTTGCTATATGATTGTTCACGTCGATGACATTCTAGTCGCATCGAATAATGAAAAACTGTAAAGCACTTTTTAGGAATTATTGTGAAACGTGATAAAGATGGAAATTTTAGAAAATTTTCAAATTATCCTTTGATGACTGGCTATTTTAGGCATCATGATGAGAACTATTTAGAATCAAATAATGAGTATAGAAAACTCATTGGTAAACTGTTGTATGTAAGCACAAATACAAGACCTGATTTGATAGAAGCGAGGAGAATTATTCGCTATTTGAATTGTACCAAGAATCTAAGTTTGATGTTGAGTGATAAGAAGAAAGTTGGAGAATTGGAAGTTTATTCTGATGCAAGCTGGGCTGAAGATTCGTTGGACCGAAAATCTATCAGTGGTTTATTTTGTAGAATTAATGGAGGTGTTGTTTCATGGTGCAGCAGAAAACAAGACGTAGTATCGTTATCATCAATGGAAGCTGAATACATCGCACTCTCAGAAAGTTGCAAAGAGATAAAATGGGTTAAAATGTTGACCAATTCTTTTTCTGAGTTTGTCGTTCCAGATAAAACTACTCTGTATACAGATAGTCAGAGTAGTATGAAACTGATATCAAATCAGAAATTCAGCAACAGAAGCAAGCACATTGATACTAAATATCACTATGTGAAGCAATTGGTTGATTCAGGAGAGATTGAACTGAAATATTGCAGCACTGACGTAAATATAGCTGATATGATGACCAAGCCGTTAGGAAATATTAAACTGTTTATTTTTATTAGAAATTATATTAAAAAGATATTGATTAGTGATGTTATTCTTTCAATGATTTTATGCTTTGAAATTTAATAATCGATTGCAATCAATCACTGTAACGTTGCATAAAGCCTGTAAGATTGACTTCAATTTTACAAGCAACAAAAACAAGTTCAACAGTCAAAATAAATTCAAAAAAATAAGCGCTCTCTATTAGAGTTCTCTCCATTTCTCTCACAGTTTCGTATTATTCGGCTATCCGACCATAAAAAATTTGAAAGCAAGAATAAGCTGCTTCAAAAATTTATAACCAAGTGTTATTTAATTACATTAAAAGTTCTTTGAATATCGAAATTGTGTTCACAAAGTTTAAATCGTGATAAACGTGAATCGATATAGGAATCGTGAGAAATTGTCTGTTAAAGAAAGATAAAGTTAAATGAAAAAAATCCTCGTGAAAAAAACGAGAGAGTGAGAAAGAACGAAAAGAAAAAAAAGTTAAAATTGAAAAATTATTAAGAAATTGATTAAGTTGAGAGTGGAAAATAGTTAAAAGATTGTCAAAATTCCGGTCCTAAATCGAAATAACAGTACTAGAAGAGAAGATATATCTTCTGAGAATATGATGAATAAAAGAAAAAATTCAAGCAGATCTGCTGGATCAGGGTATGTATTATAAAATATTGTGATTAAATCTGCATAAAGTGCCATTTGTGCTCAACATTATGACCTAGTTTAGAGGAACTGCGAGCCAAAAAATAGAAATGATTATCAGTGAAAACAAAAATTCCCTGCACATGAAAAAAAAGTATGTGCATGCACACAAAGAAGAAATTGTTTAAGCCGCCATGTTTTTCAAAAATAAATAAGAAATTAGAAATTTCTTAATCAGCATAAATTTTTAACATACAAAAGTGATAACTTTTAATGATTTTTTCATAGAATGCATTTCAATATTGAGTCCTGCTGAATTCTTTCATGAATGAAATCATCGATATTTAGCTTGTAACTTGAGTCCTACTCATTCGCTCTTTTTTTACGATCCTTACATATTTAAACAACTTTCAGTCATTCTTCAATTTGTTTGTTTACATCTCAAACATAATAATAGTCCTCAACGGCAACGATAAACGCAGTTTATTATTAACATAAACTTTCCATATTGTGCCATTCCATATCTGTTATTTCTTTTTCATTATTATTATTTTTTTTTATCTTTGCAGCAATAATACTACGAATCGTTCTTCACCAAGATCGAGAGGACCAATAGCTGAGGGTGTTTATAATAATTCACATTTTCTACATGCAGCAGCATCTCAAGTAGGAAATAATGTTCGAGTTAAGACAAAAGGTGGTGTAGTTGTTGAAGGAATTTTTAGGACATTTTCGGAAAATTTTCATGTAAGCTACTTTTTATAAACTTTAACAATCTGAAAAGATTGATATGGATTTGCTTTATTCGTGTATAGATTGCTCTTGAGGTACCACATCGCTATCAGAACGGTGGAGATGATAAAAAAATAAATGTTGATACAGTACAGGATAATTTGATTATCAAATTGTGTGACATTGTAACAATTGAAGCCAAAGATGTTGATTTAGAATATGCAACGCGCGACACATTTCAAACTGATACAGCAATTGCATCGCGATTAAATGGTCCATTTCGACACGGCGAAAAAGAACTCGAGCCTTGGATGGATGGGCCAGAGACTGCAATAAATGGCGAAATGAATTCAGGCTTAGAATTGGATACGAAAGTAAATGGATGGGATGCAAATGAAATGTTTTCATTGAACGAAAAAGAGCACGGAATCAAGACTACATTTAAAGATAATTTGGAAAGTTATACAGTACAAATCGAAAAGAAGGATACAATGGATTTCCGAAAGCAAGAATTGGAAGCAGAGCGTATCGCAAATGAAATTGAGAACAATCCAACAACAAAGGAGCGTTTAGATTTAGAAAATGGCGATGAGGAGACTGTATTTGCAGCCGTTGCACGTCCTGAGGATCAAAATAGCAATATCATTAGTAATAGTACTAATAATAATAGTGAAAAGTGTAAGTTCATAATGTTAAAAAGCTGTTAAAATCGTAACTTTATTTTTTTAATAAATGATTGGTTCTTATTTTAGTGACACCACCTCCCTCTTCACAAAACAAATATATACCGAAGCAGCAGCGCACTCAAACAAAAATGATGCCAGGCAGCAAGATGTATTCAAAGCCAATACAGTCTGTACAGACTGTTCCGCAACAACAACAGCAGCAGCAGCCTGTGCAACAAACTGTAATTAATGGTGGTGCTGGATTTAAAACAATTACAATTAATCCTCCACATCAATTCAATCAGCCACCCCCTTCACATTATGTTACACAACAACAACAAAATCAACAGTCACAGCAAATTCAACATAACCAGCAAGTTTTGAATAACCCAGAAGTTAATAAAATGAATAATGATGGACGTGAAATGGGTCGAGAAAATAGCAATAATAATAATAATAATAATAGTAATAAGTCAATGCCACCTCCTCGTAATATGAGAATTATGAATCCACCACCACAGATTCCTACTTCTTTCTCTGAACCGCCACCACAATTAAATCAAGTTCAGCAGCAACAAGTCTCAAATCAACATATGGGGAAACCAATTAATATGCACATCCCGCCACCTCATCTACAAGCTGTACAGACAGTTTCACAAGATGGTCCACAACCAACGACTGTTCATGTCCTTCCTCAACCGGTTGTTGTTGTTGCTCATCCATCACAAATTACTATTCATCCTGGTCAACAACAGCGTCCTCAAAGAGACCCAATAATGCGCTCGAGAAATGATGATATTCGTTCATTAAGGCAATTCCATAATGACTTTCAAATGGCTCCTCCTTCAGCGCCACAACAATCGTCACAAGCTATTCAAACTATGCCTCCACAACAACGACCCGAAATGCAAGACAATGGACAAATGGTTCACATCCCACAACAATCACAACAAAATTCTTCGGGTCCAACAAGTGTTGATAATTCTCAACAACCGCCTCCACACATGAAATCACATGTAAATAATAACAACAATAACAACAATAATAATAATAATGCAAATATAAATCATCATATAACTCATCATCCAACCCCATCATCGACTCCTCATCAAGAAAAATCACATGGACCGAGTACACCACCGCAAGCTATTACGCCACAGCAGCAAAATGTAAATAGTGTAATAAGTAATAACACTTCATCAAGTTCTGGAATAAATTCAACGTTGAGCGACGTGTCAAGTGGAAACGATAAGGCAACTTTAGGCACAAAGAAATTCACATTGAATCCACAAGCAAAACCATTCACGCCGAGAAACCCAAGCACCCCAAACCAATCGAGGTACATTTTCGTAATTTTTATTATAATTTTATGTGTTGATTAATAATATTTAATTTAAAGTCGACCACACACTCCACAAACTCCTGGACCAATGGCACAAGCTCCTCAGCAGCAGCAGCAACAGCCGATTCCACCACCCCAGCAGCAAGTTGTTTATGCACCAAGCGGACCTTTACTTTATATTGTACCATCTCAACAAAGGCCAACCGCACAAGCAACATTAACCAGAAAAACGCGTAAGAATTTCATTCCCCTAAATTAATTATTAAATTCCTTTACGTTCTTTGTGTTATATTTATACGACTTATTTTCTTATCTTGCGTGATTTACAAAAAGAGGTTTTTAGCGCATTTTCTTTTCAAGAAATGACGCTATTGTTTTTTGATTTCCTTCATTCTGCGAAAAATTGTAAGAAAAATTTGGTAATAAAGAACAATATATCATGACTATTTTAAATTTAGCTTAATTTGGGAAACAACGAATAGATTTATAATGAAATTTTGAAATCACTTACTACTTATAAGAAGAATATGGAATCAAGGTAAAAGAATAAGAAAATTCAAATTTTTGAAAACCGTTTTAATTCATATTCTTTAGAACCTGATAGATTTTAAATTTTTGAAAACCGTTGAAATTCAAAATTTTGAGAAACTGTAAAAATTCAAATTTTTGAAAACTGTTATTCTTTTTATTGTAGAATTTCACCAATTCCAAGTTACACAAGCAACAGGACAGCCAATTTTCAATCCACCCGCTCCACCACAGGCTGTTATGCCTTATCATCAAATGCAGACTGTTCAGTCGCAGACATATCCGCAAGCGATCAGAATGTATCCACACGAAATATCTGCCCAACAGCAGCCACATTTAACATCATATTTGGTTCCTACACCGCCATCTACAACTCCTTCGCCAGGACAGCCTCATCAACAAACTTTCCATCCAGGACCTCAACAATCTGCAGGACCTCCCACACAAACTTTTCAACCACCAGGATCATATGTTATGTTAATGCCCAGTAATGCACCACCATTTGTCTATAATCAACATAACCCACAATCATTTCAAATTGTCTCAAGCGCAATGCCACAACAACAACATCCGGCCCAGTAGCACTCAGATTCAAGTGATGTTGCAAAATTGATGACGACGACAAATAAAAAGTTTAAACAAATGAAAATTGAATCATCAACATCATCATCACAATCATCAATTTTAACAGCAGCAACACCACAATCTAATATTATGACACAACAAAATCAACAGCCACAACATATTCATCATCAGCATCTACATTCGCATAGTAATAATAATAATCATTATCAGCAAGCACTTCCTCAACCGCCACAAATTCATCGTAAAACGTCATCATATTACAATGGAATGGTACATAATTAGATAAGTGATAAAACTTTTACTTCCTTCCCTTTGATTTTTCCCATTCGACTCAATCTAAAAGGAATAAGAAAAAAAAACATTAATGAATAGTCATAGATTGATTCTCATTAATCATGTTGAACATAATTAAAGGATATTGGCACATTTTAATGCAAAATGCCATCAAAATATTCAATGCTTATACATTTTTGCATGCGACTAATATATAGTTCTAAACATTGACGAAATATTGATGACAAATTTTGTGTCACACTGTTGAAGCCAGTTTTCGAGGATTAAAAGATTTTTTAATTGTGTTTTTACTTTATCCTCTATCCTGTAATTAATAATAATCCATGAGATTGATTGATTGAGATAGCTAGACAAGTGAATTCGATAATTGCGCTGTATAAAGTTATTGCTATGAGAAGGTGCTGGAAGTATATGTTCATCTATTCATATCGAAGGATATCCAACAATAAAAATAGGGAATGAATGAATAAGTGAATGTTTGTTGAAACAAAAAAATAATAATAATAATAGATGATGACGATAATATGTTGGTGATGATAGTAGTATGAAATTTATAATTTCATGATATAGACGACAGTGGGAAAAGTAAAAAAGTTAAAATGCTGTCTTAAAACAAGCGAAGATGAAGAAGAAGAAGAAGAAAAAAAAAATTATGAAAATCAAACTACAATTCCTAGGTTTTGCTCTACAAAAGATTCTTTTTGTAAAAAAATGTTGTATCCATTCACTGTAACTGTTTTCTTTGTTTTAATATACCTCATTTTATTATCCAATTTTTTCGTACATGTATACAAAATATTAATGTATAATTTAAATTTTGTCACAATAATTCTTAAAAAGCTTTCTCATTTTTAAATGTATCTCTTTACTCTTCCGATTTTCCCATAATTTAATTATCAAAAAAAATTTCAGTTTTTTTTCCTTTAACTTTATTATTTTTATTGATTAATTAATATTATTATTATTTGTCATTTTTTTTTTCATTCAAATAAATCTTTACACGTGCATTTTCCTTAAAACACATACACTACGACACATACAGACACTTTTACACACACAAAAAAAAATCTTAAAATTATTAAAGATAAGAAGAAAATTTTAATTGAGATTTCTGAATTCGATATAGCATGGCATAAGGAATTTGGCATGTCGCATCGTGTTCAAAAATTAGTTAAATTCAAGTTTTAGTCAAATCACTGATTGACTCTGACCGAATGAATGAATGAGTTCCTTCAAAATAAAAGTGTTGAAGGAGAAGCAAAAAAATAAAAATAGTAAAAAAAAACTAATTTAAATTTCATTTTCGCTTTTGGCGAGCATTTCAAATTTAAGCGAATTTTGTTTTTTCGGACTAGAATTGGAAATTGAAGGAAATGCTCACTTCAAGACAAAAAAAAAGATCGTTTTTTGAATCTAATTTTTTTTATTTAAGTTATTTCAAACAAAATGAAAACTGAAAGCGAAAAGAAAAATCTTTTATTTTTCATTACGCATAAAAGTCTACAAATGAAAAGCTTCAAGCAATTTTGCAAAATATTTTTGGCGCAAGAGTTTTTGCTAGTTACACAAGAGTGATACGCTATAAAGAAAGAATAAAATAAAATGACGAGAAAAATTCTAATGTTCATGAAATAAAAAGGATGGAAGTGTTAACAGAAAAAAAGTGAGAATCACTCTCTCAAAAAGATATGTTGTTGAAATAAATAAAAAAAAGACTTGAAAGTGTGGAGACTTAAAAAAGAAGAAAAAAAGAAATTTGAACAGAATAATAAAAAAAAATTGAAATAAAAAAATAGTGCAGAAAAACGTGAAACGCCAAAAAATGTCTTTCATTGAATCATTAGGTATTGTTTGTTTTTTCAGCTTACACAAAATTATTTTGTATCTTGCAATCGTCTTTTTATCTATCCTAAATGTCGCACACTTGCTATTACAATTTCCATTTAAAGAACTCTTAGAAGGATGCTATTTAAACATGGATAAACTAAACTAGAACATAGAAATTAAGTTTTTTGTAGCATAGAAAAGAGAACCAAGAGAGAACGAACAAAAGTGCCTTAATAACTCAGTTGGCAAGGTACAGGTCACAAAAGCTGGTGTTGAATTTGGACTTTCGGGTTCGAATCCCACCACCAGCCTAGTGATTTTACATAAGTTGGGATGCTTCGGCTTCTTAAGTGCAGCCGTTTAAGACGTAAAACTAAGAATTAGGCGATATGAGATGTAGGAACGGATCAAGAATTATTAAGACAGAATGAGAAAGATACGAGAACCGTAAATTCATCAACAAAGACTTACTGGAACGGACCTGGAGACATTTTAACCTACTGAAAATTAGAACGAGAGCCGACATCTAAGATCTAAAACAGTTTTCAAATGGCTTCTGGACACACAACTGCTTAGTGAAGATTATGCGCTACACACTGAGCTAGCGTACATAATAAAGATTTAAGAATTCTTAATGTTAAGAATAGAATCGTAGCGCTTAAAGGTTTAGTAACACTATTGCACAATTTAAGATGAATTGAATTGAGAACCATAAATATACATAGGTTTATCTCGAAACCCTACCTTTACTTTTCCATATATTTACCTTTTTAAAAGGAAAAGCCGTCTGAAAAAGTACTTAAACTATTTCAATCCATTTGATAATACATATGGCTACAATCAAAAATTCTTCAATTCCATAAAAGTCAAATTAAAAAAAAAAAAATTGGTCAATAAATACGTATTTAAGTTAGAACCCTACAATTTCTTTCTATGCTCAAGTATCCATAACATCCATATTTATACCTGAAATACCTTTAAAAATTCTTCCTGATGACAAAAAAAAAACATTAGTGGGAATCCAGAATTATCATAAAAGTAAAGTTCTAATTTTTATATGAAATTACATGCTTCACAAATGCAAAAAATCAGTATTTGAAGAAACAGATCAAATTTTAGCCAAATTTCTATTTTACCACGTTTTAACACGGCGCACGTTGATCGAAAAAGTGAAAAGTTTGTCAAAAATTCAGCTTATGTTGTAGACATTGGTCCCTGGTTTATGGGAAAAATAATTTTTTCCCCCGGAAGTGCCTGGTCCACGAGAAAAGAGGGTGTGAATTTTTGTACTTCACGTAATTTTTAAAATGCTATTGTGCTTCACCTCCTTATCCGTTTGTCTTCAAACTTTTTTTATTTGATAGATACAAGAGAGAATTTTATGAATATCCACATGATATACTTTTTGTGCATATTGGTTCCTAAAAAATGAAAAAAGTTCGAAAAAACTAGGTTTTTTGTCATTTTTTGGACCTCATGACTATATCAGGCTTTCTAAATATTTTTAGATTGCAGTATTTTGTAGATCTCATTTATATCTACAAACATCACATGCATAATTTACAGATTTTATGTAGTTTGAGTAGTGAAAATTAACTTTGAAGTCAAAAATTTGCATATTTTTTGCTATATTCTCAATTGTGATCCACTGTCCATGTCCGGCTCCCAAATTTTATTTCATTAATTTGTAGACCTTAGTATGCTCTATCAATTAATGCAGTAACAAAAAAAGAATCACTTGCCGGAAAGCTTCAAAATATGAGCCTGAAGTTGGTCTAGTAAGGTATCTCAAAATTCAAAATGAATTTTCACATACCAGTCTTAGTGAAAGAAACTGAAATTTTCAGGTTTTATTCAATAAGCAATGTACTTAACATCCACAACAAAAGTTTTTAATTAAAAACACAATTTTGTTGAAAATTTAGGCAAAAAGTGATATATGATGTTATGAAACCATTAAATGCTCAATAAAGCTACTTTAACTAGTTAAAATCAAAACATTTCTGCAATTTTCATAAAGTTCGTTTAAAAAGCTTTTAAATGGTATATAATAAATCACATAAATATGTAATTGCTAGTAAATATCATCAAAGTTTTAAAAAATGAATCAAATTTTACCGAATCTGGAAACCTATGCTTGACATTTTTGCTTAGAACTATTGTAAATCTTAAGCATATGCAATAATTTTAGTATTGTTAGAAAGCTTAAAGTAGTGTTGATGCATTTAAAAAGTTTTGAAAGTTTGCTTGTTAAATTGAAGCTCATTAGCAGCTAGGAGAACAGATATGCTAGGTTCAATATGTCATACTTTGACTGCCACTACTAGGCACAAACGTCATTCCACTTTTTGTTTTTGGACTTTTTTCTATAGATCTATGCTAGAACTATAAGATTAATTCCATAAAAGTAGATTTTCATGGTTGATTGAAACAAAATTGTCTAAATAAAAACCTTAAATTTTGCGATTTTTTATATTCACACCGTTTTCATGTGTGAATCTATTGGTTTTGTTCAGATTGAAAAATCAGTTTTTCGCATTTTGTGAGAAAACAAAGCAAAATTGGTTATAAAAGGTCACAGGAGAAAAGTTTGTGCCTGAACTTTTACATCATTTTCAAAAAACAGATTTCAAATTGGTTGTGGCATTGCTGAGAAAATCGCAAAATACGCTTTCTGTAAGCAAACAAGCAAGCAAGCAAGTTAATCAGCAAGAAATCTCAATAACGAGACATCGTAGAGACTTCTAGTTTTTTACATTTGATCCGTGCTGCTCTATAGAAAAGCTGTATTGTTTTTGGGCAAGGTAGGAACAGCCGTTGCTTCAGAAAAAGCAAAAAACTTTCCTTTCTTACGAATTTTTCAAATTAAAAGTTCACTGTGATTTTTTTTTTATTTTAAATTAAACTTTGGATGAAAAAAATTTTTTTGAGCAAAGAACCAAGAAGGAAATACATTTTCAATTATGAACTTGGGACAGGTCTAGTCAAAATCTAGTTTTTCACTTTTTTTCTTCGAAGGTTTATCCAATTACAGTGAAACTTTGTGTGAGTATACTAATATTTATACAAAACGGTTTTAAATATCTAAAGCAAGAAATGTATTCTATATGTCGTCAGACCAAAATTTTATAAATTTGGTTGTACATTCAAAAACAACGTGACTTAAAATTTTGTCCAAAAAAATGATTTTTATTAATTCAGAAATGTGTGACTTGAAAATTAGAATGCTCATACAAAGTTTTACTGTATTTGGATTTATCCTCGAAGAAAAAAGTGAAAAACTAGATTTTGAATGGACTTGTCCCAAGTTCATAATTGAAAATGTATTTCCTACTTGGTTCTTTGCTCAAAAAAATTTTAGGATATTTTATTTGTATTTGTTTTAAGCACAAGAATATTTATGCAAAGTTTCAATCCATTTGGATAAATCCTCGAAGAAAAAAAGTGACAAAATTGATTTTGACTAGGGTCGCCCCTAGTCCAAAATTGAAAATGTATTTCCTACTTGGTTCTTTGCTCAAAAAAATTTAAGATGTTTTATTTGTATTTGTTTTAAGCATTAAAATATTTATGCAAAGTTTCAATCCATTTGGATAAACCCTCGAAGAAAAAAGTGACAAAATTGATTTTGACTAGGGTCGCCCCTAGTCCAAAATTGAAAATGTATTTCCTACTTGGTTCTTTACTCAAAAAAATTTTAGGATGTTTTTTTTTTGTATTTGTTTTAAGCACTAGAATATTTATGCAAAGTTTCAATCCATTTGGATAAACCCTCGAAGAAAAAAGTGACAAAATTGATTTTGACTAGGGTCGCCCATAGTCCAAAATTGAAAATGTATTTCCTTCTTGGTTCTTTGCTCAAAAAAAATTTAGGATGTTTTATTTTGTATTTGTTTTAAGCACTAGAACATTTATGCAAAGTTTCAATCCATTTGGATAAACCCTCCAAGAAAAAAGTGACAAAATTGATTTTGGCTAGGGTCGCCCCTAGTCCAAAATTGAAAATGTATTTCCTTCTTGGTTCTTTACTCAAAAAAATTTTAGGATGTCTTATTTGTATTTGTTTTAAGCACTAGAACATTTATGCAAAGTTTCAATCCATTTGGATAAACCCTCGAAGAAAAAAGTAACAAAATTGATTTTATTAGGGTCGCCCCTAGTCCAAAATTGAAAATGTATTTCCTTCTTGGTTCTTTGCTCAAAAAAATTTTAGGATGTTTTTTTTTGTATTTGTTTTAAGCACTAGAACATTTATGCAAAGTTTCAATCCATTTGGATAAACCCTCCAAGAAAAAAGTGACAAAATTGATTTTGGCTAGGGTCGCCCCTAGTCCAAAATTGAAAATGTATTTCCTTCTTGGTTCTTTACTCAAAAAAATTTTAGGATGTCTTATTTGTATTTGTTTTAAGCACTAGAACATTTATGCAAAGTTTCAATCCATTTGGATAAACCCTCGAAGAAAAAAGTGACAAAATTGATTTTGACTAGGGTCGCCCCTAGTCCAAAATTGAAAATGTATTTCCTTCTTGGTTCTTTGTCAAAAAAATTTTAGGATGTTTTTTTTTGTATTTGTTTTAAGCATTTGAATATTTATGCAAAGTTACAATCCATTTGGATAAACCCTCGAAAAAAAAAGTGACAAAATTGATTTTGACTAGGGTCGCTCCTAGTCCAAAATTGAAAATGTATTTCCTTCTTGGTTCTTTGCTCAAAAAAATTTTAGGATGTTTTTTTTTGTATTTGTTTTAAGCACTAGAACATTTATGCAAAGTTTCAATCCATTTGGATAAACCCTCGAAGAAAAAAGTGACAAAATTGATTTTGACTAGAGTCTCCCCTAGTCCAAAATTGAAAATGTATTTCCTTCTTGGTTCTTTGCTCAAAAAAATTTTAGGACGTTTTATTTGTATTTGTTTTAAGCACTAAAATATTTATGCAAAGTTTACTAGTCGCCCCTAGTCCAAAATTGAAAATGTATTTCCTTCTTGGTTCTTTACTCAAAAAAATTTTAGGATGTCTTATTTGTATTTGTTTTAAGCACTAGAACATTTATGCAAAGTTTCAATCCATTTGGATAAACCCTCCAAGAAAAAAGTGACAAAATTGATTTTGGCTAGGGTCGCCCCTAGTCCAAAAAGAAAAATTAATTTTCTATGGTGTACTTTTGTCAAAAAAATTTTTTGGATGTTTTATTTGAATTGACATAATTTTGACATAAATCACAAACCAATATTACTTTTTGTAATGCATAGCTTAAAAAAAATCGAAATCTAAAATTTCGACTACCCCATCTGAATTTAGTACATACTCTTCACTGTGGAAACCAAAAAACAAATTCTTTATCTTAAAACACCTGACAAAATAGCGACATAATTCAGGATTAATTACTTTTTAATAATATTTTAACATTTACGAGAAAATGTGGTTCAAATAAGTGTGAAGCATGGCCGAGATTTGGACCAAAATCAGCTATACTGGTTCATAGTGTTCCCGAGGGTGACAAAATTCAAACTAAGTGTTTTTGTAGCTGACATAATTATGACATAAATTAGGTATAACTTTTGAGTAGTTGATTAAATGCATTTACTGGCATTTACTATTTTACTGAAATTAACATTGGAAATCTACTTTTATGACATTTATCTTATAGTTCTAGCATAGATCTATAGAAAAAAGTCCAAAAACAAAAAGTGGAATGACCTTTGTGTTTAGTAGTGGCAGTCAAAGTATGACATATTGAACCTAGCATATCTGTTATTCTAGCTGCTAATGAGCTTCAATTTAACAAGCAAACTTTCAAAACTTTTTAAATGCATCAACACTACTTTAAGCTTTCTAACAATACTAAAATTATTGCATATGCTTAAGATTTACAATAGTTCTAAGCAAAAATGTCAAGCATAGGTTTCCAGATTCGGTAAAATTTGATTCATTTTTTAAAACTTTGATGATATTTACTAGCAATTACATATTTATGTAATTTATTATATACCATTTAAAAGCTTTTTAAACGAACTTTATGAAAATTGCAGAAATGTTTTGATTTTAACTAGTTAAAGTAGCTTTATTGAGCATTTAATGGTTTCATAACATCATATATCACTTTTTGCCTAAATTTTCAACAAAATTGTGTTTTTAATTAAAAACTTTTGTTGTGGATGTTAAGTACATTGCTTATTGAATAAAACCTGAAAATTTCAGTTTCTTTCACTAAGACTGGTATGTGAAAATTCATTTTGAATTTTGAGATACCTTACTAGACCAACTTCAGGCTCATATTTTGAAGCTTTCCGGCAAGTGATTCTTTTTTTGTTACTGCATTAATTGATAGAGCATACTAAGGTCTACAAATTAATGAAATAAAATTTGGGAGCCGGACATGGACAGTGGATCACAATTGAGAATATAGCAAAAAATATGCAAATTTTTGACTTCAAAGTTAATTTTCACTACTCAAACTACATAAAATCTGTAAATTATGCATGTGATGTTTGTAGATATAAATGAGATCTACAAAATACTGCAATCTAAAAATATTTAGAAAGCCTGATATAGTCATGAGGTCCAAAAAATGACAAAAAACCTAGTTTTTTCGAACTTTTTTCATTTTTTAGGAACCAATATGCACAAAAAGTATATCATGTGAATATTCATAAAATTCTCTCTTGTATCTATCAAATAAAAAAAGTTTGAAGACAAACGGATAAGGAGGTGAAGCACAATAGCATTTTAAAAATTATGTGAAGTACAAAAATTCAAACCCTTTTTTCTCGTGGACCAGGCACTTCCGGGGGAAAAAAATTATTTTTCCCATAAACTAGGGACCAATGTCTACAACATAAGCATATAGGCTAAATTTTTGACAAACTTTTCACTTTTTCGATCAACGTGCGGTGCATTTATATGAAATTTAAGCTCTCCAAATATACAATATTAATGAATGCGCCCACGTTTTAAGAGGTAGAACTATACGATATGGTCGAAGTGAATAAATTTGCGATTCATGTATGGTCACGACTTTTTAGTATAAAACTTTCAAATCAATCTCAATTTTTCAAACCAATATCCTTTGAACCCAATAAAAAAGTTATTTTCTACTTTTCAGTCCACGGGTAAAAACGTGGTTTTTAAAAAGTTTTTTTTTTATAAAGTATTTTTATAGCATCGAAGAGAACTAAAGTAGTTGTGTTACAATTGCAAACTTAATTACATTAATCATCAATATAAATAGAAACCAATGAACGAATTCAATTCATTGACTTACTATAACTCATATTTTGGTTTTATAGATAAACTTTGTACATGCAAAACTAAATCTAAGGACAACTCTGGTTAAACGACTCAGTTAACAATTGATTTGAAATATTTATTTTACCAAAATAATAACACTTAATAAATTTTGGTGGATCTAGACTTCAATTTTTGAGGAAAGTGTAGACTTAGTTGCTGAAAATCAAGTTTGTTGAATCTCTAAAAAAATAAAACGCATAGCTTATTTATCATTTTATATAATTTATTTTTAGCCTGTTTTTAATGTTGACTACTTTTTGTATAATTTCAAATGAGTAGCTTGAATCATACAATTTGTTTTTATTTCATAATATTAGTTCTTCATTTTCATCATCATCAGAATATCATTTTTTTTTTAATTTTCAATATCTCCCTCCATACTCAATTAAGAGCATTAAAGACAAACAAAAAATCATAAAGGCACTATTCTACTCTAAAAATCTAAAATTATAAACAGTTCAAATTAAATACGATAAAAATTATAGCACAAAATTCTCTCCTATTTCAGTTTGAGGGATCGATTAGGTTCAGAAATTTTTTTATCTGATGTAGAAGACACCACATTCTGGTTCCAATTTAATTTCTTTGATCCTTTCTCTAATGTTCTCTTGTAAAATATTTTGATTATCTTAATGTGACTGTAAATTTTAATTTTTTAAAGAGTTTTTTTTTTTTGGAATGCTTAAGTTTCATTAACAAATTCATTCGTTTTAAGTCAGTAACTAGTTTGTAGATTTTAATATTATGTCATATTGTGTTCCCTTTTTGTTTATTACTTAATTAATCAATCTTGTTAATTAATTATTTGAGATTTAAATGGTCGACATTCATCATTGATTTACTGCCAAAAGTTTAATGAATGTTGTTTTCAACTGATATTATGAGCATGTTGGAAGTGCATTGAACAGTTTTTGTATGTTTAAGTTTTGAGCCAGTTGGTTTTTAAGATTTTGGTCAATTTTCATAAAGTCGGATTGCTATCAAAAAATATATCATCAATACACAAAAACAATAGTTATAGTCGTAAACAACATTAGCTTTTAAATTCAAATGTTTTTTTTACCAGAATTATTTAAAATTTGACTTGTTGAATGCTTTTTAAAATTTTTATTTTAATTTTGTCCAGTAGATCTTGTCTTTAATGAGGACTATCTAAAGGAATATCATTAGCAGATCGAAAAAATTAAATTTTTCAATAACTTAAACAACTTTCAATAAGTTTATCTTCCTTCGTGTCAAGAATACTACAGAATTATTCCAACATGCCATTATTAAGGTACTTTTTATTTATCTCAATGATTTATTTTCCATTTATCTCTTCTTTTCTTTCACAACATTATATATTTTTTATTAATTTTTTTAACTTCTTTTTAGAGTTACCCTTTTGTTAATTGTGTATCCTCAATATTTATAATTGTTGTATTCTTTAATGTTTGACAATTAAACACATTTCATAGTAATAATAAAAGTAACGATATTGTAGTTTAATATAACATATAGTTTCGATAATCTATTATCGAATAAGAATAAAAGGAGTCACAATAAAAGTACGTAGTTATAACTCTGCAGGTAAATTTTATGTATGTCATATGTACAACAAAATATTTTGTCAATTTAATAACTTAACGTTTTCAGAACAATATAGGTAATTATTTTTTATATATTACTCAATTATAAGAATTATTTATCATACATTCACTAAGTGCTTAATTTAATTATTTCAAAAAAGTTTTGGCTGTTTTGTTTGTGCTTAAGAATTAATCAGAAGATGAATTTAAAACTAGGCAAGGAAATTTCATGAATAATCATTAATAAAATTACACAGCTAATAAAGTCACATGCTTGCCCAATAATATATACAATATAAATATTTAAAAATGAGATGTAAGAAAGGAGTAGTTAATACCGAAATTGGTTACAAATTTTTTCTTGAAAATATTCGTGAGTAAATTTTAAAATAGTTTTTTTGAATTATTTGTAAGATCAAAATCGTTTGGGAAAATAAAAAATTGGAAGATATCAAACAATGTGAAAACAATAATTTTTTCAAGTATAAAAAGGTTCAATTCGTTTGTTTTTTCATGGATTTTATAAGTTAGGTATTATCAAGCACTGCATGTAATTGCATTAACTTTTAAAAAATAAAATTTGTGTAATAAATTATTAATAAGAACTAATGAACATCTTAGTACGGGAGCAAGATGATGTAGGAGCAAAAAAAAAGACTTAAAAATAACTTATAATAAGAGAGAATCTATGGTTAATTTTTTGGTAAAGTAGCATAAACTTAAAGAAATTAAATGTTCAATGACGAGATAAGATGAAATAATTTTAAGAATTTACATATTACATTTTTTAACTTGGTATTTAAATTAATTCTTACAATGCAATCGCAGATTATGACATAGATAATTCTTATAAATAAAGGAAAGAAGAATCTTATTGTCAATTCATCTGCATGTTTACATTGTTCTATCTCATTTAAATAAATGGTGTTTGCTTACAGTTTTTGATTTCATTTGCATGCCTTGAAAATGCAAAATCCTTAAGTAACGTAATTAATAATATTAATACAATATAAATATTACCTAGTTTATTATTTGGAAATTAAAAAGACGAGAAAATAAATTAAGGACTAGATCTATATACGTTCATATAATTGTAATTGAAAACTGGGTTAACTAATTTCTTAATAATTTATGCTTAATGCACATTGATTTTCTCAATAAATTTTTTTTTTCAAACTTTTTATTATTACAATAAAAAGATTTATGGAGCTACAACAAATACATAACAATTAATTTTGTATATTATTAAAAGGATTTAATCGAAAAGAAGTAGCCATTTTGGAACTTAATATTATTTATTTATGTTTTTTTTTGCAACATAAAACTTTAATAATCCATACAATAATTGTATTGTTAAATTATCACCTTTGATACTACTGAGGTTCCATGAATGCCATATCAATATATATCGTAAGGGACCAATATACACGTTAAATAGGTTATTCTTCATTTCTGCTCATAAGTTTCCATTCAAAAATCAAGACTTTGAAATTAAACTGTTAAATTGGAACGTAAAACTAATGCTGATGATTTAGGATATGTGTATGTTTGCCATTTTACTTTTTCTTCTTATCATCCATTAAACGTTTTCCACGAAAGTCGTAAACTCGACGACAAAACATGACAAGTTCTGGCGAAGTATTGGGAGGAGGCACTGAACGACGATCAGCATGGAGTTTGGGTACTAATGATATTGATTCTTCAATATTTTCCTCTATAGACCTCAGCATCTTGCGATATCTATTTAAGACGAAAATCGAGAAATAAGAAAAATTAAAAAAATTGTTTTATCGATTTGCTGTACTGCGACACTCACCTGCAATATTCATTGTACGTAATTACGTAGCATTTATCCTCAATACAAGCGACGCTATTGTGATCTTTATGGCGTGACGCAAAAACTTCGTCAATTGCGTCAGCATTTTGTCTCCCTTGTTCAGTATGTTCTGGTCGATAATACCAAAATAATGACATCATCATTTCGCCTTTATGATTAAAAAATGGATTAAATTAGATTGGATGTGTTACATAAAGTTTTGAAATTCAAGTCGTACGTCAATTCTAATTTTTTAAAAATAAACATTTATATTATAACGAATTTGCAATTGCTTACCATCTTCTGGATTCTCCCATAACTGAGCAACTTTTGCAACATAAGGTAGTTCATTGCGTTTACCTCCAGCACGAAGGAGCACACAGTCACGTGGTTTTATCTTATCCCCACATTCCTCGTGACGCATTGAATCGTAGCACGTTCTTGGAACAGGCGGATCATCGCTCTAAAATGTCAATTTGTAGATTATACTCTATATGATAATGTACGCATGCACAAATGAATACTTACATTTAAAAATACTAAAGCTTGATATGGTTCACCTTCCCATACCCATCCATTACTCCAACGTGGAATTGATGTACTTTTGGGAATTATAATGTCATTAGGTAAAGTTAATTTCACTTTCTTTCGGTTAGTATATTTTGGTTTCTTTCCTCTCCGTGATGCTTTTACAAGTGCAGTTGTCCAACCGAAGCCTGGAGTCTTGTACAAAGTTAATGGCTCCTGTTGTTTCTTATTGTTGTTCTCAAAGCACTCATTATTGTTGTTGGCCACATCCGTTTCATCAATAACAACCGGTATATTTGTCTTCACCGTAGTAGGTGTCGAGCTGATAAGGGTTGTTGTAGATGCTTCATCTTTTGACTCAATAGTTTTATCGTCATTAGCATCAACATCATTTTCATTCGTTGATGGCTCAATTATAACTTTATCATTTTCATTATTCGTTTTTGCTTTCTTCGTTGTACATCCCTTCTTCGGTGTTGCTACTTTCTGTTTCTTCTTTAATGTAGACTGCGATAAAGGAGTTTCTTCAGTGTTAACTTTCAATGATTCCTTTTCAGTGCTATTTTTTGGAGCTTCCTTAGCTTTTTTCTTGGGAGCTATTGTCTTCTTCCTCTCTTTAATCGGTTCCTTATTATCAACCTCTTTTGGCTCTTTGGCTTTAGTCTTTTTCGGTTTTTTTAATGAAGTCTTTTTGTTACAAGTATCATTATTAATATTATTATTTTTATTGTTGGGTTGTATTTCTTTTGCTTCAATTATTGTACTTTGTGCAGGGGATTTAATGACAACGACATCAGTCGTATTTTCTGTTTGCTGCGGAATCGCTTTATTGACTTTTGTGTTTTTCTTCTTTGATTTATCCTTGCCTTTTTCTGGCACATTGAGACTTTTATCTTTACCACTACTGTTGCTGCCATTATTGTTTTGAATCTTTTCCTTGTTTCTTTTCTTCTTCTCTTTTGCACATAAAACCAAAAGTCTTGCTTCAAATCTCTTTTGGCTTTTTGTCTTACGATGTTTCGAGAGACTTGAAAAGATTTCCGACTCAGAGAAATATCCTTTCGCCACACGATCAATGGTAAGATCAATATTAGATTTTCCAGAATATTCACTGCTCCCATCCATTGATTTATCCTCATTATTTTCACTCATCTCATTCGACGCTTGTTCACAAATGTCGAGAGACTTTTCTTCTTCAATCGTCATCGCTGATGATGAATTGTCATTGTCATCCTCAAGTAGCTGAGTAGTTTCTGAAATTGAACAATTATTCGTACTTGTGCTATGATTATTATTACTTTCAATAATTTCATCATTCTCATTAATAGATGACGTCATTTTAGCAGATGTTCTTTCCTGTTGTGATTTCAAATTTATTGTCATTGCCTTTTTCCTCTGTTGAAGCAATTGTTGTTTCTTTTTAAGCAATGCTCGCCTTTTTGCCTTTGCTGTAAATCTCATTGTCTTAAAAGTAGATTTCGATTTAAGAATGTTTCTACGTTTTATGGTCGATTTATTTAAGATTCTATTTATATTTGATGGAATTAATGTTGTCGCTGTTGCTCCTTCCGATGGTGTTATTAAGAGGGATGTTGTTACTGCTGGTGTAATCGTTATTTCTGAAACAGTTTCTGTTTCATTTGAGGCTGATGTTGTTGGAGTGGAATTACTTTGTTTTATTAAGCTCTTATAGCTATTTGGAGGAGATTTTTTCGGTGTATTTATCGGCTTCTCTAGAAGTTTTCTTCTTTTAACTGGCATTGTTGGTGGATCCAATGTCGAATTATCACTCAATTCTATCACATCATCACTATAAATATGCTTACGTTTTATTGAATAATCAATGCCACATTCATCACTGCTTTCATTTACTAAATTGACTGTCACTATATCGTTTTCAGATGAAATTTCATTTTGCACTATTGGTGGCGTCTCATTTCTGTTATTGTTTGTTGTCGTTTTCAAAATACCTGAGGATGCTTCTCGGTGATTTTCATTTTCAGGTCTCTCGACTTTAATATTTGCTGCGCTCGAATGACTAAAATTTGTCATTGTAATTTCGTCACAGTCTTTTTCTTTCTTCACATCACGCTCTTTCTTCACAGGATATTCTTGCTTAAATTGTGGCAAATCCACTAAAGTACTTGCATCGTTATTGATCATAGTCTGATTTATATGATGATGATGGTGATGATGATGATGATGATGATTGTGATATCCGGTAGGTACTGCTTGTTGTTGCTGTAGTTGTCTATCACGTTCCATAGATTTTCCTATGCGTGCTTGCTTTCTATGGCTTAAAATAGTATTATCACTATTAAGGTTACTATCCTTTGGTTGTACTGCGGTATCATGTTGGACTATCGGTATTTGTTGTATGCCTATAGAGCCACGAGAAGGACTTGGCGAAAGGTCTGGCGTATCTAATAATTTTGTATTCATTGAATATGTCATCGTTGGTTCATGCGAATGTATAATGTTTTCATAAAGCTCGTGTGATTTTGACCTGTTTTGATTTACTGTTCCTTCGTTTAGTTTGTCATTTTCGGGTTTGATTACCAAATTTGGCGATAAAATATTTTCTACTTTACACGATATTGTTGGCTGTACACTACCATTTGAATGAGATGCTATCTTTGGAAGTGTTTCGGCCATTCCATTACAAGCTGACACTGGGCCTTTCGCCTTAGTTGGCCCAGTGCCAGTATGGACGTTTTTTGACTGACACGACTGCATTGGACAAGGACAACTCGCACTGTGATACTGATGAGCATCTAAACGGGGAATAAAAAGGAAAATGTATTTAGCGATTCATGTTTTATAGCAAAATTTCACAATATGGGGAAATATGTATATGAATTTATAAAAAGATTTATTAGTCACAAAACGAAGTCAATCGCTTAAGTTCACACAGAAATATAATGTTCGGCACGTCACAACATGAAGTGATATGAAACAAAATGAAAGCATCAAAATCCCAGAATTAAAAAAATTACATGTAATTACAAAATACATTAATCAGTAGAATAACATCCACCTACATATTTAGATAGATTTGTTTACATGTTAACATTTTTTTTAAATTACACAAAGTTATAAAATTTGATGACTTACAAAAATTCTTAGTAATTCTAAAATAATTTTTAATAAATTTTTTTAAATGAGTATTCCTCAAATGATGTATTATATTCAACTGTTATTTTGCGAAAATAGAATAAACGTATGAAATATAACAATATACAATGCTATGCAAGTTTCAAGTGTGATGGTAGTTGTTACTTTCAAACGTAGTTTTAATAATCAAAGCATATCAATATTAATATTAAAAACGTTTTTTTTTTCACACTAAAGCAAGTGTTTTGTTCTTGAAATCAGTGCAATTAAAATCATGCATTACAATTAAATGTTTTATGTTTTCTCGGTGAAAATTCTTGCTCATAGGATATACATCCAGTTTAACATGTCGCATGAATAAAGAAACAAAAAATCGGGATGAAAACCAATGAAACAAGAGGAATATAAAATAAATTTACAATACGCTACAAATTAACAACATTCATGACAATACTAGAGGATATGAAAAATTAAATATTTTATCAATGAATATTCCTGGTTGCATGGAATCCACAATATATCATAAAAAATGAAAAATTGGAGCACACAATCATTCATCAAAAATACAGAATGTGACACTTTTTGGTCATAAACTTATCATACTTTTCCTCACCTAGATACGGTGGTTGTAAATTACGTGGTGGTGTTTGACTATAACACTGTCCGCTTGTATTATATGGACTCGGACTAGGATAATATGGTGAATTTGTATAGTGCGGATCGATATGTTGCGGTGTTTGCGCTGCTGGAACGATCTGCTGTGGAGCATTTTGAGGCACAAGGGGAGGTGGTTGATAATAACTAGGTGATAAATATGGTCGCCTTGCATATGGAGAGTTTGTTGGATAATATTTGGGCGGGTAGTATGGGTAGCAAAGATCTTGATGAGTCACTGGCGGATGTTGACCATAATAATAGGGGGGATATGATGGTGGATAATGCATCTGTTGTGGATGTATTGGTCTCGAAAAGTCAGGAGCTGGTGGTGGTCCGTATCGATAACTTGGTCGTGGAGCTAAGTCACCTCCTAGTATAGACAATAATATAGATGTAACGGGAAATGTAATAAATGAGAAGCCATGAGATATAATTACAAAGTCAAAAAAGACTCAGAAGATAAGATAAAGACAGGTAAAAAGTTAATGAGAAGATGAGTATGTGATAAAATAATAAAAGATAAAACACATAATAATAAATATGTTAAATGATGGTGTTCCAATGACTGCTTATGATTAGGATATTAAATTACTATTGCAAATGACAAATGTATTGTAATGGAAATTATTACCTGTTATCATAACATCCGGATCAACATTGTCTCCTGTTCCATTTCCAGACAGTGCTTGTTGTGATTGATCACCTTCTATTGATGGCGGGGGTGGTAGTAAATGAGGTGACAATAATGGTCCTGCCGGTTGATAATATCCTAAAACATAAGAAAAAAAAAATAATATTAATTATTAATTTTCCTTGTGATTTCCTGAAATAATGTACAGTAAAATTAGATGGCGGACTGCATAATTGAATTATTTCTGTTTTTTTAAATTCACGTTTTATTTTCATATGAAGTATAAATTGATCGACTTAAGATATAAATTTGTTCATATTTAGATATATTCTAAAACGAGATTGTTTTCATTTTCTCGTTCCACTTCTTACATCTTTTTTCATACATATGCGATAATAGACTTTTACAACCCCTTCGAGGCTTACTATTTTATCTGTTCAGATTCGACAGCAAAAAACTTTTGTTAAAAGCCAATTTCAAATAGAATTTGTCTTTGATTTAAATTCCGAAATGAAAGGAGCTTCATTATTCTTTCTTATTATTAATTCAAAACTCACACACTCACACACATCTCTACCAAAAATCAATTAATGTCGCTTATTGACAATTTCATTAATTTGAAAATCATTAATTTAAATCATCGTTTGGTGATGGATTTATATTAAATGTATATAGACATATGAATTTATTTGGGTGCTACATTAAATATAGACTCCTTTAAAAATTTAAAATATTATTTTTCATGCCCTGTTTGAGTTTCAATTTCACCCCTATAGCAATATAAAATTTACGTCTCGCTTCTTGTTACACACATATTACAGACATTTGTATATATTTATACAATTTATACATGCATGATGATGATCGTCACTTATTCAACAAGACGGTGGAATGAGAATGTTTAGGGGAAATAAATCGAGAGTAAAATAAAAATTCCGTAATACTTTTACAAACATGAACTTGAAATTTATATTTACGAAAAATCGCATTTAATTTTACTTGACGTTTCATTTTCGTTTGCTTTGTAATACTTTTAAATATTCAAACAGTAGCTTCATAAACGGAAGAGTGAGAATTTTTTATTACTTTACTCTCTTGTTTATTCTCATATTGTCGTATATAAACTGATAATAATGCATGTCATGATACTCAGTTAAATTTATTGTAAAAACAAAACATTTTGCAGATGAACACTAATAGTTGATTTATTTTTATTTTTTCTCATAATTTAGAATTTAATTTAACAAATATAAAATTTATTGTGTGTCACTAGAATTTAATGCCATCATATTAACTTGTGTTTATAATCATAAAATATTTTTTGAAAATTATTCTGAATAAAACATGTTGAATAAGAACAAATATCCCTTTTATTTGCTGCTTCGCGGTAGTAGTCGTTTATTGCAAATTAAATTCTAATCATACAATTTATGTTATATATTCATGAAAATTTACTGCGTAATTAAAGAAGCTCCTTGTACATCTGTAGTTATAAATTTAATATTGAGAATATATGAAGAAGGCAAAACCGAGAATAAGCAAACACAGTTGAAGAAGAAGAAGAAGAGATGAAAACTAATGAATGAGAAATAGGGGTTGAAAAAAATAAAATAAAACGAAAATTGGAAATGCATGAGAATGTGTTTTTTATTTGGTTTTTAGTAGCTGTTAAAAATAGAACAACTGCTGGCTTCGTTTTTATATTGCAAGTTCAGAAAAAGAAGTATTTCAACAGCATAGAATGAATGAAAGAGAGAAAAAATTTTATTCATGCCAGTGTCTGTATCTCGAAGAACTTTTCGTATCTCTTGTGTTCTTTTTATTTCTATTCCGTTCTAAAATTCATTCTGCAGTTGAGAAATGCAGAAAACATACAAATAAAAGTAAGTTTGCTTTCTTAATGTTGATTAATCCTAGGAGAAAAAATTTGTAAATAAGAACACCGGTTTGAAAAGTATTCAAATTCTTATATTAGTTTAGTTCAGACGGGTTCAGACAAAATGAAAAAGCTTAAAAACATTTTTATAAAAATCTATTGTAAACAGGAATGAAGAAGATATAAGAAACTAATTTTGCAGATGATTACATTTCTGTGTCATTGTGAGTCATGTTTAAATCAGTGTTGCATTCTGGCGATTTGTCTAGATCAGATAAATTCTGAGACAGAAATTTCTTCATAAAGATCGATTCTATATGAAGATAGAAAATCTAATCTACACAAAGATTATTTCTACATGAAGATTCTGTCTACATAAAGATTCTATGTAGATGTCTACAATTCTACATTCTTCTCTGATGTAGACCTGGAAAAAATGTAGAATTGTAGACATCTACATCGAATCTTTATGTAGACAGAATCTTTATGTAGAAATAATCTTTGTGTAGATTAGATTTTCTATCTTCATATAGAATCGATCTTTATGAAGAAATTTCTGTCTCAGACAAAAACTATTGAAGAATCTACATTCTTCATCTAGTGTAGACATCTACATTTGCAACACTGGTTTAAATCATCATATCCTTACCTATTTCTTATTACTTTAAAGCAAGTTAAAAAAAGGCAAAATAATATTCCCTTGTTGTTGAATTCAATGAAAATGTGAATGATGATGACGATGGAATGCCTTTGAAAAGTGGGATTATTCTTTTAATTTTATTGTTACGAATCTAAATGAAGTTTCTCTTCAATTAAAAAAATAAAATCACTCGAAGACCCTTGACAAAGAGGATATAAATAAGAAAGTATGTATCTATACGGAAGACGAAATCACAAATATATTTTATCCACAAAAGGTCATAGTAAAAAATGACACAATCTAGAGATCTTGATTAAACTCATCAATCCAGTTTCATTTTTGTCTTCACATTTGTTATTTATAATCAAGTTTTTTTAAGTCCTTTGGGTTTAAAAATAAGTAAACTGGATGAATGATAAAATTCAATTGCCTCTTAAAGGTTTATCTCAGAAGTAAACACTAGTGTTTACAAAAAAGGCAATTTAATTTAACCCAATAACATTTACTGTCTCATGTTAAATTAATGTTTTAGACAAGCTTTACATGATGTAATTTAAGATCTATTATTTTTAACAAATTGACATAAGACAAAGATTTAGTGCTCAGGAAAAGTGTTTTGATAGCTCAGCTTGCAAGGGACAGGTCATAAAAATTCGTGTTGTATTTGGAATCTCGGATTCAAATTCAACAACCAGCTTAGTGAGTGTTTAGAACTTTGATACTCTGTCTTCTTAAGTGCAGCAGTCTAAAGCGTAAAACTAAGATTTAGACAAATGTGAGATGTAGTCAGGGGCCATTCACTTATTACGTAACGCTTTTAGGGGGAGGGGGGGTCTAAGATTTTGTTACGGTTCAAACAAGGAAATTTTTTTTTTCATACAAATTTTGTTACGAGGGGGGGGGGGGGGCTCTAAGAAGTCATTTTTTCGCGTTACGTAATAAGTGAACAGCCCCTCAACGGATCAAGAATTGTATAGACAAAATGAGATAAGATACAAAAACGGTAACTTAAACCTAAACTGAACGAGCAATTTCTTTAAATGCTATCTCATGCATTTGGTAAAAAGACGCTTTAAACAACGATTTCTAAATGTTTAATTTATGTACCAAAATTCCTTTCAAGTGTTCTATATTGCTGCCAAATATACAAAAAAAGTATTTTTTTTACTTTCTGATTTTTTTTTTTCATATTGAATTCATTTCTCTAATTTTCATATGTAAACACTTTATCCATCATGAAATTAAATATTCTGCCGCAAAACCGTATCTATCTCTCCAGTTGTTTATGTTTATGAATCTATTTGCATGCTTTCTTATCTCTATGTTTTCTTTTATATGATGCGAGAAAGCTTATATCACATTTTATTGTGTTTTGAATAATAATAAGTGAAAAAGGAGATTTTCGTATTTTATATAAGGTATATATATTTATATGATATAAACTTGGTACCGAAAATATCGTGTAAATGCAAATATTGTGAATGTTATCATACGTAAGGTGTGAAAATACACATCTTTAAACTTTTAAAATCTCATGATTACATTTTTCTCTTGAATTTTAAATTTTAATATTATTATAGATGAAGATGAGATTTTTGTGAAAATTTATTCAGGCTAATTCGCTTAGTTCAAATAAATACCAAAATTCAATAATTTAATGTAAATGAATTTTGTATCTAAAAAAGACAATCACTGAGTTATGAAAAAATCAACAATTAAAACAGCAAAAAGTGCGTTTCAAATGAGAAACTAACATTACAAAATTCGTAAACCGAAAAATACAACAAAATACAAGAAAAATTAAAACTTAAATAAAAATATTAGTAACCGAAAATTAACTAGTTCTTTATTCTCGTTCTTCAACGTTCGTCAGTGTGAATTCCCCAATATTAAAAACAAATTTGTTCACGGTTCATGACGTCTGCTTGCTGATTGCTTCTTATTATTGCTTACTGCTGTGTGTTGAAAAAGCAGATGAGATTTTCCCAACTTAATTTGAATTCCGAAATCAAAATTTTGATCTAGTCATAAAGCAGAAAAAAAAGAGGCAATGTGAGAAATGAGGAGACGATGTGAAAAGAAAAAAGTTGAACGGAGACGAAAATGAATAAGTGATAGCAAAAAAATAAATTAAATTTCTATGATGAAGAAGGAAAAATAAAGAAGCACAATTTGCGAAATTTTTCATTTTACAAGCCTATTAGCATAAGTTATATAAGAATTAGAGTGTAACTCCAGGTGACAGGATTAAAACCAGCAAAAGATGAATAATTAATTTATGTTATACTAAGGCACAAAACTTCCATATAACAGAATCAAACGACGAGATGAAAGATAAGATGAAGAAGAAAAGCAATCGATCAAGGATAAATGTATTTATTGAAATTTAAAAATATTATTAAGTGTTCAGTATAAAAGGTGCGACATTTTATGTGTCTAGGTGATTTTATGCAAATATGACGAACTTGAAGAGTTTCAAGGAAATTTTGTGTCTCGAAATTTAATAACTTTTCTTTGGGCTATTTAGCAAAAGCTCTGTGAAATCTTAAATTGTCTAAATTATCTTGAAAAACGAGTTTTTGATTCCATAATATTTTCAATGAATGAGACGGCAAGCAAGAT